CATCAGTGCAATACGGGCATCTGAAACATATATGCATGGGCAGAGAGCTGAACAGAGCGAAAGAAGAAAAAAAAAACATACAAACAGCAGTAACAGTAGCACACATGAAAATTATATGGTGAAGGATGTGAATGTGGTAATTGTCTGCGGTTCAGTGTTTTTATTTGCCATTTATAAATTATTTCGTCTTGCTTTTTAATTAATAATACGGCTCCATGTCTGCAGTGGTGCCAAAAGTAAACAGCCATTCTTTGTGTGCTTGCACACACATATACATTCATGAAGCGCCGCTGTCCTATACCACACCCAAATCACGTGAAATCATCCAAAAGCACATGAAACCCTGAAACAAAATGCGCCACACAAAGATACAATAAAAAGTAAATAAAGCGAAAGAAACCAGAGAGAGAGAAAGAAAAAAGAAGAATGAATAACCTACAAATTATAGAGCTCGTTTCGTACATGTGCTCAATAATTCTAACATTTTGACCTCAATTTTGCACTTTTCTGCTGATTATGCCAATATCCACTCTCTTTCTTCTTCTCTTTCTCTCTGGGGCCATTACCAGTGCGCAAAAAACGGTAAACCAACGTAGCAATGATCTTTAACCTCTACACCAAAATATCCTATTCAGCGAAATGGCCCATGCGGAAGAAACTAATGTTTCGAAAATGCAAATGCTGGTGGCTTAAAAATGTCAGCTTCAAGTAAAAATGTCATAGGTTGAACAAAGGCATAGATCAAAGTTTAATGAGCAAAAATGGACGTTGGTGTCATGCAGATGAGAATGATTAAAAAATCTACGAGTTTGTCGAAAAACGGATGAAGAAAGATAATTTTTAATGGTGATGATAAAAAGTCAAATTTTTACTTTGAAAATTGTCGTTGGTTAATATATATTCAGTGACTATTAAGAATTTGCTTAAAAATACATTCGAACCCCATAAAAGTTGCATATGAACGCCAGCTTATTCACTGTAGTATAAGTATTAGCATTTGGCAACGAAAAGTTTTGCCACACGAATGAAAACCGTGTTTCAATGAGCATTTGATAGTATACGGTATAGTTGGAATGAAAAATTGTTTTTCTGTCGAAATATGGCCCAAAGGTAATTTAGTCTGAGAGATACCAGCGCTATTCCGTTATTGTTTGGCAAAATAGTTGAAATATGCAGTTTCGGTTTTCATTTTCCTCCGAAAACTATTCGGTCACATCAACCGCAACACATCTAAATCACATTAAATTATGCAGAAATCGAATGCTAAACTTTTGAACTCAGCGCACCAAACTTTCCGGTTTTCATTTTCGTATACAGAAACTTCCGAATAATTTTCATTTTTAAGATAAAAATTGCTGGTGTACAGTCTTTTCGTGCGCCGAAAATTGCATTCGGTCTTGGACATTTTACTTGGAATTTCTCTCTCATTTATCTTCCGTCTCTTGTGTGTGGTCATTGTTTTCAATCAACAAAACTTTTGCCATAAATACATCGATATCTATCTGGATATGTGCAGAGCGAGCGCACTGACTGTGTGATGTTGATTGCAATAGTTGTTCTGCTTTTTGTTTTTGATGAATTTCATCGGAAAAATGTATTTCGAACAGCCAAATTAAATGTACGCAAACACATAAATTGAACCAGAAAAATGCGAACAAACTTTGTACACGCCATTTGTTTATTTCAACGAAGGTAGAAAATCCGACGGCTCAACATTTTTCGACACTATATAAAACTTCAATCAGCAGCCATTCGATTTTCTCGGGCCGCAATTTAAGTTTGGTTATTTCTGTTCTACTTTTTCTATCTCTCGCTCGCTCACTTGCTGTCTTTTTCCACAATGAATAGTTCCCTACAATGGCAAACATTTAATTTGAACACTAAAGTGAGGTGTTGAAGCAATTTAGAAACGACCACAAGCTGTTCATGCATTAACTCATATTATTTTATGTATTTCGGTACAAGTGGCAACGCACACATTTCGACGAATGGATTTATTCATTATATTGCGTAAAATAACACAGATAATAACGAAAATTGAACAGAAGACGAGCAATGTATTGATTTTATCCCTGCAGAAAGAATGGATAAAAATTGTGTCTGACATAAACTGATAGTTGGAGGGATTGGCTGGTAAAAGCATAATCTGTACGACAATTTATGTCACTTTGAATAGGATTTTCGTTTCTATATGAATGGTTTTATAGCTTTTGGAGCACGGATTTTCATGAATGGGTCCATAAAAACTATATTCGATTACGGTTTGGTTTTTATTTGGTATGCATTTTGAGTGGAATTTCGAGCCTTAAATTGGCTAGATAAACCGATTTCAATGGCAGAATTGCTATCACTGTAGGCGATTTGTGCACAACAAATGCCATACAATCTATTTGTTCGCGAGATTGAATCATGTCATTTCAAAACGTTCGAATAAATCCTTGAATCACATTCAATGCTTAATACTCGATAAACTTATCGTCAACATTAATTCATTATGTTGCTCGTTTCAATGGCATTCTGATGGATTCATCATCCAAATAATTCGCAAGTGGTGCGCATAATCATTCGTTTAGAAATGGAAAAGTACAAAAACAAAACTAAAACTTAATTAGAAACCAAAAATTATACCCAACTTCAATGCACACGTCGCTCGGCTGAATGTTTATGGCACAACGATGCATATATTCACGCTGTTACCAGGAGTAAAATCCGCACATATGAACGGTAGCTTTTCCATCCAATATGCATGTCACAAGTTTTCTACTTTGATATTAGCTGATTTTTCCCCAGCGGTGTCAACAATCGTCCATGAGTTTATAGAGACGTCATATTTGATTGTCCAAATTCGAACATGCTCACATTATATTCAAACCGCTATCAAAACACACAACGCAGAAACGATGACGTTCGCTGAATTTTACTTTGGTTTTTGGCTTCTTCTGGACGTGTGTGTGCGCGCGTCAAAGTACGCGCTCTTGTTTATTTGGTAACTTTTTTAATTAATCAAACCGAAAAATTTGCTCGGGCAAATAACCGGCGAATGGAACCATCACCCAAAACGCAACCGAACTAAATACGTACGTTTCAAGCAAAAAAAAACTGTATGCACGGTATTTGGTAACCAACAAAATGATTATCTACGAACATTTTTGGATGGGCGCGCGATGTTGTCATGTTTTCGTGGAAAAAGACAGGGTAAATGGCGAAGAGTGGCTGGCACATGCAAAAAAGTATGACTGACAAGCCATGTTTATTAAAGTAGATCAAACCAAATCATGTACTTCTAAAAAACATTGCGACGACTATCGCAAACATGCATTTTTTATGGCAATTTTATTTTTAAGTTTCTTTTTTCTTATGCGGTGTTTTTTCTCATCATTTTTCTCATCAGTGGTAGGTTTAACATTTTTTATGACAACTGGCAATGGAAACACTATTTGACGCAATCAAGCCGAAGCGTTCGAGTTAACGCGTTCTATAGCTTTGAATTGATACCCCCGGGATTCGTTTGGAGATAGGAAAGCCTATTAATACAAGCAATGCACATAAAAAAATTCGCCTCGTGTCAATCTTTTCACTTGTTTACCGAAAAAATCACCTTCCGATTTTTGGAAATTTCTGGATGCTTTCAATTTTTAATGAAATGAAACAAACGAAAAACTCTCATTGTTCCATTGATGTGTTTTTCCCCAAATTCTATAGAATCGTTTTCATGTGTATATTTTCGGTCATTTGAATGAATTGTTTCATTGTGCTGATTCTCTGAATTGTTGGCCACACAATATTTGTTTATTTTTAATTTTTGTGTGTACAGTTGGAGCGCCAACCTTTGTCACACATAAAATTGGCAGTTATTCTTGGTCGAATTCTCACAATCGCATAGAAAATTGTGCATGAAATGAATGATGACTATTATGTGCACCCTTGTTAGTACCAAAACAAAAACCGGAACTTATGTCAATTAATTTTTTCAATAGATGAATGTTGTTGAGTTTTTATGTGTTTCGTTGTTTTTTATTCCCTTACCAATAACAGTGTACGTTTTTTTATATTTCTGCGGTCGAAAAAAAAAACTTTTTATACGTTGTTCATATGCTGACAATAAGATAGCATGGAAAACTCTCTCTTTCTCGCTCTATGATTTGTTTCGTGTGCAAAATGGTAAATTCAAGTGGAAACAACAAAGTGCTTACTGTCGTTAATTAATATGTTTTGTAGATTTTCACTCTCACTCATTCGTACTGTAGTCAACTTTCTAGTCGGAGTCTGTATCGTATTTCATTGCTATTTACATGAAGCACAAGTTGTGAATGTTGCTTCCGATGAGAGCTTTTCTCTCCCCCACACTTTAACCGCGTGAGCACGATGAATAAATTGTATCGTGTGGGATCGTTAAATTCACATTCTTTGCTATTTTTTTTTTTTCAGTTTGCAAATGCATAAAAATAGAACCGGAATAAGTGTGAGAGGGAGATTTGCAAGAGTGAGCCCAATAGCAACGATAAAAAGTTTTTCTTTTTAGCATTCAAAAACTTTTCTAATAATTTTCGTGTTGTGTTATTTTGCAGTAATGTAGGAAAATTTCCTCTCTCCCATTTTTATTCACTTTGTTTCTGTCTCTGTCTTTCTGTTTTCCCTGTCTAACTCATAATTCAATTAAGTCAAGGTTTAGCTAATAAGTTTGTAAAAAAAGAAGATATAACCACTTTGTACGTAAACTCTTGTTTTCAGTTGAGATGAGCCAACATCATCATCAACAACAACAAAACACATAAAAAATTAATAATTGATACTAACTTTTGGATTTCTTGTTGTTTTTTTTTTCTCTTCGTTCGCATCACAAATTATGATGCTGTTGCCGTGCACAATATTGTTGCGCGCGTCTGCAACATAAATCTGTTTTTCTCGGCTCGCTACATAATTATCGAATACATCGCATTTGACGCCTCTGCCATCGCACATATATTTGGACGTCGAAAATCATCGTACAACATATCCAGGGCCAAGAAATACCGATATATATTTGGTACGAAAATTATCCAACCCATAGCGGAGAAGGTTACGAGGGCAGAGTATCGCGTGTATCATCTGATTCACCGTTCGGTGCAGCCTCGCTTAATTTGACCAATATTCGTGAAAGTGATCAAGGATGGTACGAATGTAAAGTGGTATTCCTGAATCGATCACCCAATCAACATAAAAACGGTTCATGGTTCCATTTGGATGTTCATGCACCGCCACGTTTTAGCGTTACTCCAGAAGATATAGTTTATGTAAATTTAGGTAAGTAATATTTGACTATTTTTTTTTCTCAAATCGTCTCAAATAAATGCTGTCACGTGTTTTATAAACGAAACAAAAATTATATCGGTCAATGAAAAAGGACAGAGTGAGCTGCTAATCGAGTCTATAAATATTGATATGGGTGTATGGTTAACTTCATGGTACAACATTATTTGGCATTGGCCTTTTCATTGCGTAATTTATGTGTGTGCGTTGGTTTCGCGAATTCAACTCATTACAAATTAATTATCCCTTTTTTCATTGGACTTGGAAGTTCTACGCATCGAAAACTCAAACGCACACAACACAATATATCACCATCGTTTACCGATTTTTCATTAAGTCGCATTAATGTTAACGCTAATTTATACTTTCTAAACGGTCGAAGTGATTATAATCGTTTGCCCGACGACGACAACACGCCGTTACCAATGCCCGTGTCGTCGACAACGACAATGTATACATAACCAAGAACATTGAGTAAACAACCAAATGGCCCTACACGCTTTTCGTTTCGAATGTATGGGCTGGATAATGAATACGAGTATCACAACAATTTATCTTGGTAATGAGAAAAAATGGGTGATTTGTTGTTTTTTACGTGGATTTTATGGTTCTAAACCATATTATACCATTTGGCAGTTATTTTGGATACTGACCTCTTTCTTCCAAATCGCAATTTCGGTTCTAATTCACTGTTGCGCGCTCTTGCTTTTCATTTTATCCTCTAATTCGATTGTTGTTATTGTTAAGAAGAAAATACACGAACAGCCGAATTTTATTTGACCCTTTTTTATGAATTTCAAGGAGTATGTTTTCCATTTTGGAATGTGTATTTAGGGGAAAACGAGGAATAGTTCAATATTATTCACGTAATAACGTTCATTATATGCCTGCTGTTAATTTTTTTAGTGGTATCGTTTAGCCAAACTGAATTTGGCATTGAAAGAGTATAATGAATTTTAATTGTGGAATTACAGTTGCGTTCAATTATTATCATTCCTGCAATTTATGTGTTGATATTCTCGCATACCTACATTCAGACATTGGCTTCTCAACAATTTCCACTGCAGTAATTTCTACATTGGAATTTTGATGCATACTGCCATGTACTCTAAGCTCATATTCAAAATGCTATCGTCTAATTATTTCAATAGACACACGGTATTTTCATCAAATCGCTAAATAAACTTGAAACCTATTTGAAAATTAATAAACCAATTTCGACTTGGTGCATTCATCCATTCTCCGCGGCGAAAAGGTTCGACATAAAATGAAGAAATAAAAAGCTCTAAAAGCTCTTGTTAATATTTCCGTGCTCTAACATAATATTCTACAATTTAAAAGCGAGAGAGATTTTACTCAATTTTCGTCGTTAGATATGCTTGCTGTTTCATAAATTATTCGTTATAACGAACATGTTATAACTAAAATCATATATAAATAAATGAAAATACGAAGAAATAAAGAAAAAATCTCATAAAGTCAAACTGCACCTAAGCTCAGTCCAGCACACCGATGCTACATCATCAAAGCAAAATAGAGAACAACTTGATGTTGTTGCAAGCGAGGAAAGCCAAGTTGTTCGTTCGTCTCCTTTTTTGTCGTCATATTCTTCTGATGAGGTTTGATTGTGAGCAAACACGGGAAGCACGGCATAAAGTCCCAAGAGAGGTAAGAAGTCAAAGTAAGCAACGAAGTAGTCGAATGTGGAAAAAATTAAATAGAGCGTGTAGGTAATAGAAACTACGAGTACATTTGAAGCGAAAAATGTCATTTCTATATATAACCCTTATACCATCTTCATCTGTCGTTGATGTTGCCGCTTTGATGAAAAGAACTTTTCCGAACGAAATAGAGGTGTGTATTATTCATAAGCAGACTCATGTCTCGACATTCTTACCTCGAGCAAATCATTTAGTGAAGTAAAATACTTTTCTGGGCTGCACAAGAACGGGAGATAAAAAAGTTGTCTTGATAACATACACACAATTTGATATTGAGAATGTTCGGCGGTAAAACTTGAAAAATATAAAACAGAACGCAAAATTATCGTTTTCGCAAACTTCCTGTATTACAATTAAACTGCTTACAATGTACTTGGTTCACCGTAAAATCAGTCTCCAAATATAATGGAAAGTTTTTGACAATGCACACAGTTTTTGACAATATATTTGCAATTGCAAGGTTGTGCTTCGTTCTTTTTTGAACGCACTTGAAAACAATTTATTTTATGTAATGTTGCCGCTGTTATAAGTTTTAACATTGATATTTAGACGGTTCAACTGACATCATACCAATCAAATGGGATTTGAAGAACATCACAGAAAAGTTGAACAAAAACTGAAAAGATACCACCAATGCAATGCTCACTTATTCGAGACTGAATGGGAAATATTTGCATGCAACGCGTTGAGCTCACTCGCATCGCAAAGTTATTTTGTTTTGAATTGGAATTTCACATTTTATTGACTCGCGCACATATACACATTTTGGCATACAATTATTTTCTCGCTCGTTGATGTGAAGTGCTGTGGCACAACTTCGATGGATTTCATCGCAATGACGATAAGAAAATATAGCAAAGTGACGACTCAACATTCAGTCAAATGCATGTGTGTGTGAGTTTATTATACGTGAAAGATATGCTTGATGAAGCTTGGAATCTCATCACATTTATAAAAGCAAATAGAAATCTATTCGAAAATTTCCAACTCCACAGCACCTAGAGGTACACATGACGATAGGCCGTTTTTTTTGCACCTCATTTCATCGGATCTTTTTTTCTCTCATTGTCGATATACTCGGGATACATTTTCCGAGTCGAGACTTGTATGGATATTTCGCATGAGAGAACCGCAACAGTTATGAGATGATAGCAGTCGATGACACATTCCAATTAAGTCAATTTTAAATTGTATGGCTATGTATTCGCATTTCACTGCGTCTGTTTGAGAGAGAGAGAGAGAGAGAGAGAGAATGAGAGAAACGAAAGCCATGGCAATTACAATCGCAATAGACACACAGAGCGGCAATCACATTGCTTGTCAGCACATAGCTGAAAAAATCATCACATAAACCGAATGAACAAAACACATCGTGAATCGTTATTGCTATTTGCCTTTTCCATATGTATGTGCTGGATATATAATGGATTTATTAAAAGCAAAACAACGATACGCAAATCTATAATAAAAAAAACAGGCAAATGCGACACAGAAACACGCACGTACACAAAACACACAGACACAATCACATTCGACTGCTTATTTTGTTCGCATCCCACAATTAGAACTAATATGTGCCGTTTGTTGATTGTCCTTTTGCAGAAAATTGTGTGTGTGTCATCCCTCACGCGTCTCATCAAAAATAATTACTGTTGTACGATTGCAAATGTCTCTTCTCCATCTCTTTGTCGCTTTTCCTTGGTTTCGTTTTAATTTCAATTTCAAGTTGATTTTAGTTAATTTGAAAACTTTTCCCATTCTCATTTAGCCAGATCCGTGTATGTTGTTGTCGTCGCTTTCTGCTTTGTTGCCTTTTTAATATACATATGTATTCAGGTAATTTGTACATATATATATATGATAACAATGGTTGACAAAAGCACGTTTCTCACTCGCTCATTCAGTTTTCGTAGTTTTTAGTGTCATTTCCTCGTTTCCGTTCGGCGTGGCTTCATCTGTTACTTCAAACCTATGGCGTCAATTGTGTGAACATTGAAATTAAAACGGAATCACACATTGACTGTGTTTAATGTGTGTGCATGGATGTATACTTTATCGCTTAAATAGGTTCATTTTGACAACAAATAACTGAAAATGAAATATTGCCATCGCTTGATATTTCTCTATCTAAACCGCAATCGTATAAAACTCTTTGCATCAGATCGAACCCGTATGAAAACATCCATTCAAAATAATTATGCCATTTAAATGCTTATGCATGATCCTTCCTGCAAACTCTGTCACGGCTCAATGTTTTTAAATATGTATCGTCATTTATAATGCAAGCATTTGCTCTGTCTTTTTGCTGTTTGCATGTGATTTGTCGTGTAAATGCGAACAACTTCTTTGCAAATGGAAATACATTGAATGTACAATACGTGAATGCGAAAGAACCAACAAATAAATAGAACAGTTGAAGAGCTTCATAACTTGGCTCACTCACAATGATTAATCTTACGCAATTTTTGATCGTACTCATTTTTTTACAGCATTTCATACAGCAAACAAATATATTTAAAATGCGAACATTTCATTTTATTGTCATCCTTAAAGAAACCATTTAAAAATCTTCTTGCTTCTTTATTCTTTTTTTTCTTAGGTGATTCAATAATACTTAATTGCCAAGGTATGTATGTTGAATATTTACAAGGCGACGTTGAATATTTAGTTAAATATTTGACAATATTTTTTTATTTAATCCCAATTTTATTCGATTTTTTTTAGCCGAGGGAACTCCTACGCCAGAAATATTGTGGTAAGTAACACAAGCATTTCTTTATCAAAATTCAGTGACAAATCTTGGCATACATGTAAATGTTATGTGATCGAACATTTTTTTGTGTAGTGATAAGCTTCAAGCTCTTTTTTAAACGATAGAAAATTCCACTTATGTCTTTGACTTTATCTCTTACTCTTATAAAGGTACAAAGATGCTAATCCAGTCGATCCATCTTCTACTGTTGGTATTTTCAACGATGGCACCGAGCTTCGTATATCTACAATCCGCCACGAAGACATCGGCGACTACACGTGTATCGCACGCAATGGTGAGGGGCAAGTCTCTCATACAGCTCGCGTTATAATAGCGGGCGGCGCTGTCATTATGGTAAAACAAATCAATTACTTCTGATTGCAAAATTTAACTAAAAAAACTGAATTGAAAACGTATACACACACACCCTCGTTTAACAAGAAGAACCCTTACCAAACCAGCCAATTAGCTATCCAAAATGATTTATTTAAAACAAAACAAATTTATTGTGTGAGGCGTTAATTGTTCCTTTTTTCATTATTTTTTTCGTTGCTTTTTGTTTATTTGTGACGTCATTTGAGTTCTTTTTCCATGAAAATCGACAAATAACTGTTTTTCTCGTCTGTTAAGTGCTGACTCTTTTTTCTGATTTTTTTTTAGTTTTTGCCTTTCGCGAATATTCACTCACCAATATCGAGAAAATCCATAAATTGAGAGATGAAATACATAAGCTATACAGTTAAATGAAATTCAATAGGAAATTACACGAAATTCGGATTTAAAATTCATTCGATGTTCCAGGCATCGACGAAAACAAATTCATTTTTATTGAAAGCTTTAAACGGATTACAATTGATTCGAATTTATTTTTAAATACAGACACTGACGATAAATTTGCTTATGCATTGCTCATGTGAATGTTTTCATTACATGGATGAATATTAAGATTCGATTATTTTAAAAAATAAACCATTTCAAGTCGATTGGTTTCTTTAACAATAAAGTTCAATTTATAAAATTCATGCGAAATGTTTACGGCTCTTTTAAACGGATTGGAGCCGTATTTCTTTTGTTTGATTTGCAATTCAATTTTTTGTTGTACTCTTTTAAATCTTTTCGGTTAAAATTTTTGGTTTGCAAAAAATGACTTTATTTATCGCGATTTGAATCGCTGGTCGACGACACTTCACGGCGGCAACATTCTATGTAATACTATTTTTCTTGTATTTCTCACAATGATAAAAAAAACAGTTCAACCTGCTGACGTCCAAAACCAAATCACGTTGGTGTTTAAAATCCATATATGTGTGTGTTTTTGCATTTATTCATGAATTTCAATTTGTTGCTGCACTTCAGGATATCTAAGGGCACAATGAGAATCCATCCAGTCTCTCACAGTTTGGAATTGACAAAACAAATACCACAACAACTGCGGACATGGATAACAAAATATTCCAAAAATTGACAAAAAAAAATCGAACGAATTAATGCGCTGACCCGCTACAAAGCTTACCAATTTTTTTTACTATACTTCTACTTCTCGTTCTTTTCATATTCCATCTGAACAAAAAAAACCGGCACCACCACAAATCAAATAGAAAATACAATCATGAATTCGCATTCATTGTCCATCATTTTTTCCAATACACACATACACTTATACTATAGCTTATTCAGAGTTCTTATTCATAAACAAAAAAAAAAAACAACACACAAGCACGATCATACAAAATGAAAAACACACACATAAACTCAGTTGAACAAGCAACAGTAGCAAATAAACAAAAAAGTATATATTTGCAACATTCATAACAGTAACAATCACTATTCATGCTGACTTGAATAGGTCCGAAAACATTGTTGATATAACACAAATAAACATTGGAAAAAACAAACAATTCTGATGCCAAAAAGTATTGAACAAAATATGAAAAAAGAAGATTTTTTTTTTCTCGTGTAAATCGAGCTGACTCTTCATGGCTTCCATCAAGGATCTTCACTTTGCAATGAGAACGAACGAGACATTCTTTGTAGAGCTTTCGGAATATCCATAGAAACCATATCCATGGCACAATATCTTTTATAATGAAATTCATTCGCCAGTTTAAAACGCTTCGATATCAAAAAGAATTGGACGAATAAAGAATATCAGCCCCCCGTCTCATGTCTAACCCGAGTCGAGGCCATTGGACATGGACATTGAAAAATACACTTGAAATTCAAGCACTTTGTATACAAAAATAATAACAATATTTGGAGTGTATAATAAACCCTGTTTGTTAAAAAAAGTATATGTATTTGTGTAATTGAGCATCGCAACAACGAAAATTGATTTCAATTAAATTTTCAATTTTTTTCCGGTTGCTTAGCAATATTGTCGATGCGATGAGAAATAAAGAAAATACGACGGGAGGAATGGAACATTCCCCCAAATTCGAATCAACTGATGGTATAAATGAATGAACACACCAATTATAATTATATCTGTGCCGCTTGGTGTCAGTGTATAAAGATTATCAAATGCGAAAAAAATGCCAATAAAGCCGTTTTTATATCATTTCAATGGCGCACATAATGCTGAACATATTTCAACAATGTCGGAATAATTACGAATTTAATATTAATAACATTATTTTTTTATACCATTGATTGATGGGAAAATGGCGATATTCATATAGGATTTCTATAAAATGGTGGCGACACATCAAATTCTCAATCAATTTGCACCCCCGGATCAATGAAATCGTGTTGCATTATTATTATTTTTCATTCACATGAAATTGATTTCAACTGTCGATATACAACACATTCATTTGTTTTCTATAGTTCACTCAACACGTTGTCGCCTCTCTTTCCAGCTTACTCACTCGTTCATTCACTACCACGAAATGTGATACTGTGATTTCTCTCTCTCTCTCTCTCTCTCTCTCTCTCTCTCTTTCTGCTGCTGACTCTTGTGATGATTCGTATTTTCGTCCATTTTTATAGATTAAACATAAAAATATTGAGCAATGTGCCTTTTATATCCCATTATAGAGTGAGCATTTCATTGTTTTCTTCTGTGTTCGGGATTTAATTATTAATTTGACCGAAAATGATTTTAATTGAATGTCAACGTCATTCTCTGGCCATTTTTCAATTCATCATTCCCACAAGACATTTCATTTTGTTGTAATAATTTTTCGTTTTGTTTCGATTCGTCTCAGTATGTGTATTTATTCTCGTTTTCATATGTTTTTTTTTCTTTCTCTCATTCGTTCGTTTATTTAATTAATTTTTATGTATATTGTGTCACTTGAATGCATCACATTGTTCCCATAGTCCAGCCAAATTAAATGTGTGCTGTAAATCATATCCAGAACAATTTCCTCCTTTTTTCTCTTTCTTTATCTATCTCTTTATCATATTGCACCATTTTAATGTTATTGCTTTTCCTTTGTGATTGGCATTCATTTGCATTGAAATGATAAACTGTATGTTATTGTGAGATCATTTTTTTTTCCATTTGTCCAGGTGCCGCCTACTAATCAAACAAAATTAGAAGGTGAAAAAGCGATATTTACATGCGAAGCGAAAGCAATGCCCGGAAATGTCACGGTGCGCTGGTTTCGCGAAGGTTCACCAGTGCGTGAAGTTGCTTCTCTTGAAACTCGTGTCACCATTCGCAAAGATGGCTCACTAATTATAAATCCAGTGAGTGCCGACGATTCAGGGCAATATCTATGCGTAAGACTATTTTTTTTACTTACTATCCATTTGAGTTTCGATATTTTATTTTGAAAATAACAAATTTACTATATAAAAAATAAAGAACAGTCATTGTCGTTATTTTTAGAAATAATTCTTTTTCACTACAAATAAGCACTAATTCGATTTTCTTTCTGATTTTCTCAATTTTCAGGAAGTATCCAATGGTATCGGTGATCCGCAAAGCGCTTCCGCCTATCTAAATGTTGAATGTAATTGCTTTTCTTTTGTTTGAACATTTTAAAATTCGAATGTCATTTTAATTGTAAATTTTTATTTTTCCATTTTCTCCACTTCTCATCTTGGGCATTCCAGATCCAGCAAAAGTAACGTTTACACCAACCGTTCAATACCTTCCATTTCGATTAGCCGGTGTTGTTCAGTGTTACATTAAAGCAAATCCACCATTGCAGTATGTAACATGGACAAAAGACAAACGGCTACTGGAGCCATATCAAACGAAAGACATTGTTATTATGAATAATGGATCGTTATTATTCACGCGAGTAAATCAAAATCATCAGGGTCGTTATACATGTAAGTTCCAAATCTATGAGTGAAAATTCTATGAACCATAGTTTTTTTTTCATCACTCTGACTTTGTTTACACTGATATAGGCACACCATACAATGCACAAGGTACACAAGGTTCATCGGGTGCAATGGAAGTATTGGTACGAAAGCCGCCCGTATTTACCATCGAACCAGATTTACTCTATCAACGCAAAGTCGGCGAATCGGTGGAAATGAGTTGCGATGCTCAGGAAGCCGAAGGCACACAACGGCCCAACATTCAATGGCTACGTCGAGGTAATTTCAATTTGATTTTCTGCAAAATATTCAATTCATAGAGATGCAAATGTTCCTTTAAGCGTGTGTGTGCGCCTCAAATTGCAAAAATTAAAATGAAAAAAAAAATCCATTTTGTTGACAGATGGAATGCCATTACAACGAAATCGTGTCAAATCGTCCGGTGGTAATATTACCATCGAAAATCTTCGACGATCTGATTTTGGTTTCTATCAGTGTGTTGTTTCGAATGAGGTGGCAACAATTGTGTCGGGCACACAGTTGGTGATTGAAGGAACGCAACCGCATGCACCGTACAATGTGTCTGGCATTGCAACCGAAAATTCAATTACAATCACATGGATGCCCGGTTATAGTGGTGGTCCAGATTATAAGCAAGATTATACGCTTTGGTATCGTGAAGCCGGTGTATCAGATTGGTCAACAATTCAAGTCTCACCATCTGGCAGCACATCCGTTACAATCAACGGTCTCACGCCCAGCAAAACATATGAATTTCAAGTGGTCGGTAAAAATGCACTCGGTGATGGTATGATGAGTAAATTGATTACAATTCGCACGATCGGTAAGTATTGGCCTCTTTCTCTCTTGCCTTTATCAATAAATAATCGGACATCTACATACCGTGTATATCATACAAAATACGTTTTTCAATCATCAATGCTTTTTGCATATTTTTGATTGAAAACTAACATTTTTTTTATTGAAACTGAATGAAATGAAACTCGTATTCAGAAACACCATCAAGCAAACCGAAGCAAGCACCGTCACCAACACACACACCACCATTAGTTTCAGCTTGGTCAACAGCATCACCAGGGATGGGTAAGAGTTACTCCCTTCAAATTTCCCATCTCGATTTCACAATATATATACGTTAGCTATTCTATTTCAAAATATAGTAGAGTTTGACTATGATATGTGTAGGCAAACTCTTTCATCCTCTCTCTGTGTATGTGTTAGGTGGTGTATATTTTTCAATACGATGTCCATTCTTAAAAAAAGATATTGGGCATCGGACAACTTAAATCATTATTCCTCTCTCATCTTTTATTCAGCTAATAAAAACGAGATCTGTGCTTTGAGAAATCAAAGTGTTTTTCAAAGGGTTTTAAATTCGCAATCGAATATATTAACTTTGCTTTGCATTGCATGTGTCCAATATCATTCATAACTTATTGGCAATATTGAAATATTTGTATCCGCTTCAATTGAACATATAAAGTCCACAATGTTCAAAGGCATACTCAAATATTTTAATTAAATTCCTTTTCAATTGAGTTTTTCGCATTTGTTTCTGCTACATACATTTCATTCAGCTTTGTGTTATTCAGTTATGTTTTTTTTTCTCTCTTGATATTATGAGATACATGTATGTATACTTATTTTTTCGTCCATTTCATACTTTTATTTTTCAGGCTTAATTCCACCATTAACACCCACCATAGCAGGTATTTCATGGTTTCCGTTTTCTTTATTTTGTCCATTTTGAGTATTGCTTTTCATTTGCCATTGTTTTAAGTTGTCATTCTCATCTTTAATAGTGTATGTAGTTAACTTTTAAGAATCTCGTTCAGATTGCATGCACATTTCGTGTCTGATTGCCGAGGATGTTGGTTTAAATAGTTTTTGTACTTAATAAAGTTGAAAATGGGAAACGACACTCTTATTTTGATTGTTGTATTACCTGTACGCAATGCTATTAAAGAGTTGTCGTTGTTGAATCGACAATGCTATTGTTTAGTTAGTTTCTGTTGTTGTGATTAACCGCACGATGGCAAACATTTTCGTATAAACAAAATGAAATTGTTTTGGAAAATGTTGTCGTCGTCATCATCATCGTTGAAATGCATACGAGGCGACTTAGAGTTTGGGTTGTGTTCGCCTTTGCGTTTTAGTGATTCATTATTGTTTGCATTTTGTATTTTGAATTGTTATATGCAGTGTTAACCCTGAAACTTGACAATTGCATTGATAGCAAATAATAACAACAATAATCATAATAATTACCGCATCGATGAAAACAAGCGGAACAAAATCCTAAAATATCGTGTGCATTCCATTCAAACATTCGTGTGTTTGTTGTCATTCATTGCATTTCACACACAGACACACAAACACATACACCAACATACAACAAATGCAAACAAACAAAATCGAAATTGTACAAATAAAATTGTACACTCTATCAGCAAGATGGCAACTTCTATTGCTAGTTATAATACAACCTAATATAGCTAGTATGCGTCCGATGGCAGAAAAGGAACCAAAAGAAAAACATAAACAAAACCATACAAAATAATAGCATTGCATGTTAGCTGGTTCGGCTCTACACCAGACACAATGGGAAAATTGCAAAAAGACGACGAAACAGAGTAAAGGACACAAACGAGACGAAGTTTTAAAAGCCACGGGCTTGCATGCCATTGCCATCACAGAAATAATCAAAACTATTTGCTTAAAGTCAACTCCTCGGCACCGCATTTTTGTTGTACACTATCCCATTGTAAATAGAGAGGAAAATCCCTTTCCATTTAATTGTTTTAAGTACTATTTTGACTTTGAATTTTATAACACAATAGACCATTTGAAATGTTTGTGAAAAAGGGTGGATATATTATTGCATAGTATATGTCTTTATAGTGTAATATGTCAAGATATTATTTTCTATCTGATAAATATAGATTGCTTAATTTTTCTCCATCAGATTTCATCAAAATAATTAAATTATCTCTTCTTTTTTTCTGTCCCTTTTTTCGTATCTTCTTCGGTGCAATTTTTGTTGCTTTAATCAAATCAAACGACAAATTTTTCTTGGCACACATAAATTATTTAGGTCCAAAGCCAGGTCAACCACGTAATGTAACGGTTACAGAAGTGTCAAATGGTTTTCTTATATCGTGGCAAGAGCCATTGGAACGTACATCGCTCATACAACACTATACGATCAGATATCGAACGGATGCACAATGGAAGACATTGAATCGGGGTCAGATTCGTCCAATAGATACATCGTATTTGGTGAAAAGTTTGGTCGGTGGCCGAACATATTATTTCCGTGTACTGGCACATTCGCAAGGCAGTTACGAATCAAGCGATGAAGTTAAATTTCCGGTACCGGCACGTGTTAAGCATAAAGCTATAACAGCCGGCGTTGTTGGTGGAATACTATTTTTTATCGTTGCAATCATTCTATCTATTTGTGCTGTAAAAATTTGTAATCAGCGTAAACGTCGAAAACAGGAAAAAGGTGAGATTCATTTATTGTGTCCAATTTTTGTTGTGTGAGAACGCCTTTTAGTCAAGGTGTATACGTGTCGATCTCTACTACTAACAAAACTTAACAAACAAACAAAAAATAACAACAAAATCACCAAACAAACTAAACATGAGTAAAATGAAACATAGCGAATACCCACCTAAACACATCCCACCCTCTCGTTACGAATCAAAAACCAAAACACACAAAATCGCATCATATTGTAGCTTAAATTAAACTAAACTCCACGAAATTTTCGTTGCTCTTAAACTATACTATCGATTTTTATTCTGTACCGAACAAATGAACAATTTATATTTTTTTTTTCGAAAATTAACTCATTAGTAAGCCAAACTTGGAAGGGAAACAACGAAAATTAAATGGCAATTTAAAAATGTTTGCGCTATCCATATCATAAAGTATAAATCCTGTTCCGCATCACCTCTCTTAACCTTTGCATCTGCATCAATGTATCTCAATCACTCTCTGTCTGTGTGTTTTGTAGTTAACATTTAAACTAGTAGAGCATGTACCAATCTTGATGTTGATTAATTTAAATAAGCGAAACGACGTGTGTTTTATAAATTATATAAGCTAATCAATCTAAGGATAAGGGTGATGGGTAAATGAATAAAATGTATAAACAGCGTGTTTCTCTCTACGGTGTCTTTAAGAAAACGTAACTATATTTCAAATTCAGTTCATACGATAGATATCACATCCACACTAGAAAGCATATGTATTTTATTAAAGTCATCTACTTTTTTCCACTCATTTTTTCGCCTTGTCTCTCTCACTCACATACATACACATTGAAGAAAAATCGCTAGGCTTCTTGATCGTTCATATCATTTTTGCACATTGTGTTGTCATCCATTTTGACGCGGCATTCAACGACATAGACATAAGGCACAAATACACACATTCTTTTGCTGTCGCATTCTTAATACCGTTGTGCATTGCGTTTAATTTCAAGAAAATTGAAAAATTATTTACACAACTGAACTGAAATAATTTGATTCGATTATGGCAACGCCAAGAAAATGAAACGCGAACGACGAATCATGGCGATGCCACTGCACTCTACTCTTACCGCCACTTACTTATGGAAAGAAAAGCGAAAAATTCTTGGATCACAAATTATGTATGTTGACATTGGTTAATATATTATACTGTTTGAAAAACGACGTACGAGCACTGTGACTGAACTCGAATACCCAACGAATTTTTATCCGATTTTTCACTTAGCACCCTTATTGTAAACATATCTTTTATTTGGTTGTGAAAATTGTAATTTTTTCCAAACATTGCCAATGGTATCGATCAACTCTCGGAAATTGGCTAAACAAACAAGCTTCATTGAGACTTCATTCAATTTAACGCAAAAACCTGACTCGATTATGAAGTGAGTGATTGTTTCTTTTCTCTTGCTTGAACTGCGCCTACAATTCACTAATTAGAGTTCATTTTTTTCTGCAAAGCAAATAGTATGCTCAATGAACATTGGGGAAAAACAGCGGATAGAGAGTTAATTATCATCGAAAATCAATGCCGACGTGCTATTTGTGGCCACGAAATGAAAACCAACTGCACATCTAAGCTGCCGTTGTTTTGCTAGGATTTCACTTGGAGACAAGGCAAAATTGAATTTTGATAAGATCAATAACCGGGTTTGACTTCGAACCTCAACACCAAAGCCATATCCTAACATTTAAATTGGTTTCATGCCTGTGTGTGTTTGTGCGGTTATTTTTTTTCTCTTTCGTTCATCGTCGATTTCAATCGACTGCATGCACCGGGCGATTCGAGAGGCTTGAAAACAACAAATTCTCCAAAGTATACAATTTATATCATACATGGTTGTACGTGAAAAGCCAACTAGTTAAATGTTGAAAAACAATCGATTTGCTACCTCTTTTGCCAAAACACCCAAAAAAAGACGAGGAAAAAATGAAAGTGTAGTTGAGACTCTTTTCTGCACCAACAATAGCAACAACAGCGACATGCATTTGTTTTGCCTCCTTTCGATTTGTTGCTCGTATCGTTGAGCTAAAATGGAAATGGGATTTTGTGTAACGAAATCGTCGTTGTTTTTTGGCTGTTGGCAGGCAACACAACAGCGTAATAAAATACATGGCTCAACAGTAAATAAGGGATTTTACTCTTTAGCCAGTTTTTTTTACTTTGTCGCCTTTTTGTACGCGCCTTTTTTTCACTTACACTGGTTTTTCTCTCTTGGTGCTACCATTTTTTTGTGCCGATTGATTTGTTCATCGTAGTTCACGGCACAAAACTATAACATCTGGAATTTCGTCGGAAAAATATTCACGTTTGTCTTCAGAAGAAGCATTCAAGTGTTGACTTTTTTTTTTTTTTTTTTTGTGTCTTTGACACAAACGATTAAACCATGATTCCAATATAAAAACACTAATCCTACTATTCCACCAATCCGTCATTTCATTTTCAAATGTGATGTCACATTTCGCCGGTATTCACTTTGTTGAAAACTTATTTATCGACACTGGAGTATGACATTTTTTTTTATTGATAATTGAAATTATTTTTTTCATCAATAAAATTTTGAGAAAGTGTATCTATTGTTTTGTAAATTTGTAATCGACTTTTGAACTAAAAAATATTTCAAAAAAGAACAAATTACTATTTCAAAAAAAGTTTAATGCCTTTATCAAATTCTGTACTATCGATTACAAAAACATTGAATCTAACCCATTTTCGCTATTCCATACATGGGATTAGTGAATCCATGTGAATCCAGCTACTGAATTCTCTATTCCACTTTAATTTCTCGAATTTTTACACTAAAAGTCTAATCCTATTCCACGTGTCTACCCCCTAGCTTTTACCCTGTTCTCTTTCGTTCTTTGATAAAACCATGTTCAACAGAATGCCATTTCATTCCATGGATGGATTCTTATTAAAAGAAAAGCGTCTTGTTTTCAAAGCAAAAAGAAATTTCGATAAAGTGTTGAATGAAAAGAATGGAATCGAATCACGGAATTAATTTTGCACAAGAGCATTTTAAGATTGGGTCGCTTTGATTGTAAATTGATAACACGAACCCCATTAAAGGCGATGGCAAATAAGAGAAGAAGAAAGTCGAAGCAAAAAAAACGAAGAAGTCATTGAATAAATGATGAGCCGTATTGGACACAAAGCGAAACATAAATCCGTGCATATCGTCGAGAGATGGATTGCATTTTTCTCTATTTTCACTTCAGAAAATCGGATTCGAAATGGTTCCAAAATCAATCCACATTTCTGTGTCACACCATTGTGAATTGTACATATTTAAAGCCATCATAATGTGTAGATTTACGTGTGTATGCCAACGCGATATTTGGGTTTCATTTTATTTGTTCCCTGTTTCAAACCATATAAGTACCAAATGTTGCCGCTGCTGATGATGTCTTTTCTTTCGATTCGATCCCATTATTCGATTTTTTTTATATTTTTCTCTCACTTGCCACCACACTCTCCATGCCGTGAGTCTGTACCATCCCGTTGCAGCACATCAGTGTGTATTCATGTGATTGTATAGAAGTAAAGCACTTAAAATTGTGTACACACTGGATCTAATAAGGAGCTTATACCAGCTTCTTTTTTTTCAGTAAGTTGTACAGCCTCAATTTTTCCATTTTCATCGCATAAACTACCCGAATGTTGTATAGTATTCTTTTTTTTCTTCGTGTTCCAACTTAACGCACTAAATACGCTATAGTGCTATGGTTTTATACTTGTCCGAATCTTACGCATCGGAACTTCAATTTCCACACCGTAAACGGTGTAAATAAACCGACGAAGCGAGAGAGAAAAAACGAGATGAGGAGAAAAAGCACGACGACAAATCCCGTAATGGGTATGTTGTTGAAATTGCTACAACCAATTTCTCCGAATTGAAATTCAATAAAATAAAATGAGATACGAACACGAAGAGGGAGATAGAGAGAATAAAAAGCGAACACAACGAAAAAAGGAAAAAGAACAAAAATAAAAATTGGATAATGGAGAGCGGAAAATGTGCACATATATACAAAATTACGCTTGTTTGTTTGTACACACACACACGCGCGCGTCTTCAACAATAAAAGTAAGTGAAGTGAAATGAAAAAAAAGAAGCGAACAATTTAAAGTTTACACATAGACAGCTGAATTGTCGAAACTGATGTTATGTTATTCAGTGAGCGAAAACTAAACTTTTGTGGCCTATTTTCCTGAATTATTTACATGTTTGGTGGAATGTTTGAATAAAAAGGAAAAGATTAAAAACAAACATTGATTCATCTCATTCTGGCTTGTGTCTTTTGAATAGCGATGCAATCGTTTAGCAATGTGTGGTATAAATATGTACATTTCCCCCCATTATTTCGGTTGATGCACGGCAAAAGGATGAATCCGTTATGAGTACGGAAAAAATGGATTTTTTTTTATACAAGTCGTTAAATGTAAACACGAAAAAAACGAGGAAGAGTATCCATATCTAATTAAACAACAATTTAATGAGCCCTTTTTTGATTCATTCACCGCAAAAATTTTCCAGTCCCAAAAACACGACCTTTTTGTTTAAAGATAATACTTTTACGTTGCTCGCGTCAATGTGCGCGAGTATTTCATTGGCATGCTCTTTTAGGCTGGCTTGTGTTAATTTTTTTGGCATTTTTCTATGTCACAATTATAAAGTGCTCATTTCACTTTGTGTCTTTCATTTTATCTCTTTGTTCATTCGTTGCGCACATCACATTTAAAATCGGTCTTTTTCTTGCAAAATAATTCAACTGCAAAATGGTATGCTTGTATGATAATGACGACGATGAACATCGGTTAGCGCGAATGGCAAACAAATATATAAAACAGATAAAAAAAATTCTGTTCACGTTTAAAAGTCAGCCGGAATGTTGAATTTTCCGCATACCAGTTACACATCGATTTATTCTATGCAAATGAAGACATCTGCGGGCCACTTTTACCGCCAAATTGAATTCTCCGTTCGCTCAATATGATATGGGTTTCATTTGTATCTGGTCAGAAATTAAATTAAATAATTAACACAACATCTGAATCCGACAGATTTGCAACAAAAATTGGAAGAGAGAAAAAAAATCATACCGTCGAGAAACAATTGCACAACTATAAATGCAACAATGAAAAAATATATTCAAAAGATTATTAAATAAAAACGATGAATTCAATATTTACATCGTCACACAGCGTTCATTTTCCCTCCTCGCACAACATCATAATTAAAAACCAAAATCACCACTTTTGCATTCTCATATTTTCACAATTTCAAAACTCACCGTTTTTTTCTCTCTCATTTATCGTAATTCTGCTGCAGCTTATAATGAGTAAAACAAGCCAAACTACTTGCTTACATTTTCTTTGTTTATATCTCCTTACTTCCGTTGCTGACATACATGCATAGACATTTGAAAAAAAAAATAAACGAGAAAAGATTTATTAATTATGAAATGTGTTGCGGTAAAAATAGAATTCCCAAAGAGAAAGAGAGCACCAGATTGAGTTTAGAGACGAACCATTGGACGATAATAATAATGAAAGGTATTGTATCCTGCTGTTGCTGCTGGCGGCGATGGTGGTGGTGGTGGTGGTAAATTTTGCATAAATTTCATCGAATGACCATACATTGTGTTGTAATATTCGCTCATCATAAACATTGAGCACAGCGTCAGCGACCACGACCATCATTATGGCAGCAACAACACACCGACATTTAGGGGTGAATACAATATTAAAAAAAAGTCATATCAGCATGTTTCCAACAAGAGAGATAAAAATCAATAAATTTCATATAAAAAACGAATATTTAATGAAATAATGAAAATTTACATCAACATTCGTGGATATTTCCGTTTCACTTTAAACAACAATGTGTGCGAGAGCGAGAGAGAGAGAGAGAGAGAGAGAGAGAGAAAAAACGTCGTTCATGATGATGACAATGAAAGCCGACAGAAAATCACGCGAGAGAAGAGAAGAAAAAAACACACGATACAACACCAAAATATTAACGTCGTTTATAATAATATGTTAAGAGTCCAAAAAGAGATAAAAATCAAGCCAAAAAAATGACGAAGAAATACACGAAAGAAGTAAAAAAAATATATGAGGGGTTAGACTTTGAGGTATACACCTTGCAAAAGGCGTTTCAACATACCTCAATGTTGTGCGATCAACCGTGTCCTAATTATATCACTCGATATATATGAATTAACAAACTGTGGTGTTGGTTGCATGTGGTTAAATGTTTAATATTATTAGAGAAAAATTTGTTTTTTGTTTTTTTTTTTGTACCAGAATTTTAACCAAAAAAAAAATTAAAATCACTAATATTTATACATTTTAAGTTAACTAACCCAAAATGAAAATGATAATGTGTTAAATGAAACTAACGCAAATTCAATTAAAAATTGTATTAATTTCATTATTGATTATTACAATCAAAAGTATATCAATGTTAAATGAATGAAAAAAAGAACACATTTTTTTCTGTTTATCGCTCAATGCGAAACCAAACTAAAACAAACAAAATAATTAAATATGATAACAAACCATATGATTTATACACACACCATTCGGGAAAAAAATTTATATATATTTGTGAGTGTAGTGATAGGATGGGTTATTATTACCATCATTAATTGTAGAAATTATTCGTTTGCAGCATACAACATGGTAGCGTGTAGAATAACGGATGCCCGCAATTCACATTGTCGTACGGGTTCTGCTTCCAGTAGTCATGTGCCTTTGAATAAGTAAGTAAACCGATTTTCAAATTGCAATATTCTATTTTTCAGCTTATATACCATGCATAGTGCATACACACACGTATATATATACAAGTTTTTGGCCGATGCCAGCAATATTCTCGGCAAACATCGAAATTAGTTATTGTGATATCACAAATTGATGACTTTCACACATGCTCACATTAAACATTGCCAGTTTCTCACACATACACACACACTCTTTCTCTCTAGCACTATCTCTGTGCCATATTGCAAAGACGTGTTAATTATAAATTAAACTTCATTATAGAGTGAGCAAAGCTGTAGTTATTTTGAGTATTTCAATGTATCGGAAAATTACCTTTAATTGGCATCTGGTATCGAGTCGTCGAGTCGTTCTGATGGTTCCGAACAATATACACCAATTGATTGACAAGTACACTTTGCTTTTAATGCTTTTTAATGGTGCACATCATTCAATAGCACTTCATATTGCAATTATACCCCCGGAACAACTCGATTATCGCCATTTCTGACACCGGAAAATCTGATTCAATTGTTAAGAATAAATCATATCTTCTTTTTTTGTCTTCTTTGCCTTCACCCCATTCACTTTTGACTCTGAACAATTTAAATCGGCACAATACATCAATCTCAACACCCATCTTGTCGTCGTAAACATCGTCGTCGTTATTATTGTCAACAGTCATAATAATTTTAGAAATGATTCTGAATACCGAGATTACGAGACCGTTTTTATAATTCCTGGACCTAGCCAAATGAAAAATCGTAAGACTCTTGACTAGAAAACTTTTTTTCCAAATTTTTGTCGTGCATCCTTTTTGAGTTTGTTTTTTGACATATACATATATTTGGTTTTAACTCTCTCTCTCTCTCTGTTGTTCTGTTCTTGAATGGCCCCATCGAATGCGTATTTCATCACTTATGTGGTTTTTTTTTTATTTATTTCGTAAATTCGGAACTAACCGATTATGTACCGTATTCCGTCTGATGAATTTGATTGACATTTCCTTGAAATTCATCCCTCTAAATCGCTTTAAGTTGTTGTCCTTCGCTCATTTTTCTCACTCTCACATACCATCTCCAATTCGAATTTTGTGCAATGCTTCACTTAACCATTCAACCCATAAAATGAATTGCTTTTAGCGTCAATTTTTTTTTCTATTGGTTCTTTCCTGCGTGTTGCAATGACACGATGTTTTTTTTTGTTAAGAACATAAAATACGACAAATTTGCTCGCATTATCATCATCATGTCTTCATTCTAAATTCATCTCATTTTTTACTCGCTCTTTTTCTCTTTCATTTTGAATGTAATAGAGCTTTACTGACTTTATGAACTGAATTTCATTATTTTATTCATTCGTTTTGTTTGCTGTTTAATCTCCTTTTAAAACATGCTGAGCTTTTGCATCGTCTGTTTGAATAAAAGGGGTTTAACAATAACGCTGAATAATTATGATCATCATTTTTAACTCGCGAATTTTTTTTATTTCTTTTGTTCATTTCAATTTTTATCAAACAAATTTTTTGTCGAAATTAAATAATCGCGAATCGTTTTCTCTCTTCTCTTTGTTTCTCGTTGTTTTCTGTTGACAAATACAATCCACGCAAATCATCCCCTAGCATTTTCTTTGCAGCGAATTTTATTTGTCATTGTTGTTTTCATCTCATCAATTTAATTAGATTTTTTTTTCAATTGAAAGACAACAAATGTTCAGTTCCATTCAAATCCATGAGCAAATATTTTTTTTCTTTCAATAGTTTTTCTTCTCATTGTCATGAGTGCAATTTACTAGACGATTTTTTGTTGTTTACTTTGCAATATAAAGATTCTTCTCTCAAGAATATGAAATTTGTTTATTAGCCTGTTACAAAGAAACCGCTTGATTGCAAATTCAATAAACATTTTTTTTTGTTACATCAGACGTTCCCCGTTTCTGTTTCTATTCATTTGCACTTATACGGTTCTTATTTTAAACCATTTGATGATAGCGAGAACGAGCGGTTAGCAAATATTGTTTACCCGCTTTGTCAATTGACATTATTATTTCATTTAAAAAAAAAAGTCTTGATGGTGGAGAAAAACAAAATAGCAAAGGAAGAGAAAAAAAAATTAACACCAGAAAGGAAATGCGCAGAGAAAAGAAAAGAACAACTAGTTATGCGATTGCTTTGTCATTATTTGATTTTTTCACTTTGTGTTTGGTATTTATGTCAAGTTTTATTGAAAACTATATATTGTTTACTGTCCCATTATTATTTGTCGCTTCGTTTGTTTGGATTTTGCTTCATTTACCATTGTATGCCATTTTCTGAATATTATTTTCATTGTTTTTTTTTTTTCAAATCCTCAGTACTATAAACATATTGCATGTAAAAATGTATGTTCGTGTTGTGTGTATTTATTTTGCCCTTTGCATGAAATTTAAAAATTCAATTCAACTAATGTATTATTCTTTTATTTTCCCTTCCTTCTTTGCTCACGTAAAATGACAAAATTGTGTGTTATTTTGCGATAACAACCATATTCAACCATCGACCCTCACAATAAACACGAAATAGATACCGAAGGAGTCGAATACCAGGCCTAAAAACGCTCGCTACAATTGTACGTTGGATATGGCCACGTGATCGTTGCACAAACTGTCAATCAATTTATTCGATAACGCGGCCCAGTGACATGATTACAAAGAATATCGACCAAATACATCGGTCGACCGATGGTCGTTTCGTAATAACGTATGGTTCCGATTTGGAAATATCTCGACCAACAAGTGCAACAGGTTCGAATTCAAGTGAAAGTGATGATGGTGGTTTTTTGCCGCGACAAAGTCAACAACAATTGAACAATAAAACGAATAATAAAAATAAATTGCGAACATCTTGGCGCCGGCCACTTGTATCATATCCAAGTGAAATGAGCTTTGGCCCCGTAACACCAACGCCACGTCGTGCTTCCCACGATGGTTTATTGCGAATTGGTACTAATGAACAGCCATTATTACAAATTGTGCCAGTTGAATTGCATCCAATTCCGCCAACTTATCAAAATATTAATTCATTGGATCGTAATTCAATGCGTCACACACTTCCGTATCCTCATACACCATCACGGGTGTCACGCATTGTATCCAGTTCACCGGCTGTATCTAGTCCAATAGCACATTCGTCAACAATTTTATCGCCGCAATCAATGTATTTCAGTGATCTATCGTCTGTGCTACAGAACAGTTCACGGGATCGCACACCACGGACGCCACAAAGTTCAAATATTAGCCAATTACGTTTGTTACAGGAGCGTTACGCACAAGAGTTGCCATCGTTGCGTGCCATTCATGAGGAAACACAACGAATGGCAGCTCAATATCCAATGCATGAACAAATGCTACACACACCGTCCCAATATCTACCAAATTCATACTATCATCCTCATTTGCATCACATAAATTATGATCAATCGCCGTCGTCACCGTCACTTGTACAACATCATCATCATCACCATCATTATCAATCGCAACAACAGCCATTGGTTCATCAAAGACAAAAATCACGACTTCTACCTCGTCACATTCGTATGGCACGAAGTGCACCTGAACTTGGATTGCCAACGGTCAATTATATTGATACAACGATGGAAGCATCACCGGAAAGTCAATCAAGTTCGAGCGGTTTTGGCAGTCGAAATACATCACATGCACTGCACAATCATAGCTCACGCTCAGGAAGCCAGCCAAGTGTTCGCAATCTACCACCGTATAGACCACCACCACAACCATTTTACTATTATTATCCATACGATGCATCATCGACGTCACAACATTCATCGCCATACACGATGGACCACTGGGTCGATTTAATCAAACAAATGTCCGGCGACAATTATTTAACACGGACCAATGAAAATCAAATGGCATCCGATGCAAAAGCCGTTGACGTTGGCAGCGTTGATGGTCACTATGAATTCGATCCAGCCACACCAACGCCGACTGCATCAACACCAACGGGAGCAACACGAGACGATCTATTATTATCCACACTACCAAATTCCCAATTTACGCTATTGCAAACAACACAGTCACTGCAACCATACCAACGTAAACGCGTATCTAAATATGAAAATATGGAGGCACGAGTTCAGGCTATGAAGGAAGAATTTTATGCTTATCGAAAACGTCAAGCTATGCAAATGCAACAACATCATTCAGCCTCTACCAATGCCAATAAAAATAGTTCAATCGAACTAGAAAGCGCTTGTTAACTAGAATTTAATGAAAACAAACAAACAAATATAAATGTTCAACACACCACAACAACACTACAAAGAAACCAACTACAAAACGAACACGCTAAGATAACAACAACAACAAACAAATCTAATGTTAGTTTAGAAGAGAAAAAAAAAAACAAATGGAAAAATAACGAGAAAAATTGTACACACCCATGATGAATCCCCATGAATCCTTTTGAGTAAAAATTCATTTTGGAATTTGTTACTACCACTTAACAACACAACCACACTGACAAATCATTCGGATATGCCCGTTTGATTTTGGCAAAGATTTGGCATTTCTGATATCATTCATATGAACATCTATATTCCATATCTACACACTGCACAAAATAATTGGACTTTCTTTTCCAATTATTTCTTTGTAGCTTCATCATGCGTTTTTGAATATCGAAAGACCAAATTTTTGCAATTCATAGACCAAATCAATTTTCCGACCATTTTTTTCCCATCAACTCATTTCTAAATTGTTTGGAAATGCTTCGGATAATTTCCGAACCATTTGTCAGTGTGGTGAATATTATTAAATATTTAAAAAAATAAATTGAATAGAAAAATCGTGAAGTTTTTTGCAAATACACTTAATTTTTAATATAAAAAAGAGGCAGTAATTGACACTGACATTGATCTCGTTATTAAAGTACACACGGCAAAACAAACAACAATTTAATTAAGATGAAATATTAAGTGAGACAATTACTAATGAATTAATAGCGAAAACATTTCGAATACGAAAAAAAAAACAACTTTTTATAACAATTTTTTTTCGATTCACTTGAAAATGACGAAACAAAACGAAACGAACGAATGTCCCTGAAATGAGCCGAGCTCGATTATCGGCAACCAAAAAAATGTCACTCATGGAAAATGGAAATACTATTGGTTTCACTAAGCAAAATATGTTTTTTTCAAACAAAAAAAGAACAATGTTGTATCGGAATGGAAAAGTCATCTCACCTCCAATCAGCGCTGAAAAGTTACTTTTTTTCTCTGTTTTTACATAGCCATTTAGATTCTATATGTGCTTTAATTTATAAGAATTTTTCTCCCACCAGAAATTCTTGTGTTCACCTTTTACTTTTATTTCGAATCATCTAAATTTTATTTTAAGTTTAATATCAAAATTTTTAAGAAAATTTGTTGAAAATTATTTTATGTTTTTTTCGTAGGCCACCTTTGAGGTTGTTTCGGTGCAACATCCGATCATTAAAAAAAACATCAAGACTGGTCTTTGCCATTTCCATGTCAAATGAATTAAAATTTAATTAAGATGGATACATATAGATATATAATTGACATTTAACAACAACAGAAACGTTCATTTAAAAAGAAGAAAAGAAAGATATGCCGACAAGAGACAAGAGAAGAATTAAAAATGAATACATGAGTAAATATTGACGATGTTTGCGATCAAAACACAGACAAAACAATGTTGCATCGCCACACTCTTTTCATTTGAATGTTGAAATATTGTGTAAATAAAATAAATTTAGGAGACAAATTTTTATCAACCGAATATATTATATTATATATTATTCAGAAAAAAAAACTGTGGATGACCGTAGAGGGTGCGAGAATAAAAGAAAATAATATAAAATTTAATAAAAAAAATGTAGCGTGATTGCTAGTGTATCGCGCATCGCGAATTGTCCGCGAACCGATACATAAGTTCCAATATATTAAAGAAACTGTTTCAAATGAAGATGAGACAAACAACAACACCAGTTGAAACTTAAAAAAAAATTATTTATATCAAAACGATTCCGATTTAAAAATGAAATTAAGCCCATCTCTCTTCGAAAGACGCTAGCAATAAACATTTCTGTAAAAATACAAGTTCTAAATTACAAAGTAATTATTATTAAATAAAAAAAAACAACACACACAAAGATTAAAATTACACAAACTGATTTTTAAAAACGAGTGAAAATTACTTAAACACATAAATGATATAATATAAATAAATAAATAAATATATATATATATAAAGAGAGTATAAAACAAAGTGGATAAAATATACCTAGCCATAATGCACGTTAAAACTTAAAATCTCGTTTCACCGAAGTAAATCATCGTGTTCGATGAATTAATTTCATCATTGCTTAAGATTTAAAAGAAGAACGTCTAACGAAAATAACAGCTTTTGTTTTTCTTTTCCCTTCAATTTCTCTTTATGCAAAACTCACCCAATTGGCAGGTAGTAGTGACTTAAAGCAAACGCATTTTAACCACTTCATATTTATTAACATATAAAAAATGAAAGCAAAAAAAAAAATAGATGAAACACATAACAAAAATCGAAAAACTATTATTATGTGTATTTAAAAGAAGAAAAAAAAATGAAGAAATTACTGAAACAGACAAGAGATTTTAAATATATAGTTAAAGAAAAATTGAATGGAACAGATTTATAGGCACACACACACACACTCTCCATAACATAAACAAATGAAAATTACATAAACGATAATGAAAAACAAAAATGGTATATACATTAGTCTATGATATTTGACGAAAATAACCGATGATCGATTTCATTGGTGATAAAAGAGATGGTGTAGAGTTTAAAAGAAATCAGTTTTGCGTGAAATTACACAAACAAAATTTTGATTTAAATGAAAACGGATTGAGCGTTGGTTTGTTTATATATCGATTCTATTTTAAATGTATTTAACAAAAAAAAATGGAAAAAAACCTAAACAAAAAAGTGTGAGTAAAAAAAATGTAAGGAATAGTAATTGATTAAATTAAAACTAGTTAAAATTATCGATTGATCAGTTCAGACGCTACAAGCCATATATATATAGATAACACTCTTTCCAATGACAAAAACAAACAAAAACCAAATAACCGCGGAAATAAATTGCCGAACACCACACAATATTTCAACATTTTTTCCGAACATTAGTCGACACATTAATACACACACGCGCGCCGCGAACTATACAATAAATACGAATTATCGAATTGACACATTCACTTATCGATTTCGATAAACCTCATCCAATTTACACGCATAAAAAAACACATCCCCGATTTTATTAGAGAATGAACAACTAAATAAATTACAATTGCATAAATTGAAACAAAAAAAAAATAAAACTTTAAAATTTAATTGCACATAAAAGCAAATTAATTCACTAATTACTTACGAAAAAAGGGATATAAAAAAAACATTAAGAAAAAATTAAAGCATGACAAAAAAAATAATGTAATTTAATTTTAAACTTAGATCATAGTTATTTATTTAATGGGAAAAAAATAATAATAATAATAAAGTAATAATATCGGTTTGAAAATTTAACACACACAAACACTCAACACAACTCAACTAAAGCAAATAAAATTCAATGTAAATCTATCCACACGACGAAAAGCAATTCAAATACTATTACAACAAATTGAAATTGATAGAGAAAAAACCAAATTTTATTAGAGATTCTTCGACAACCAACAATATTCCTCAGATCGTTTAGTAACAGCAACAAAAAATTAAATTTATTAAATAACAAACACACACACACAACAAAAGCATGTCTAACATCTAGCGAAAAAACAAGAAGAACAAACAATGAATAATAATCCTCACTCATAACAATTATTAAAATCAATAAGGTAATGAAACTTTAGAATGCTACGTGGATCAACGATTGATGAACAAAAAAAAAATAGCAAAAACAAACAAAAAGAATGAATACGATGCAAATCGTCATTAAACTACACATAATAGATTTTTAGATACGATTACAGTCTTTATAAAAAAAATTACAATAGCCATTAAGACAACAAGCAAATATTAACGGAAATAAATTTAATTGAATTACAAATAGTTTAACAAAAACAACGGCAGCAAAAACACACGATAAACAACCGATTACAAAAATGCGATTACACATGCAAAATCTTTTCTGATAAAAATCAATAAATAAATAAAAATACAAATAAAATCGTCTCTCTATTATTTCAATTATTTTTCGTTTTGGACTTCTATGAGGAAAATGCTGAAAGGTAAGGCTGACTGAAATAAATGAACAAATCGATTAAGCTTATAAATGATTTTCTTTCTTCTTTATTGTTCCATTCATAAACAAAATTCTTGTATAAACATTTTAAACTCGATAACAATATATTATCTATTTGGCCGCTTTCGATTAATTGAAATTTTTAAAAAATGCACTATTTATTAAAAACGTCCAATTTTACTGATAAATTGGGGGACAATAAATTTAGCTGTTGTTAACTGTAGCTTTAATAAATAATGAATTAAAACAGTATTTTGTGCTTAAGCCTCCGGTTGATGATTTGCCGTCTACTAACTTATTACTTATTGCTTTCCGATAAACACTCGTTAACACTGTATCTAAGTAGATCGGATATGTCCAGATACACCGTTCTAACTAGTGATTGGAATTAGTGAGTTCCAACAAGGAGTTTGATTACCGAAAAGCGATTGTCTGATTCATTTGTCAAAAATATCACGTCGCATTTTGCTTTTTTATTATTTCGGTTTGAATGAGTGCATATGCACTTGAGTGAGACTCGTGCACAGAACCAATCGAGCCAATTAAATTTTATTGAATGCAGCAATGTTGGATGATTGATCGAAATCTTGAATGGACCAAGGAACTTGTCCAGAGATTGCATTGCATCGGATTTAAGACTCAAAGAGAGATCACCGTAAAATCATGATGACATTGACACAGTATCTGCACAACACTCTCATTAATCTTAAAGGTTTCAATTGATCCCGATATTCTATTGTTCATATAAAATTAATACTCGAACTAGTACTCGAAGCAAACAATGGGCCACATGATAAATTCATGTCGAATGACGAACAGGTGAGTTTTGGCTCATTATAATTTGACTTGATGGACGTTTTTTTTTTTATTTCCAAAAATGTATTTATTTATTTATTCACCGTCTGATTACAGACTGAACTTATCACAAAATTTGTACAATATCGTTCACAATGAGACACTAAATGAACAATATTATTCCTAATTTTTTTTTTTTTAAACGGAATGAATGAAATACAGATGGTAGTTGCTGAAGAAGAAGATCCAAGTGCTAAGGGGTCTTATGACATCGATTTAAAATGTACCAAAAAAGTAACCGATCAGAAAAATTCAAGTGGAACGCAGCAACAAGATGGAAATGGTGATCGTGATTTCACATGTAAACCGAAAGCCATAAAAGCACAATGACAAAACAACGATAGTCTACTGAACTATCAACAGATTCCAATGTATTTAAATGCCCTGCCATTACCCATTTTCAAATATATAAATATGCTTTGATAGGCAAATGGTTTCATTTATGCCTACCCAACCATCATGACTGAGAGATGTCATATTGTAAAATCGCCATCTGGTGACGTGTGCGAATTGTGGTTGAAAAGAACCGATATGTAAATTTAGTCAAGACACCATCCAACAATTCCGTCTTTGTAATTACATACATTGATAACCACGTCAACAGATGGCGCATTATTGTGCGAATTTTTTCTCTCCTATATTAATAACACGGGTCTCACTAAAATTGGCACAAATTCATAAGTACGTCATTTGAATAACACACATACAATATTAAATTCGTTTTAATTGGTATAAATCTTTATTCATTGGCTATCGTATAGCACATTCACATCACACTGAACGGACCATTGTCTTCGATTTTTTTCAGTATGCGTCGAACCATCAAAATTATGTTCTGGACAACCGATTTGTCGATTTCTATCAACTTTCTCTCAATCCATCCAACCAATTGTTGCACGTTTCAAGTATTTCGGACCTTCGTCTATAACATACATCCAAAAACAGACGAGAAATAATTAATTTGGTGTTTTTTTCTGAATGAATTTTTGCCTGACCAACCCGGTTTTCGGTACATGATGACAATTTTGAAGGATTTGAGCATTTAAATTGGGAATACGACAAGCTTTTTGCTTTTCCTAGAATCTTTATATTCATATTAAATCCATGAAACACGATACATGGTTCGAAGATAGATTGGTTCATCTATAGACACATGCAGAATTTGTTTTGAACTTAGCTATAAGTTTTGAACTTAGCTATAACTTAGCTTAACCATTTGAGACACTTTTTCGTAAATCCAATTTGTATGACATTGCGAATAGATGTATTTCGTCGAATTGAGTTTGATAGTAGTCTCGAAGTACTGATAAATGTGCCGTGTGCATTGGTCGACATTTTGGTATTTGTTATTGCAGTGTAATAAACGCTGTAAGTTGTGCCAATTTGAGTGAGACACGTGTTATACAGGGACTCATGGTGGTTGTACCTACCATTGGAAATGCTTGGCATTCTTTTTTTGAAGAAAATGCAATTAATTAACCCTCTAGTGCATAGCTCAATTAATTAACCCTCTAGGCATGGTGTATAAATTATTGTCTAAAATATATAATTAAAAAAAAAAGATTTTATTTATGAATTAAAATACATTCAGTAGGGTTCAGGCTTTCATTTTCCGGTCATTTGACAACTGGATGTAAATCGGTTGTTTAATTTTAAACACGGTTGTACTCAAAGCGCGACGATGACAAGCAACGTTAACCGTAGCGCCATGGTGCGGTTGCCAGAGAAAATAAAAAATGGCACAAATTTCGATCGCCTAAACCAAAAATGGTACAAATTTGTGTCACCCAACAAAAACAGTGACAACCACAATGAAGTTGCTGCGTTGCCCAGCTGTCATTGTCGTCGTGCTTTGGTTGTACTCGAAAAGAGAAATTTGACAAAAAAAATTATCATTTTCTTTGTTTAAAGCAGTTTTACTGCAGTTTAAACAATGGTTTTGATTGTTCTCGAATTTTGTCAATAGCATTTTTTGAGAATAGAAAAATAAGTCTCAAGTCGAAAAAAAATTAATGCATTCGAGGGTTAAAATGGCGGCAAATAGAAATTCAAAAATTCAATTATGCTTATTTTTCTAATTATAACGTAAAATAAAAATGTGATCTCTAGATCTGAATAAATTGTTACTCAGCTGTTAACGATTTATCTGTGTCGGTCGGTTGTAAAACATTTTCGTTGCGAACGCTGGTCGTTCCATTTTTCGTCTCACTAGACTTTGATTGCCGTTCGAAAAGTAGCACCATTTCAATGTGATCGGTGTGTGGAAACATGTCGACTGCGGCTGCTTCTTTCAATATAAATGGATAACCTTTTAATGATTTCGAGCATGGTCGGCTGAAATCAATCCAGTTTTGCATTGCCGCTTTTGGTGAACATGCGATGTAGATGAACCGATTTAATCCGCGGGCGTTCCTTAACGCTTCTTTTGAACGAGATTCTGTAAAATAAATCGATTACAATTAAAGAAAAATAAATGTGTTTTAGTCAAATTGACACGTACGTAGTCCTGCTCTGGGTGGATCCACAATTGCCAAAAGATTCTCATTTTCTGCTTCGTGAACCAGCGAGTGAATATAGTCATCGCAATTACCCGCGTAAAATTTCGAATTTTCAATTTGATTTTCTTGTGCATTGAATTTGGCGTCATTTATGGCTTCTTCGATAATTTCAACACCGAGAACCTCTTTACAATGCTGAATAAGAACAAAAGAATAAATGTTACATATAAGATATAAATAAGAATAATGAAAAATTCGGTTGGTTACCTTTGCGAAGCACAATCCAATGCTGCCAGTTCCGCAGCAAATATCGAGCACCGTTGTGTTCGGATCGATTTTTCCCATTTTAATTGCCAAATCGTACAAAACATCTGCCGATTTTGTATTGATTTGAAAGAACGATTGAGCACTGATACGGAATTTCAAGCCCAGAATTTCATCAGTTATATATTTTGATCCGTAAATATGACGTACTTTATTTTGCGTTTGTCCAATTTCTCGCTTATTTATTTCTTCGATATATATTGACGTTACATTCAACTCGTTGCTTACACGTTCCGTGAAATAGTTCACAATGTCTTTGATCAATTCTTCGAGTTCGTCGAGAATTTCAGTGGTATGGATACCAACGATAAGCATTATTTCACCGGTTGCATTTGATTGTCTGACAGTAAATTGTCTGAATTGGCCTGTATATAATTCCATACAAAAGACATCATATTTCGATGATTGAATGTATGTTTCGAATAATTTAACGGCCAATTTTGTGCGATCGGGAATGTGTGGTAAGTCGTTCACTGATCCAACCTCAACTGAACCATCGCTGTAGGCGCCCAAACGAAAACCGACCGTTTTCTCTCCATTTTCATTCTTTCCTACAGCAAATTCGCTTTTATTGCGGTAGCCATTGGTGTTTGGCGCTTCTTTTATACCATGCCACACACACGGTAAACCGGTTTCCTTTTGATTGGCCTGAATCAGTGGCCGTAGTTCAAGCGAAGCTCTTTTCACAGCTGTTGCATATGTTTGCAAATGTTTTATGCATTCTTTTTCTTTACGCTTCAATTGCTCTTCATATGGTATGTGTGCCAAAGGTACGGTCGCTTCAAGTACCGTTTTCTTACGAAATTTCTTTGGCTTTGGTGCATTTTGGTCGAGACTGCCTTCTTCCAGACGTCTTTTGAGCAATGGATCCAAAACTGCTTTGGCATCTTTTACCGAAATTTCACGTCCTCTCCATTTGTATCCTGTCAACAACTTTTTCGCTTGCTCTTTTTCTTCAGCCGTTCGAAAACACAAGAAAGCATGGTCACGACCACCGTAGTGGTTTTTTGTTTTCATTTTTGTCGGATTTAGTTTCAATTTCTTTGCCAATCCTCGTAATTCCTATTTGTGGAATGAAAAAAAAAAATTGATAGATTTATCATTAATGTCAATGGAAGGAAAAGAAAAAGAGATGAGAAATATGCAAAAAGGAATACTAACCGCATACGCAAATTTTCCCAAATTGGTGATTTCAATTTTGTTGCTATCTGAATTGAAATCCTGTCGAACTTGTTGATTGTCACCAGTTTCGTCCGTTTGAACACCGTTATTTTGCTCAATTCCCACATTTTCCGCGCTTTCGGTTTCCATTTTTCTATATAAAATTCACGACCAATTTCGTTCGACGTAGACCACTTCCCAAATATCTCTTGGCACATGTTGTTTACATGCCGCTTGTGTCAAATGTGACGGTGACAGCTCGATTGTGCCGTTCAATTTCATATTGAACGTTTATGATGAACGCATTCATTGCAGTGGTCGGTTAAATTCAGTTGTTTCAATATTCATTTATTTCAACTTTTTAATAAACTCAAAAATGAATACTTTCGTTAATTTGAATTCAAATGTTTTTTTTTCTTTATTCGTACAATAATAATGATATTTTTTCTAAATAACTTCATGTAAAAAAAATCAGTAAACAATTTTGGTGAATCGAACACCAATAAATGTGTGGAGACGCCTCCACAATATTTTTTTTACTTCTCAGTCAAAGTTCATCAAGTGACTCAATGAGCCGAACATAGGCGAATGGCGACGGTGGAGAATTGTTATTTTCGTCATCGCTGTCGTTTTCGCTAAAATCGATGAGACATTCTTCTTCATCATTTATCTTCGGCTCCTTCTTCGGCGCCGTATCGGTCTGATCCGTTGATTTTGTGCATTTAATTGGAGTAAGTACTTGGAAAGCTTGAATGTGTTCGGGTAAACTGCCTAAAATTTCATCCAAACTTACGGCTGAGATGACTGGTAACGATGAATGTTCTTGTTCATGTGTTATGAGGCAGCCTTCTGATTGAGACAACGACAATTCGTGGACAGCTTTTGAATTGTGTTCTGGCTTTTTTAAATCTAGAATGGCAATGTCATCAGTGGAACAGCTTGGTGATGTGATTGATTTAAGTTCAACACCACTTTTGTTTAACGTATTGGGTACACAAGTTGTGCACGATGAGCTCGATTCAATATTGTTGTTTGGAGCTGTCGATCGTGTGGTCAAATTAGTTTGTTCGGTCACAAAAACATCGTTTGTTGATTCCGATTCAGTATTACTGCTAGGAGCTGTATCCAAGAAAATTGGATGTAAATTAATTGGTTCCTTTACCGCGAATCGATACTTTATTAAATTTTCTGCAACCAATTTTCCTTGATGTTTATCATTAATTTTGTGTAGGATTTTCAAATCCTTAACGATCAATCGACGATCGAATGTGGATATTATCTCAGCCTGGAGATAACCGTCGATTCCATCCTTTGGTTTGAGCGTTTTCATAATGTGCTCTACAAGTGTATTGGCCTCCGGTAGCCATTTGGAATTGAAGTCATTTGGCACATAGCCGAGCACGAAAATTTCAACAGCACGTGATGGAAAATCTTTAAAATCTCGATCCATTAAGTACAAATCCTGTTCAGAGCATTTTCGCGTATGTCCATCGTCGATTAAATAAATGCGCACACCATGTCTCGTTGATTTGGAAAGTACACGACATCGTTTCGGTCGATTGTGATAGAAGTACACGTACATTTCACCAATTCGAATTGGATGCGCTGGCTCACGGCTTTCATCGCACGTATAAAAATCACGGAATGCACATTCAAATCGCTTTAGTTCGGAATCCAAATCGTTAATGGGTTTTGATTTATGCTTCAAATTTCGCTTGTATGATAGCAAACGCACCGAAAAATGATTCGGCGCCAAGACATGAATCAATTCCATATTGACAAAACCATGTGAATGCGGTACTTCCGTGTCATCGCAATTGGCGATTAGTGTGTGACGATATGGACATTTGACATCACATATTTTTGACTTCGTTATTAGGTCAATGCATAGCGGTTTATTTTCTTTGGATTTCTCCAGAGTCATCATGAGTTTCTGTAAGAGATTATAATCAAAATTAAACGATAATTAAAATATTTAAAATTGAAAATACATATTCCTGTGTTTGTGGCTCACCTCGATAATCTGCGTCAAAAATGGTGGTACATGGCAATGTGTTCGTTGTGCAATGAGTTCATAAATTTCAATGAATGCTTTGCACAAATTGTCATCAAAATAAATCAATGCAATAGGCTGAGCAAGATCGTTTCGATCAACTTTATTCAGTAGCTCACGGTCTAATTTTTCCGTGTAGTAACCAAAACATGTGATGAATCGATGCAGAAACGTTTCCACTTTGTCCGGTAATGAATAGTGAACGATGTGACTGGCTGTGCGAATTGGATAGGAATTGAGGTCGGCGTCCTCACACACCAAAATATTTGGTCGCGATAAATACATATCGAGTGTACGCGACTGTTCTGTCCAATTAACTAACTCTGAAATGATTAAGAAAACAAAATCATTACTTTATTATGCATAGAATTTCCGCTCGATTTGTTGTTTGGTATTATTATTTGTTTGACTCATTTATTGACCTATTTGAAGACGCGTTAAAAAATTATATCATCTGAGGTCAATTGGTGACACAACCAAGATATGACTCATAGCAATGGTGGTTCATTCAAATCAACTTACTCAACTGATTTAGCGAGAAAAACGAATCGAAATCAGTACATTTGATATTGGATTGCGTGAGACATCCTGACACATACTTAACATCTTGTATGTTCGTGCATACAATGACAATCGATCCATACATTTTACTATGTGGATCTTGCAGTTTATCTACAATGGAAACACAAGGCAAATGTGTTTATTACAAAATATTTGAAAATTTGATTTTTGAATGAAAATATGAGAATTTATTTGGTTGATTTTCCATCTACTCACCGATTAAATCCGAAATTTTCACTTCAGCTGGTAAAAATTCAACCACAAAAAAGCATTCAGCAAATAATGCAGCTTCAAATGGTGTCCGATCGCCGGACAAGACCATCGGAAGTTTTATGCGGTCAAACAGTTCATTCAAAATGGGACAATATGTTTGTGAGGTAATTTGCACCTGAAAAGAAAGAAATGTCATTTTTTTAAAAAATGAAATCGACAAAAAATGATGATTGAATATGAACCTGAATATCAAGATTTTGTGCCAATATGATCTCCAGTGCACGGTGTGTTTCGACATCATTTGTGTGGCACATGTTGTCAATCTGATGGAACCACACGTATCGCAATCGATTCGATCTGAAGAGTTTTGACATGTGATTGACAAGTGTTTCAAAGCAAAATACTGATGTCACAAGGATATCAATATGATCCATTGCCATCAATGTTTCGATTTCCAAAGTGCTGTTCAAACAAAAAACAGTCAGCAATTTAAAGTTGGCCTTTTCAACTAGTTTTCGGCATGTTGCTGCCATTCGCTCGACTTCTTCAGCACCATTTACAAAAATGATGCCAATTGGTTCTATTCTATTGCTTGTAGTCCAGTCGTTGACCGTTCGCTGTTCGGATGAAAATTTGAAATTAAAACTTTCTCGCTGTTTGGATAAAAGAATCTTTCATTACAAAAAAGATGTGCTGTCCGAATTAGATGAGTCAATGAACTTACTTGAACAATTGTGCACAGGGTCGGCAAGCATAACATTTTATTACGGAAATGTTCATCAATCAGTATGAGTGAATTGCCACGCCTGACATGAATCGAACGAAATTTGAAGAAAATTAACAAAAAATTGTCAAAAACTATGAATTTCAATTGATTATTATACCCTTCGAAAATCAATACTTACATGATATGTGGCCAGCCGTATGCACAAAGCGGATCAATTGCACCTCGATACAAATGCTTCAGACAAGTACGCATTTGATTGTTAAAATAAAAAACATCTGCCCAGTCTCTTGCTGCATTTAAAAAAAAAATGAAAAGAATTAAATGTAATTTAAAAAAAATGAAATCAACAAAAAAATTATGAATAATGAAATTGAATGAGTATTTCATTAAAAAAAAACGAAACGAACCTGCCGTAACAATGTCGTCTGTTATTACCAGCACATTGCATCGGTTCAAGGACTTCACAGACAATGTTACCGAAAGTGTGCTCAAGGAGATTCCATTCAAAGTACTGTTACCATATGTTCCTGAACGACTCGGTTGTACTGATTCATTTTGAACGGACATATTGTGAATGGACGTATTTCGAACCGACTCATTTCGAGCTGGTGTGTTATCAATTTGTCCATCGAAAGTTATGGATTCATCATCATTCCAATAAATACGTTCGATCATTTCATCGTCAATTACGATTTCTTCATGCTCACGCGGCATCGTCAATTCGTGATTTAGTCGTAGAAAATCTTCACGATTCAAAATGCCAACATCTGTTCCAAAGAGATTTAATTGGGCAAAGACTTAAATTTCTCAATTTCTCAAAATAATCAAATTGCATCACAAAAAAAAATCTACAAAAATATCATTCGTTTTTTAATTTACCATTGATGTAGTTCTCCTGAGCAAGTAAAGCTACTTTTATTTCACATAAACCTTGTGCCACAGAGAATGGTTCGTTGTTCTCATCAGGACATCGCAATTTCAATTGGCCAAAATGTCGACCACATTGATTTGATTCAATTTCAAAAAACAGCTCTTCCTCGTCCATAATCCATTCGTTGAATTTTTCGTTCGCATTTTTTGACCATGTCTCACATTTTTTAAGTTCGAAATCCAAAAATTCAGGAACAAATACCTATGAAACAGACCACAAATCGAATCATTTCAGTCCAATATGTGTATATTTATTTGCAACTTACGTGTTTCGCTGGTACAATTCCAGCCAATCCACCGATTTGAACATTTATCGGATGACGATAGGCCAATCGTTGGTCTTCAAGTAGAACCACATTGCTTAGCGGTATTAGTAGTTTACATCCATAATCAATGGCCCACACATAAATTGAATCCACTTCACCGTCTTTGTTGGCTTTTTTCAACTGGCCAGCTTTTCCACGAATCCATTTCTTCCATTTAATGTAAAATGCAAGAATTACATCACACGGTTGAATATCGAATACCGGCAAAGTTCCACCATTATTCTGAACTAAATCAACGACATAACAATTGATTTCACGATCAAATGCTTCCAACAAACAATTTGAGTTATCATCGATATATTTAAACCAAAATTTGTGCGGACTGTCGATTTGGTTGATTTGTATTGATTTTCGTACCATTTCATTTTGATTGACTGACATTTTGCCAAAAATATTTTAATGACGCACACACAATGAATGTCAATCGCCGAATGCCTTCACGCAGTCTTCCTGTTGCACACTATGGTGTAATAGTTGTTGCCAATGAATATCGACGAAGCCAACATCGCCGTTATTCGATTTGTAATTTGTCGGTGTTGATGTTAAGAGAGTGCACAAACACAAACCAAACCAAATAAACGAATAATCGTTTTGCGTCGCAACAGAAACATGACACCGACCACTTGTTCAGATTTATCCGAAATACGGATAGTTTTGTTTATTTGCCGTTGAATACAATGCTTGTTTTCGCGCTCATTTTGTCTCGAAACCAAATTTCCATTCAAACAGGATTCGGGTTTGTGTACTCAACAACATTTTACATGTATTTGTTTGTGTGTGAAGTTTCTGGTTAAACAAAACATCGATTATTATGTCAAAATGAAACAACTGAGTCTATTTGTCACAAATGCGATTGATTTTTTTTTTATAACGAAACCATATAAACAAATGTTGATAGTTAGTTTAATATTTCTCAACAAAAATAAAATTGATATAATGAGTTATGATGCAATGCCAGCATCCACACAACAAACCTTTTATTCTTGCAACGATAGGTTCATCTCCACTCATTAATGAAAGAAGAAGAAGAGAGAGTGCTAAAGGGCAACGAAACGTTCTTTTATTTACATGATGCTCACAACGTAAGCTGTTGGTGTGCGTTCAAATTTTTGGTGTTATTTAATTAACAATCGTCATAGATTGTGACAATTCGTTAGCAGAGGTTATGTTCATTTGGTCGATTTTTGCATTTCACACTTTCATTTCGATTAACAGCTTGCTGACGAAATACACGAGTCGTAATCGTCCATGCTTACCGAGGCTGTGCGTTGCTGCACAACACAAATTTGATGAGAATGATTCTAGTATTGCGCCATTCAATGAATGAGAAACGGGTTAAGTGGCAGACGAAAAGAAATGTACAACATAAAATGTGCTCGTAGTCACATGCAAGTTGACACATCAGTATGTTTTATGGCGCGATAATAAGTCGACTGGTTCAATTCAATTATGTGTGATAAAAATGTTGGTTTTTGTCCTCGCAACTGAAAATATCTATATAATTATATCAAAATGGTGATAAATTTTTTCTGAAGCACATGTGAAAAAGCGCCGTTTTATTAATGGATAAATGGACATAACATCTGGTTTGCTGATCTCACAAATTTGCATTTAAATTCGTTATTGTTATTATAAACGATGGTTTTATCAATGAGAACATGACGTACCAAAAGCCTCAATGCAATTCATCTCTTGATTGTATTAGATAAATTAAATAAGACACCAGCTAAAAACATAGTCAGACATGAGAGTGAACAAAGCAGCGAATGGACAAACACACAAATCGAGAGAGCAATGCATGTGATATTACGTGTATCATGTATCAATCGATGTGACATCCACCACATCTACACATAAAAAAATATGCGGTCAAATCAAAGGAAGATTCGGTTATTCAGTAGTGTGCAGTCAAATTTAAACACTTTGCGGTCATATTTTTTATCATTTTTATAATTTTGTGTTCTAGAATTGACTGCAATTTACCGCAGTCATAGTAAATTTAACCGCACTCGCATAAGCGTCAAAATCAAACAATCAATTCATCGTGTACGAGTGTTAATTCATTATTATAAAACATTTACGTTAAAAATATTTTATTTTCTGTTTAAAAAATATTATTTTATTTAAAATAATAAAGAAGAACTAATATTTTTTATTATTTTTATCATTTTTATAATTGTGTGTTCTAAAATTAACCGCATTTTAATTCTGCGTAAATTGCGGTCAATTCTAGAACACAAAATTATAAAAATGATGAAAATATGACCACAATGAGTATAATTTTGACCGCACACTACTGAATAACCGCATCATCATTTGATTTGACCGCATAGTTTTTTTGTGTGTATGTACCACACTCAGTCAACGCACATCTAATTCAATGAGCAGCAAGAGACTACACAATAAATAAGCACACAAAAGACAACAATATCAACACCACCAGATCAGTGAGTAAAAAAACAGAATTCGCCTTTAATTCAGGCATATTAACCAAGTCACATTAAACTGTTGCTCAGTTGCGATTTAATTTCCGCGATGAAATGTTTTGTTATTTAATACACATCGTAATATACCAAAATTACATCAATTCTTAGTGGTTCGTGTGGATTTTTTCAAACATTTCAATAGATAAAGTTGTACGCTTTTTTATTCGTGTTAGTGGTGATGTTATTGTTTCATAACGTTTTTTGTGGATTTTTTTTCGAATTTTTCGATGAATAGGTTATCAATGAATCTTATGAATGGAATAAAATGGTTGAAATTACTTATATTGTGGAAAATTGAATCAAGTGAATTTCTGATGGATTTCAACGACAGAGTGTTTGTTCGGTGTATATTTTAAATATCTGCCGCTATAAATAGTTAGATTAATATTAAGTGTAACAGAAAACTTCGATTAATATTTTAAATAACCCAAGAGCGACAGCTATGTCGGAAAGTAAAAAAATGTATATCCAGTCCGTAAATTGCTTCGTTGCTAATGTATATACACGTTTATCGTTGTCAGTCATTGGTTCCATCAACGTTTTCATTAAATTTTCATTAATTATAATCAACGGTTGATGCATGAATTGAATAATAATTTTCCGCTTATTTACGGCAACGGATTAAAGCGAACCAATGCATTTAACTTTGTTGTTTGACTTTCAAATCAATACAAATTCATATTTGTGTTCAGTTACGTTTCGACACTTCAGCACCGCTCATCTCATTTTATCGCATCGATTTTTATCGATTCATAACAAACCAAGTCAACGAGATTCACATTGAACTGATTCTGGTTAGCATCACCTATGCGCCTCCATTGATACAAAGTAAAGAAAAAAAGTTTTTCACCGGTAAAAACATATAAAGTAATTTTCATTTTCTGAAAATTCCAAGTACGACCCGCAGCGAAAATAGAATAATAAAATTCACTAAAGTGTATGGAGCAACTTTATTAGTTTTTGCACAGTGTTCTACTTACGGAATTTGCATTTTATAGTTCAAATAGAATTTTCACTGTTGCATTCGCTTGTTGTTGAAACTGAAAATTGTTTTTCTTGCATTTTCTCTTGTGTCATTTTCTAGTTTAACATTTTCAATTTCACCTCTCTCTATCATCATTCAGTCTTAACATCCACTTAATATTACCATCTGATGCCATTCAATTTTCTCTCCGAATTTCAATTTTATATTATCTATTGCGTTTTTTTTTTTGTTTCATAAACTCATTTCATCTCTCCCTACGTACTCATTTTCCGAAAGAGCATCATTTAACTAATTAATAGCAGACGGTAAACAAGTTTCAGGAGATGCAATATTTACCTCGACTTTAGACTCATAATTCGACTGACTTTTTTATGGGCCAGTATTTTCTATGTTATTTCAATTTGAAGTTTTAAAGTTTAAATCAGGGAGTAGAAAACACTATCGCTGTATTGACAGTGCCTAGTTACAATTTGTACACATTTCGATTGTGTGATGACAACAATTTTTGTGAACTTTAATGTAAACTTTACAAGAAGTACAAAGGGTCACATTGTTAACAAAAATAGTTGTCGCCACACAATCAAAATGTGTACAAATAATAGGCATTGTTAAAGTAATATTACCAAAGCGATAGTGTTTTCTACTCTCTGGTATAAATATTGAACTATCAATAAATCTATCGATATCAAAATATTTTCTGCTGAATTAAAATAATCTATGAAAATGTCAAAAATATAAAATCATTCGAATATTTTGCGTTGTTTTTCAATTGGCATTTATAAAAGGAAAAAAAAATCGCTCATAATTAATGTTGCTACTTTTGCCAATTGTGAGATAAGACATATAGAAGATATGCTGATGATAAAATTAAGCATATTATCAGAATCAGGTCCAATTAAAATTGTTTTGTTGTTGTTTTTAACGAATAGACTGCTACTCGTTGTAAGCCAAAATAGCTCGTAATTTCGCATTAATTCATTGAATCGTGCTGAATGTTTAAGATAAACAGAATATTAAACACAACGTTGAATACAGTTCACCATACTCACACACTAACATGTGGCCAATTTACTTTGCAGAGGAATTTTACGAATGGAATTAAGGATGAGAACGATTGCAGTAGCTGCGCTTACGTTGCATTTACTTTGTATGTGCCAGTGCATCGATATAGATTTGTTGAACAAACAAGCAACGTATGTTGATGCAAAGGTCGGAGAGTACGCCGTATTCAATTGCCCGTTAGATTTTCCGCAGGATATTGAAATACCATACATATTACATTGGAACAAAGAGGTGAGTATAAAACGAGAAACACAACAAGGTTGAACAATTTAATTAGGTTCAGTTCATTCAGTCGACAACCGATAAGAAAACCAATTTTCTTGGATACAGCATCTATTGAACATTTCCGTTTTTTAACGATAATTCAACTAACTAGCTTTAACTGGATCAAATAATTTATTTTTTTTATTCACGAGAAATTAGCTAATCGACGACAATCGTCTATTTTCCATTTCAATTACGTTCGAGCCCATATTGAATTTCGTCGTAAAAATATTTTTACTTTTTAGATTGAGTCGGGTATTTTTGTCACTTACTTCAATTGAACATGCTCAATTTACATTGGCCATGTAATTCACGTGTAAATGTAAATAAATTGGATATTACATATTTTGTTCGGAACAGTAAAATTTTTCGACTAAATCCAGAGAGAGCAATTCGAACCAGAATATTCTGAAGGTTTTTCAGATGAGAAAGGATTTTTTTTAAAAAAACAGCAACGGAAAGATGCAATATCCGATGATTGAATTGGTCATGCGATACTTCTCACGTACGAACAATGTATACCATTGTTAATATGTACGCAAAAAATAGGAATATTTTGAATAAAACATCCTTTTAATTCATTTGAAGTGGTCAAATCGAATTTGAACTTGCAATCGTGTCCGAATTTCAAAAACATTTCAAATCAACTCCGAAGCATTACGCAATTATTACCGTGATATAAAGCGATTGTACAATAGATTTTAAAGTTCGATGATGCGAAATGCGGACAATTGTTTTCGGTGAAAGAGAGATATTGGGCCACCGCCTTTTGATTAGTTTCGAATGTCATATCAGAATAATTCTATACGAATTTAAATAAAACACTCATCGAAAGAAAGAATAGATAATTGTGGGTTCGAACAACAGAACCGAATGACTCATAAACACTGTGGCCAATGAGCGAATATTATATTAACCATTTGTCAGGCAATAATGAGCCTGCGAATGCAAACAATTACACTACAAGCAATGAATGAATCGTCAATTGATTTAGCTACTTCGTAAATGCTACACAGAGAATGATAAAGTTCACACATCACTGAATTTGGTGAAATAGCAAAATATACAAAACACACAACACTTGCATTTAATTACAAGTGCGCGCCTATTTTAAATTTTATTAAGCAGCAAGAGTCAGCAACATACACACTGTATGTGCTAGATGAGCGCCTCATTTGACCCGTTTCACACATATTTTTTTTTAATTGGTTAATGTTGTGTAAATGTGATGACATTCACCAGACTCTATGTGTAATCTGAATGCTAAAAACAGTGTTTTGCATAGCGAACTTTAACAAATGACTCTAATCAACTTAATTATCAACATTTTTATCTTGTCATTTTTTCTTTCGTTCTTTTGCGAAACACACGCATGTATTTGGGTTTGATCTGAATTTAAATGTAAAACTTTATTATTTAAGGGACACAAGGCATTTGCATGGTATGATGGAAAATTGTCGGCCGCAGATTACTATGTGGGACGTGTAGCGTTGCTGGATAACGCCTATGGGTATGGACGTGCGTCGGTGAATTTAACATCAATTCGCGAAACTGATTCTGGCTGGTATGAATGAACGTTTGCAAATTGGACATAAAATACAGATTCAATCGCATAAAAATTCTCTTTTATGTTTTTTCACACAATTTTTAGGTATGAATGTCGTGTTATTTTCCCTAATCGTACACCTAGTACAAGAAATAATGGCACATGGTTTCATTTGGCCGTTGAAAGTGGTTCGCTAATTAAAATTCCGCCGATTAATCAAACGGTGATGGAAGGCGAGATGGCATTCTTTCATTGTGTAACCAAAGAACCAGAGCTATCGTTTGCAACATGGTATAAAGACGGCATCGCTATATCTGATTTAGATGACCTCGGTCAAAGATCCGTTATCACATCGGACGGAAGTCTTACCATAAATCCGACAGTTATGACTGATTTGGGAGAATATGTGTGCATCGTAAAATCGATTGAAAACGACGAACAACAAGCTAAAGCCTATTTGAATGTACAATGTAAGTGAGATGCTTTCAAGATAGCTATTTTCGGTCATTATTTGTCAAGGCATGACATTTTTTTTTTCGTTTTTCTTCAATATTGAAAGTAATTATAATTTATTTTTTCCTTTTGTAGATAAAGCAAAAGTAATATATGCACCGGCCGAAATGTACCTGCCCTTTGGTCGGCCTGCAACTTTAGATTGTCATTTTCGATCGAATCCACCGCTAACAAATCTGCGTTGGGAGAAAGATGGCTTCTTATATGATCCTTACAATGTTCAAGTAAAAATCGGGTGTTTTTAACCAAAAAAGAAATTGTAAATATCATTAATCAATTTAAATCATTTCCCAGGGAGTGTTTTATCGTCGAAATGGCAGTATTTTCTTCAATTCAGTGGATGAATCGCACGCTGGCCGTTACTCATGTAAAAAATCGACGTCGATCAATGTGTAATAAAAAATGTACAGTACATTTATTTATTTTTTTATTGATCAGGTACACCATATAATGATTTAGGCACTGAAGGCCCATCGACATTAATACGCGTGTTTGTACAACGTCCTCCTATATTCACATTAAAACCGAAACCAATTTACGTTCACAAACTAGGCGATACGGCTACATTTCAATGTGATGCAACAGATCAAGATGGTCAACATCGACCGATTATCCAATGGCGTCGCAAAGACGGTATACCATTACCATTCAGTCGTACAACAATCGAAGGCATCAATTTTGTAATCGAAAATATCAACGAAACGGATCGAGGTAATTATCAAAAAGATGCGGATAATTCGGTCTTATCAAAATGGATTTTTATTTAAGATGTTTATGAATGTATTTGGAGCCACCCGGCTAATATTTCGTTGTTTTTTGAACACCAATTATCAAAAATTGAAAAATTTAACTATCTCTTGTATATTTAACTATCTCTCTACCCAGGTATTTATGAATGTGTTGCCGAAAATGAGGCGGCAAGAATCACTGTCGATTCTGAATTGTTGATTGAGAATGTTGCACCTCATCCACCGTACAATTTAACAGCCAATAGTACTGACACGTCAATTACGTTACGCTGGGAACCTGGTAATTTTGAATGAAATTAATCAGCGTGCATGAATAAGATGGTTTTGATTGAATTGACAATTTTAGGGTACATTCGACCATATTTGGAATATGTGGTTTGGTATCGATTGGCCGATGCCACCGAATGGAGAACATTAAGAATGTTGACACATCCACCGGTTCGAAGCTATGAGAATTTTAATAATCAAAATATGCACGCAACCGTTACGAATCTCGAACCAGGACGAGAGTATGAATTCATGGTACTCTCTCAAGAGTAAGTTTTTTTGTCTCGCTAATCATCCGTCTGACATTTCTCTGCATTACAGTCTATTATTTTCAATATACATAGTAAAAACTCATTTTTTTTTTTTGAATTTGTTTAGAATATATAGAAAATCTAAATTCAATTAATGAAGGACCCAATGAACACTTGTTCTAAAAAAATCCATCCTTTTTCTTGTGATTCAAAACTCTATTGAATTTGTATATACCTTTTTTTTATTTCAGTCGTTCATTCGATATTTGTTTTAATTTTAACCTTTTTTTTTTCTTTTTTTTTAGTCGGTTTGGTGACGGCATGTTTTCCAAAACTTTTAGATACTTTACAAAAGGTTCGTTTACACCTATTAAAAATTAAATATTAATATTATTTTTCGAATTTATTTTGTTGTGAATAAAATTACATGTTTTTGTGTTTTAACGTTGACTGATTTCAATGTGTTTTGATTTTATTTTTGTTCTGTGTTTGTGCTGTGGAAATTATTCAAAAGAATTCTTTTGTAGAATATGAAATTGGTTCAATAAAAAATTGCTCAAGTGGCCTTACGGCGCTGAATGATTTCGAAAACATTTTCCTTCTGAAATTAAATGTGGAGGATGCACATTTTTCTTTTGAAAGATAAGAAATAAATTGAAACAAAGAAATTCTTTTGAATGAGCGTTCAATTCCTATCAGGTTTATCCTATTTGAATTCCATTTTTTTTACATTTTGGCTATTAAATTGAAATTTTTTAAAATATTCCCTTTCCATTTTCTTTTCCCTCAAAAGCATCCGAATACTTCACCGACGCTCCGGATCAATTGAATGAGCCAGTGATGCACTTTGCACAAATCGGTCCGCCACGAAATTTAACGGTTCACCAAACTGATGCAGGCGATGAATTTGTCGCTTCATGGTATGCACCTGAATATGGCAATGAAACGTTACGCGTTTATGTTCTACGATGGTTCCGTGAGCCAGGCCATTTTCTAACCGGCACAGCCGAAACTAGAGAAACATATTACAAAGGTAGTTATTCTATGCAGTTTTATAATTTTTGTTCTATTCTTCTTCCCGTAGTTCGTGCACGGTACATTGCTTTTATTGATTTTTTGCAACTTTTTTTCGCTTCACAGTAAGATACCTGATGGAGAACGAATTATACAGCTTCCAAGTGTTTTCGCTGTCAACGACGGACTATCAAGCTGGCAGTAACGAGTTTGATATTCGCATACCACCATATCGTATCCGTATGCGAGTAATAGCCATTTGCATTACACTGATTATATTATTTATGCTGGTTTTTGCTGCCATTTTTATCTATGCAAAGAAACGATGCTTCGAACCGTATCCGGATAATGATGAGAAATTACAGAAACCATAATTAAAGCCAATGTATAATAATGTAAATGCAACAATGTTGTTGTAGTCTTAATTAGTTCATAAAATATGTGGTGTGTGTGTGTGGTGCATTCTTTTTCGTTTGATCCGTGCACGAAAGACAGAGAACAAATAAACGAAAGACAAATCACATTGAAGCACGAAAATCTCCTAATTATTTTTGCGCACTGCAAGAGCATTTCACTTATATGCATTTAAAACGCAATTTGTTAAAATAATCTCTATTTTTGTAATTGTTTAATTTTGCTTAATGTTTTTACGTCTCCGACTTCAATTATAATGTTAAGTTGTTAAGTTGATAATTTTTTTGAAGATGAAAAAAAAGGACAAGTGCTTTTCATACTGAACCTCATCATTGTGAACCTCGAAATAAAGTAATTTGTAAATAAATTTCAAGCTGTTGTTTTTTTTTCTCGGTTGCACGAAATAGACTCTTGTCATTGTTATTCATTTTACATTCGTTCAGAAATTATCAAAAAAGATGTGTGATTTATTTGCTTGCACTAAATGAATGACTTGAATGACTAAAATAAACAAAGGACTGAGTTCAAGGTATTGATGCGAAGTGTCAATTCAGGTGATCCACTTTAAGCCGGTTCACATTTTTAACATCTTCCCGCCCCTGAACGCAGTGAGGATTTACAATTTTTGTATAAAAATAATGCCACTTGGTTTCTTATTATAGAATTAAATTCAAGAAGAATTGCTGCTCAAAATCAAATAAATTAACTTAAAAATAAAGAGGCTTACGTACGCAAGCTGACTTTTCCGCATGGAACCGAGATTTTGGGAATAAACAGAAATGATGGTCTATGTATGGTTGCAGTAACTTAAATTACCGTGAAAACTTGTGAATATTATTTTCTTATCATACTAAGTCTAAAGAAATTTCAATCCAAAAAATAGCCTGTTCAAAGTTTCACATCATTACAGTACCACAAAGGCAAGTCTTTCATACAAAAATGAATTTTTTTTTTCGATTTTTGTATGAAAAGTCTGTGAAAAATTGATTGCATCTTAAAACTAACATCAGATTCGGGTTTCTCCCCCCACTACACATTCATTCAGCGTTCAAATTGAAAGAATATCATTTTAAGGCATTTTTCTCATAAGTGCCTCTTCACAGTCTAAGTTTTACATCGATCAATCAATGTCGTTGAAAATTTGACCAGATCTATTCCTCGTAACGCCCAATCATCCCGAAAAGTCAGATTTTGAATTTCATGTCTGAGCACGAAACCATCGTGTCACCAAAATGGTTGAAAAATGATCAAAAAAGTAAAATGTATGGATTGTGTCCATTCGGACCCAAAAAAATTACACCGGTCAACAGATATTGCTCAAAAACTAATCAGCACGTCTCCTAGTAGTCCCAAATCATCCTGCAAAGTCAGAATTTGAATTGAGTTTTTGGAAAAAGATTTATCGAGTTAACAAATTTTGGCAACACGCCACAGGACACAGGACACAGGACACAGGACACAGGACACATCACACACAGCGACGCACATTAATATGCCCCAAAATCATCTCCAATCGTGTTTTCTACATTAAATATGGATAGAAAACATGTTTTGGGATGACTTTAATTTTTTGGCCTAATACAATACCTTCCCTACACTAGGTGTGCGGAAAAGTAAAATGGATTTCAGCTCATCGAGTCTGTTTTCCCTGCACTAACTTAACCTAAAAAATCAATGGATGTTCGTTAATTGCTGACGCTAAAATACGACGATTTGGATTCTCCAGATCCAGATCTGATTGAATTTCACTTTCACGGCAAACACATACATCGAATCCTTCGCTGAGCATGAGATTTTTGATCATTACCTTTAATGCAAATTCATTGGTTTGATTGGTTGAATTCGTTTCTTTACTACGCACCAAATAGACTTTTCCATATGTATATACCTTATATTTATTACATCAAAACCTTCTAATTTTATTTCTAATTTTAAGCAATCCATTTTTCTTTTATTAAAATTAGTATACGCTATCTGATATACGGCGTATGAAAATTATGAAAATGGATTTATTGTTTTATTTTATTTAAAATATTTTCATTTATACGTTTCATTGTTGTTTCAAATTTTCTGTTCGCCATATGATACTCTTTTGTTCCACATTTGATACAACTTGTTTAAAGCCAATACGACTTCAGTAACGCGTATTAGAACATCATCGCTGCTTTACGGAATATCAGCCGTTGAGTTCACTTCTAATGGATGTGTTTGCTCACAGTCATACACAGTCAAAGAAAGTTCACACAAAAGAGAATGAAACATTTACATATGGCTACTTGATGTTTTTTGACCATGTCGCAGTGAATTCTACTGCTGATATTCGCCAAAGCAGGGAAGATGTGCCGAGTATACAGTGTATACGAAGCGTGAGTATACGAAGCGTGAATTCTTCTAATATGGGTAGTAAAAGTCGTATTGGCTTTAAACGAGAAATATCAGAAAATTTGAAACAACGATGAAACTTATAAATGACAATATTTTAAATAAAATAAAACAATATATCAATTTTCCTAATTTTTTTTTTGTTAATTTTTCAAATGTGCATTAAATAAAAGAATCCCAAAAAAGTAATACAATAAAATGACTCAAGATGACACCATGCTGCTGCGCAGCAGAACAATAAAAGGACGCAACCGCTTCGTAGAAAACTTACATTTTTTAATTTAATTTCAATTTTAATTTAGTTTTATTAATAAAATAAAAACAAAAATAATGAGCCGTCATTAGGTGCAAAAAATAGAAATGTTATCCAAAGCGGGTCGACCTTTATGTGTTATATTGGTACTGTATAGGCGTATTCAATCATACTAGCCGCTGAGTGATTGAAATATAATATTTATTTTTTTACATAATTCGTCACGACATTAATTTTTTTATCTTTTTTGTTCACATTCATAGTGTTTTTTATATTTATAAATAAATAAATCTCGTACAAAATATAATAATCAATATATACTTTGCTTGACAGCAGATTTCGATAGAGACAACTAATGACATTTGAAATTTGACAGCTTGGCCACAGTTTGGACCCGGTGAAAATATATACACGTAATAAAGTTCATTCCATTCATGTACGAAAACAAATTCTTATTTTTCTTTTGAAGTGAAATTCTTCTACACATTTTTGGGAATTACTCACTAAATCTGTGTAGAAGAATTTTTATAATTACGGTTGTTTTTATGGAAAGCTTTTTCGAAATTTCGATAATCATTCTTTTTTGAACAATTTTCACTTTTTTGTTCAATAAATGCCCGCCAGATGTCGTATCGAAATTTTCAAGACATTTTTGGAAATCACAAATTAATCACTAAAATACTGCATTATTAATTTTTTGAAATTTTGTTTTGTTTCGAATTTGTCAAAATTTTATTTATAGACTTTTTGATGAATAGGCTTTTTCAAATTTAGGCCTGTAACTTTTTTTCTGGTGAGTCACAAATCCTAAAAATTGCGTCACAAATTTTCACTAATTAATCACTAAAATTCTGTGAAGTTTGAGCCCAATCGGGTACTTTGACCCCCTGGGTAGTGTGCGCCCTAAAATTCACCGCAACGAAGAAGATATTGTTTGGAGGATGCAAATTCCATGGACTTTTAACGAATTCAAATCGTAGAATGCCGATGGAAATCAAAATCAGCGGTGAATGTGTAAAAATTCAATGTGAACAGCATTGCACGCGTAATGAAGCATACGATTTAGAAATTAAACTGAAAAATCCAATCGTTATTATACCAGAAACATTAAATTACATAAAAAGTCGTCCGCCCTGAAACTTTTGAATGAAAAGTATGTCGAAAATTATTTGTATCGCAAAACTAATATATTATTCCGTTTTCTCGTATGACACGAGACATGACACTTCACTCTATCAACCAAATTCTCTCAAAGTCTAATGGTTGCTATTCTTCGGCACCCCCAATCATCCTGTGAAGTCAGATTTTGAATTACTTTTCTTGTTTGAAAGTTATCGTGTTAAGAAATTTTTCAGGGTCCAGAGTACGCACAATCGCACATGCATTCGGACATCGAAAAAACGCTAGATTCGTATTCCCTGGCCCCAAAAACACCCATAAAACACATTTTTGATGGGTGTTAATCTTTCGACCGATTCCAATACCTTACACACTAGGTGTGTGCGGAAAAGTAATAATTCTGATTCCTCACTGAGAATGATCTGGTTTTATAAAATGAATTTTGTACGAATTTTTTTTGTCGTGATCACCAATAATAATAAATGAAAAAAGATTAATCGAAATGCTATTTTTTGTTTCTGAACGTTAGTTATTCTTATATAAGAATAATGAAAAAAAAAAGATATTAGAATAATCCATTCATAGCTCCGCATTTACAGCATCTTGCATGGGTCTTCAAATCGTCGACTTGCTCCTGAAGATCATTGTTCAGATTCTTTAGTCCGACCAATTCTAATCGCAATCCGTCGATTTGCACTTGGAGGGGTTCCCTCTGGTCTTGCGTTGGCTCCCGATCATCTGGTAATATGGTAGCATCAATGATGTCTTCACCGTTCCCGTTCCGATTGTTATTTCTGTTCACACAGAAATTTTTTATAAAGAAAGCTAGATGGCATGTCGTATAAAATTTGGAACTAGATGACAATACATATAAAATTGTATTTGTCCATATGATCTTCATGTAAAATATCGTTTTTGTGTATTCTCTTTTGTGCGGATCTTCTTCAAAAGACAAACGAAGAAGAACCGCACAAAGGAGAATACACAAAAACGATATTTTGTATGAAATTATATCTATTGAATATATCGAGAAGAGAGTATGTTATTCAGCGCTTATGGCTGAGTAATGTATGAATAAAAACATACTCTCCTCTCGATATTTTCAATAGATATGAACAAATACAATTCTATACGGAGTGTCAACTAGTTTCGAATTTTATACGACAAGCCATCTAATTTTCATTGCAATATTTCTCTGTGTGTTCGTGTTGTTTGAATAATTTGATACCTTACCCGAAAATTTACCCGATGGCGTTTTATACAAAAGTTGTTCGGACGATGTTGGCGAAGTGGTGCTCTTTGCACCGATCTTCTTTCGCTTTGCATCGTTTGACGCATCCGATTGGAACGTGATTGGTGCATGACGTTTGTTCGAATACTAAATGGTAAAAAACATTTTTTGTTTATTTAAACAAACATAAAAAATCGGTCAAATATTGTCTTCTTAATAAGTTTTGTTAAAGCATCAAAATCCACGTACTAATACTAACCTAAGAAATGTTGTCTTTAGCGTCGCTGAGAATTTCATAGTTTTTATAAAGTTTATCAATATTATCGGCTTCGCTTGAACTCATTTTCATAATTTTAGTTGGATTTTTTTTTCAACAAATAAAATGAACTGATTTTTGGACGCGATAATATGCGAAAACTAAATGAAATAGTCACTTTTTTTTATCTTATTTATTTGTTAAATGTGTTTTTCATGTGTCTTCGGCCACAGCAATCGTCGTAATGACTTCGCTTCAGAAAATACATTAATTGCAGCCATTATGGACAACAACAGGTAGCGCCCCCTATCGCATATTTTCGCTTCGAATTTCGGATTTCAACTAATGACTGGGGAAATTGGCTCATATTTCGAAATTCAAATTGAAATTCACTAAAACAAAATTCTTCGCAAATAAAAATGCACAATTTCTGTTTTCAATATATATTTTATTGATCAAAATCCGTTTTTGTCTATGTTAATACTATAATTAATTGAAGAAAATAAAAACGATGTTGTTGTTTCTATTTAATTTAAATTAATGTTAAAAAAGAACGAATTTGAGCGTATTACCAAAAAAAGATTGTGTTTTATGTAAACGACAAATCCAAGTTAGGTGATTTTGAAATGGACTTGAATGCTATCAAACTAAGCATTTTATCGAATGCATCAAAAAATAAAATGTCTTACATCCTTAAGATGAACTTTTCCGCACTGTGATCCACAACATTTATTTATTACATATCTTTTACTGTAAATATGAATTCATGAGAAATCTGAATCTGACATTAGCTTTGCGATACAAATAATTTTTGATACATTTATCAATGCTTGTATGATATCGTAATGACGTGAAACTTTGCATAGGGTATTTTTTTTTTCACAAAAAGCTAAAATTCTGAAAGTTTGAAGAAATTTCAATGAATATTAGGGGTACTTCCCATACAAAATTTCGTTTTGGAGCAAAAAATCCAATATTTTTTCGGGAGGTAACCCTAATATGCATTAAAATTTCTTCAAACTCTCAGATTATTTTTTTTGTGTGATAAAAATAACCTGTGCAAAGTTTCAGCTCATTACGATATCATGGCTTCCATACAAAAATACAAATTTTTTGAAATTTTTGTATGAAAAATGTGTAGAAATATATTTGTATCGAAAAACAAACGTCATATTCGGTTTTCTCGTACCCAAAAACCCCCCAATACATATTTTTGAGTGTTTAAGTATACATAAAGTATGACTTTTGGAAGAAAAATTGAATTTTTCCCATGGATGCCCATGGGTATCACACTAGACATGACACTTCATAGAGTGAAGTTCACTCTATCAACCAAAGTCGCTCAAAATCTAATGGTTTCTATTCCTCGGCACCCCCAATCATCCTGTGAAGTCATATTTTGAATTACTTTTCTTGTTTGAAAGTTATCGTGTTAAGAAATTTTTCAGGGTCCAGAGTAGGCACAATCGCACATGCATTCGGACATCGAAAAAACGCTGGATTCGTGTTCCCTGGCCCCAAAAACACCCGGAAAACACATTTTTGATGGGTTTTAATTTTTCGACTGATTCCAATACTTTACCTTACATACTAGGTGTGTGCAGAAAAGTAAAATCTGGCAGGCTTAATTTAACATAAACAATCGAAACCAAACACTTTTCTGTTACCTTTAAACAGAGACATTCAGACGCAGCGGCCGAATGAAAAATTTCTAAAAATTATATTCAGCCGCCATGAAAAATTACATTCAGACGCGGAATCTGTAAATAAAAAATTAGTTTATTTACAGATCATTGTATCTGTATTTAAAACATTTCTTTATTTACAGTCATGACTGTTCATTCAGCCGCTGCGTCCGAATAGCAGCGGCTGAATATCAGGCGGCTCAATAACAGTAAGCCCCTCGAATATGGTACAGACGACATTTTATCTGTAATCGTAAATCTAAAAGAAGAAGAAACACAAACGTTATGTACAATTTTAAACTATTGTTTAATTTTTCTTAATGTTTTACGTCTCTGACTTCAATTATAATAATAACTTGTTGAGATGATAATATTTTTTGAAGATGAAAAAAAGACAAGTATCACTTGCTTTTAAAGTGCTCGAAATAAAGTAATTTGTAAATAAATTTTGAGTTTCAAAAAAGAGACTCTTTGTCATCGTTGTTTAATTACATTCGATAAAGAATCATCGAAAAAGATGCTTTCCCTTGAATTTCAAAAAACGACAAACCACTTCATCACGTTATAGCACAGTGAAAAAACCTTCATTCATAATATAATGTATTCTTTGTTTGTGTGTATAAATGTATACAAAAGAGGCCACAAATAAAAACAAATGCATTGCAACTAACGTGAAATGCAATTAACCACTTTAATTCAATATAAAGAGTTAACGAAGAAAATATTCCTTTGTGTGTTATTTATGCAATATCACGATGCCAAAACAAAACAGATCTTGATTCAGCGCGTGTTTCCAAAAGAGTGCCCCAGAATGAAACTTAATAAATGAATATTTTAGTTGAAGTGTTGAACAAAAACATTTCTCAATGTACAAAAGTGTACATTTTGTACAGCAAATCGTATGAAATAACTTCTGTGGAATTTTTTTTAACGAAAAAATATTAAGAAAATTCGGAGTTTGTTCAAATACCCATTCTCAGGCATTCGAACTCATCTTCGGTGATATTCTTCTTTTTTTTGAATGCGCAAAACCTGCATTCCGATGATCTAGCAATGAATGCACAATGTGACAAATGGGGTCTTCTTATCAAATCGGTTCAAAGATGTTAATACGTTGATTGCCGAGTTAACTGAACTGCAATCACACAACAAATATGACGTGCTTACAATTTGCAATTCATCTACAATGAACTATATGGAGAATTGGTGCAAACATGTTTAACAAAATACAATTTACAATTGATGTTCAATTCACACTCAGACTACTACTAATAATTTTAGGCTCCAGCGGAGTTTCTCTATCATGGATTGCAATTCAAACTCAAAATTTCATAATTTGTATTTATTTCACAGCTGTTTGCTTATCGTTGACCTAAATGTCATATGTATTGTATCCGATGCGTTCCATCAAATGAAACTGCCTAAATTCAACAAATTAAATACACCTTCGGCATAAAATGTAAATAGGTCCTTCTATAAAAATAATCAATTTCCCGGTACAAAATACCAGTTTTATTCAAATAATCACCGTACGGCGTACATACGAACGACAAACAAAAAAGTTGTCAATTATCAACTCGTTGTGTAACAAACAAGAGCCTGAATGGGCAATAATCTCTTTGTCGTTTGGTTGCATTGAAAGAATTTCAAATAAACTGCTTTTAAATTATTTTTGATGACCGATGACTAACTGCGCGCGATGTATTTCTGTTGGGATTTTAAGTGCACATGCACTTGCCAACATCGAAGTGTGTAGCGCAAATTACGAGTCATAAATATTTTAGGGATAGAGAAAAAAAAAGAATTATAAATGACCTGCACATGCAACACACAACCAACCGATATAACGATTAAATAACGGAAGCCGACTCCAAACAAAATGTGTCTGTTGACTTTGCATTCAATTCGAAAACATGGTCGGATTATTATTTTAAAAAGAAATGTATTTTGTTTTTGGTTTTGAATTTTGTCTTTGTCCATATTATTTTGCATAATTAAAATTTAATATCGTCTTAACGATATTGACATTTTGTGAATACAGATGTTATGGGGTGCATCACGTGGTTTAGTTTTTATTTACTCAAGTCATAAATTTGAAGAGTTTAATAGAAAAAGTTCATACGAATAAACAACATAGAGTGTAGAAAATTATTCTCACAGTAAGTGTAAATCAAATCATGTGTCAGTTATTTTTCTTGACATACAGTGAGTGCGATGAAAAAAAGTATGAGCAAAAAAGTATCACTAATTTGACTCTTGACGGCAAGCAACTGTATACAAAATGACAAGATCACGTTCGAAAAAGAAGTTGTTCAGCATATTTCTGAGACGGGAAAAAAACTTTATGAACCCTGGTATTACATGCAAAATGAAAAAAAAACAGTGCTTTATATGGCGAATGTCAGTAATTTAACCCAAAATTACTGTGAACGGAATGGAAAAGAGGTCGAATGAACTACGTGAAATGAGAAAAAGATTGACAGTGTTATTCATGTTTTCTTGAATATCCATCTGTAAATAGATAAATTGAATCATATAAAAAAAACGAGAAACTTCAACTGTGAGTGGCGTGTGCTTGATGATGATGATGATGATGTACATTTTAAGAGAATGGAAAAATATTTTAAACCAAAATAAATGAATGTTCTTTGAATTGAATACTGTATATTCTAACTTGAAGATTCATACCTTCGATTCAATTAGCGAAAGCAATACAATGGTTGCAAAAACTATTATTAAATCATGTCTAGTGTAGTTGAAATTCACGGTGCGCGGCACCAAGCCATTTATGAAGAGTCATTTCCGTTTTATTATATTGCCGGCCACAATCAATGCAAGAACCAAGAATAACGATTCAGTTGATGGAATCGAAAAGTCGTGAGGCGTGCTCAAAGAATTATAACATTCAATGGCTCATAAATTCTGTGATTAAAGCATGAACCGCATTGATCTTGGAAACGATCTCATTTAAATTGTATGAATGCTAATATCCAAAATGTAATTCAAACATGCAAAAGCCACCGACCTATAATAAATTCCATTCATTGCATAATTCGGTTCGTAGCGCTCATTTTGCTAGCTTTCCCTCAAAAAAATAGTTTCCAAATTTTCAATTGAATGTATGCCATATATGCAATTAACGAACAAACATATCAATATTTCATATAATATCGCGTCGCACGAGAATTGATTACAAAGTTCAGTGTAAAAACAGCAAAGAGAGAGAGAGAAAGAGAGAGAGAGAGAAAGCGAGCGAGCAAAGTATAATCAAACAGTGAAACTTGATACAAATATATACATTAATTATTTGTAGCCGCGAGAATATGTACGTCGGTGTATGAAAACGATGTAATTTTGCAGCGAATAAATACACACGCAAATTAAAGCGTGAAAAGAGTAGCATTTGTGCTTTGCACTGCGTTCAGCTGTTCGGCAGTATGGTTTTGTTGTTGGTTCTCGGTACACATGCACTTAAACGGCGCACAACAAACGAGTTCGCAACATTTTTTTCTCCACTCTGTTTTCATATATTTTTTGTTTTTATTTCATACGAAATAAATGAGCGAGTTGTATATGATAGCAACGACCGCGTATATATCTCGTAACAAGACAGCTGACTCTTTCCAATACACTCATAAGATTTGCCTTTGTTTGTCTCGCGTCATTATTTTCATTTCGTCCGTTCGTTCGTTCGTTCGTTTTACGCTCACATGCACAACCAACATATATTCGTAGTCAAAAAATGTGCGCTTTCTCTATAAATAGATATACGTCTATTCGTCTAAACAAAGCGACCAATACATGCTCATGCAATCGGGTTTTATTTTTGTTCTATCTCGCTCAGTCGCACTGAACACTGCAGCATAAATACGTTCTATAGTCTGTAGTTTTGTGTTACATTCATACATTCTTCTGCGTATTCCTTTGATTTCTTTTTTATTTCTTCCAATTTTTTTTTTGGTTTGCTTTCAGTTCGTATTAGATTATCCGTGTGTATTACAGGAGTATGTGCATGTAAAATCTCAGCCGCTCGGTTCTTATACTTTGTTCACTTGGTGCACTTATACATGTGTGACTTTTCGACTACACACACATACATATGTCCCGTCAAACATACTACAACCGATTTTATATTATAGCCATTGTTTGGTCTTTGCGATATGGATGAAACAACTGTTTGTTGGCTGAGTTTCAGTTCAGTTTTGTTTTGTATTTGATATCAGATGCACACAAAACCGCCAAACCACTGAATCCGATTTTATTTCGCAGTAAGAACTATACTATTTTGCGACAGAGAACCGAGTCTTCTTCGTTTTATTGTATTTTTACTCAATCGAATTCCACGCAAATCATGTGTATCGTGTGTGTTAAGTGTGGCACAGTGTGAATTGCATTCATATTGATGCACGAATATTTTACAGTGATTTTGATATTATAAGATTACTCAAACCAACACAAGACGGTGTGTTTTCTTTGTTTGAATTAAACATTTGATCAGTTTTTTATTTGATGATTTTTTGCTGTTGCATGTAGATGCACATTTTTGTGGAATAAAATGTGAATACTGTTCGATTGAATCTCAACTTCTCGAATTTAATTCATAAAAAACCCTATACAAAAGGTATTAAACGAAAAGAATTTAAACAAAGAAACGACATATACCGAAAACCATTCTAAAAATAAATGCTATATAAATCTCATAATAAAGCGGATAAAATCCATGATCACAATTGTCGCGTTAAAATATAAACATGCAGAGATAAATCATAGGCATTTGCAGCCAGCATATATACAGCCAGTTGGGCTCAAACGAACGAGAAACAAAACATCATTGTAAATGAACAAACAAGAGAATAATAGCGAGACCATCACATCTTAAAATCTTACTGCGAAACTTATTAAAAAAGACTGCTAAAGGAATAATGAAAGTGACGTGTATGTGTTTGTGTTCGCGTGTTTGTGCTTGAGTGTTGTGTCATTAAACTTTTAAAATTGAGCGTTAAGCCTCATCATCAAAATCTCACATTCATTCGTGTCCAACGCAAACCCTAATGATTGGTCAATTCTCTTTCGCCTTCTCTGTATCTTGTCCACACTATATGAGTCTCATTATCATAACATGGTGAATACATCGGAAATTGAAATTACATTTCAGGTAATTTATGTATTTATTGATTTTTACTTAAAACTGATTTATTCTATGCATTTGATTCCATCTCATATACGATTAATTCCAAATGAATCGATTCCAATCAAAATGATATATATCTGGTAATAAACAGAAGAAGAAAAAAATCATTGAATAATGTATTACTTTGTGTTTATTTATAAAAACCCAATCTATTTATTCCGAATATATTTCGGTCCGATAATTGTCGATTATTCAATACTCACTTCAATTTTCCCTGGAACAATACGGAGGTTATTGTTCTTTGTTTCTACAAAGTTTTCGATTCAAAATTAAAATTTTCGTTCTTTTTGATATGTGCCCTCAATTCGTAAGCAATTCCAATAAAGGCAAAATATGTATATGATCCTGTTTCATCTCTCTCTAAATATATTTTCTCTCTCCCTGTCTCACTCCATCTCTATATCTCTGTGTGTGTCTCTATCTTATTCGTAAATTAAATCAAAACAATTGAGAACACAAGAAGAGAAGAAAAAACGAAACAATAAAAAGGCCATTGAATTTATTTACAAAGAAGATAGAGACGGTATGGCAAAATATTCTTCAATTCGCATAAATTGATGGAATAATGTATGTTATATTCAAATCATTCGATAAATCTCTATTCAAATGATAAGAATAGTAATGAAAGAATAAGATGCATCGATTAAATTTACTGTGTTTCATGAAAAATAGATTGAATTTAAACGATGCATTTTCTCTCTTATTCTCTCTACTTCTCTAACCGGAGGACGAGTTTTTTTCAGACAATATATTGAACTAACTGGTCAGTTGAGCTGACAGTACGTTAGCCAGATAAATGGACTCAAACAATAGAAGTTATTGTTATAATGAACAATCACTTCTATTAAAACAAAAAAAGTGATTCATCATTAAAACAATAACGTCTATTGTCTTAGCCCATTTAGCTGGCTAACGTACTGTCAGCTCAACTGACCAGTTAATTCAATATATTGCCTGGTTTTTTTTAATATTTAATCAGCTCGGGGTGCAATGAGTAGGCAGCATAATCGTCACGGAATTGCATTTATTACGAAATGAATTCTCTAACAAGATTCAATTAAGACATGTTCCATTTTAAATGACTGAACAAGGAATTGTTTAGTGTATACATCTTTAATTCGTTTTTTTTTTTTTTCAATTGTTCGCCCTGAATTAAGACATGTTATTCTATTAATTTCGATGAACTTGAAAACTCTCTAAATAGATTTACGAAACCAATATGTAATGCGTCAAACGGACAAACAAGGAAAAATCCAATTTAATTGTCAACCATTCCGTCGCAACAGATGTGCAATAAAACGAACGTATCGGTGTGGGTGAGATTATTTGTGGCATTGTTTGCTATGGGAATTTCAATAAAAATTCACTATCGTGACATACATGCACGTTGCGCGTCCTTATCATCCAAATTCCAAACTGAAATTGAAGGTGAGAAAATGGGATGTTGTAATGCATGTAGGTGTTATTTCTCCATTCAGAAAATGTCATTAGCAGCAGAATTTCTGTATTTTCTGTTGGTAATTATGAATGACTCTTTTGCGTCTCGAGATTCTCGAGAAGCAAGGTTATAAGAAGTTCTCAATGAACCTTGGTTTAATCAACAGATCAGTATTGTATCACAAACAATGAGCATCTGAAATCGATAAGCCACAATCGAATTAAGTAAAATGTCGTTGTCAGGCATCATGATTTCAATATCATTTGTGTAAAATCGTTGTGAATTGAGAGCATTTAAATAGGGACCAAGTACTGATATCATAAACACAACACACACACACACAAGACCAGTGGTACCGTGCACTTCTGGGACATTCAAAACATATCCGCATCGACATTTATTGCCGTCGGTTAACGATAACAAAAACAAAACGAAAAATGAAACCAACAAAGATTTAATCCATCGATACGCACACAAAAATGTTTTCGTTAGATATATATGAATCGTATCGTGAAAACATGAGAAAATTGAATATGTATGTTTGGAGAATGTGCGCATACTCGGCACAATTCGCGCGTCAATACATAACCATTTGCTCACATTGATGTTTGTATACCTATCGTGTATTACATTCGCTAAGGCAACGCAATTGTACACACATGCATAATGCTTATATACATGAGTAGCAGCTAAATTAGAGGCAACAGTAGCAGCGACACTCACAACAAGCATACCGTTGTCGTTGTCAAACAGTCAGACATTATCCGAGCGATTGAGAAAACGGAAAAATGGAAAAAACTGTCAAATCTCTGGTGCAAATAAAACAAAATCAAAACAAGTGAAACGAACTCACACCAACCATCTCGATTTTTGTTCAACTCAATTTTTATAAAACTTGAAAAGAATCAATAAAAAAATGACAACAATTGAATACCGTGAAATAAGGAAAATTAAATTATTTTTCGGTGTTTTTTTGAGTGCACAATCGAGATGAACTTTGTCCATCAATGTGACGTGTAATTTCAAACTATCGTTCGGCATCCAAGAATACGACGGCAGTGTCACAAATGACACTGTTTATGCGTCTGGCAAATTCCATCAGTAAAAACTAGTCATATGTAATTGCAAAAGAGAAAATTATTTATGTCATGTGCATGTAATTTGGTCGATTCGTTCGATTGCATTTTCTCTGCTTCGTCGATTTTCACGATCGAAAGTAAGATTTAAACAAGCAACAACAGCTTTCATCCGAAAAATAGTTCAAGAGCATCAATTATTATTGAAAGATTATAAATCTCTTTGCAATTGCAGCGTCGTTTTTTTCATCCTTTTTCTGTTTTTTTCATCCTTTTTCTGTTTTTCTTTTCGCTATGATTTAATGGAAAATGTAGTCGGAGTATGGTACATTTTAAAATTTGCAATGCAATCATTTTGAACAAACAATAGAGCAAAAAGTAAAAAAAAAAGTTGGCGAAAGTATGATAGCAATTGGTTTTGATTAAATTCGTTCAGCGCACATAACGAAAAATTCATAAAATCCAATAAATTTCAATTAATTTTTTTTGTTATCGAATCGGTTTTTGTTCTTCAGCGAGAACAAGTGCTGGTGTGATAAAGTTGATGATTGTACAAAAATCCATTATTTCTTGATGTGGTAAGTAAACTAAAGAGCATAAATATTTTTGTTATTTTTGTTTTTTTTTTCATTCGCTCTTTTATTGTTTCGCAAAGCCCGTGCAATTTTAAGCGCCATATCATTTTGTGGCATATTTTCTATACATTGGTGGATTGTGCAGTGCCAAAAGATTGGAACAAAAGAAAACGGCACATTGACTGCAACAAAAGAAGCTCAAAATCTATAAATAACAAACAGTACCACAAAAAAAATAAGCTCACAACCAGAATTAAACGAAATATATTGTTTTCTATTTTATTTTTCAAAAATTACCTGATAAATGAGCGCATTCTAGTTCAGACCGCAAATAGCATGCACCACATAAACTGCTTGCCAAGTGCAAAAATATTTATGATAATCATTTTGTTGGCTTTAACATCTTCAGTGAAGCCATGAGTCGTGTGTGTACCGAGAGAGAGAGCGAGAGAGCTAAAGGAATCAAACGATGTTGGCTTTAGAACCATTTCATCTTTCTACGAGTTCTCGAACGTGATAAATACATCTTTTCGATGTTAAATCTAGTTTTTATACGACATATGAACTCTATTTATTCGTTCGAACGAACAAAAAAAATTGAAGAAAACAACGTTGTTATAATGAAATTGCATGTGTAAATGTGGACGTTGGGTTCGATTTTCCTTTTGGCTGCAACACACAGAACCTTCCACACAGTATATGCCCATGAAATAAAGCGAGAAAATAAAACGGTTGTGCAACTATAGTTCAATTTTTCATTTAAAATTTACACATTGGTTTTTCGTCTTCATGTCACATGAATCATGTGTATCGTGTAAGTAAAAGAATTGGGTGTCCGGCTTCTTATGTGTGTATGCCGTTTGTGCAAACTTGGCAACTGTTGTCAACATATATATAGTAACTGATTTGTGCTCATTTTTCCGGTATTTTTTTTTTTTTTTTAATTATTTCAATATAAAATCAATAACCACACAGAAGTAATGTGACATTAGTAATGTAGTAGCGAAAAATGCGACTCACATCGTTTGATGTTTGTGACTGCGACAAGGGAATCGGAATTTGTAAAGTTTCCATGTGAATAGATAAACAGCTTGTGCATATCCAATGAGAAAAAGAAATAAGGACTTTGTAGCCCGCGGAAAGTACGGGAATTGGGATCTCAATTGCTCCAGATTTCGGAATCAACTGACAATTTTTATGCCACTTATATATGTGTTACTTACATCACATAACATTTTCTGTGTCAAAGTGCAAAAGAACACACACGATCAAAACACAGAATAGATAAAAAAGAGAGAAAAAAGATAACGAAATAAAAGTCATCATGATGCAATCATGTATGCAAGTCTAAGTAGAGCAAATTTTCCGGTTCTTCGTACACATAAAGAGAAAAGAAACACATGAATTCCAAAAAAATATATACTTAAATAAACATTTCGACCAAGACCCGTTTGCTTTTTCTACAGTTATTTGATTATGTGTTTCGCTTGTTATCGCAAAACTTTTGCTGTTCTTTGCATAACAAAATTATGTCTTTAGAAATACGAACGGAGAATACTGACAAACTGTCGATATTCAGTAAATATAAATAAAGGAGCTAGTTGAATTTTATTTGAATTACAAAATGAGATTTTTTGCTTACGATAGTCAAACGTCATCAAACTATTGGATTCTCGCTCAATGTGCAAAGAATGTGTCATAGAAATTATGTAAGCTAATACACACCCAATTGATTTCAACATTCACACGAAACACTAACATTTTGCCATTTTAGAGCTTTGTTTGAATTTTCATTTCTGAGAATCATCAAATTCAACATTTTACAGCACAAACATTTGCGTGCAATAAACAAGTATTCTGTAACGCAACCGCTAAAATTCTGTGGCAAAATTATTGAATAAACAATCAAAATGATAAATTGATGTTTTTTCACTCTGTTCCATTCAATTATTGATTTTAAGATGTGTTTAAGTTCGTCGTAAGCATAAGCGAAAAAAAAATGTTTGATGGAAATGCCGATTTTTATCAATTTTCTCGCATAAATGATTCAATAACAAAAAAGAACAGGCGTTATTCATGACTTCATTAAACCAAAATCCACCGTCTATTGCATTCATTTTGAGTTTTTAACGTTTTTTTTTTTTTTCATTCTATCGAGATTATTTATTGTGACTGTATTCCAAACTGTTTAGTTTTTATAAACTCGTCGGGAAAGCGAAGCCGAACAAAAAACAACATCGTCTGGCGAGACACATACAAGCCGATTCGATCGATTTCACATGCTTAGATGTACGAAATTTTGTTTGGCTGCCGACGACAAATACTTCGATTTAAGACTTCAAGTTTAATATTTACTTTAGCGAAACCTAAACAAAAATGGTTAGTATATAAACTCATATGCTCCGATCTTAAGGATAGAATCTACAGCAAAATGAGAGTGATAAAATTGACGTCGCAATTGATATGTGACAAAATGTGTGGATATCGAAATTACATTCACCTTTGTCACCAATACACTACTCTCCACTCCCTCTCTCATAGATTCCATTTTATGACGTGGCTATAAAAAATTTACTACGCTTCAAAGCACAAATCAAATAACAATTTATTCTCCATTACTGACACTTCAGTGTTGTACGCGCTCTCGTCAAAAAAAAAACAATCAATATATTAAATCAAATACGATTTTTTTACTTCTTTTCAATCATACATATAGACGAACAAAGTAATTTGTGTGATTAAAAAATGTATCGTATTGTCAAGATTGAGTGCAAAACAGAACATGGGTTAATTGATTTCATCGCACTTTCAATTTAATGATGTTAGTGTTAAAACGCAAATTCAATTGTTTTCTGATTTTTATTCACCGTCTTGTACATATCATAGCAGACAGAAAGAAGTACGAAGTGCTGTTTAGATTTGCATTTATCACGTCGGACGTATAGATGAGCGAGCACAACTCAGTTTTTGCACTGTGCTATTTTAACAATTTTCTCCGTTGGGACAATAAATTTTCCTTTGTATGTCAATATCGTCCAGCTGATGAACGTAAACACCAGCTCGATTTCGGTACACTGGTCCAGATCCAGTCTGATAAGGTTTATAAATTATTTCATTGAAAGATTCAACTTCTTGGTTGGGATCTTCTTCGAATTTCGTTATTGTTGATGGTAGTGTAGTAGTGGTTGGTGGTGGGTTTGTTGTACTCGGGCACCTCGTTGTGTTACAATAAACACGAGTCTCGATGCATATACATTTCGCACATCCATTCGCACCACCATCAAATACATCCAATTCACCGTACATTTTACCATTGAAATTACATATAAATAAACCGACCTCTATTCAGAATTCATTTGAAAAAGAAAAATTGGAATTGGTATAAAAAAAATAATTAGTATTGAAATGGTTTCGAATGAATTCAAAAATTCATGTTGATAAAATGAATAATGAAAAACAAAAACTCACCAGCACATAAATATCTTCCGAACAAGGTGAAAAAAACAAAAATTAGTTTGGTAAACATTATGGTCTTCTAAAAATTAACTTAAAAAAACAATAGTAAAATGCTAAACCACTTAAAAATATGAGCTGTAGAATAAGACTGCAATTCATATAGCGAACCGGTATTATTTAAATGATTTGATGATCGAACGAGGTTCAAAAAGCGAATGAAAATATTTTGCTCAAAAACAACTCTTAAAATATTTGCAAGGGATTGTGTACGTGGGCTGTCACATGGTGATGATATAGCATAACCTTTGTGATAGCCCAACACATCCCATATATATTCTTATCAATCACTGTGTTGATGTCTGGTGTGTATTTTCAGTTTGAAGTAAACATAAACAATATACCAACTTAAAGGTGATTCTTGAAAACAAAAATTCACTCGAATCCAATAGACTATTTCATAATTTTGTTTTGTTTTTCAGTCTTTGCTCATTGTTTATTGTTTTCCGTTGCTCCGGTGTTGTTTTCAACTTTGTAATATTTTCAATAACAAGTATTTGGAAATTCTAAAGGTCGTCTTTATCCGAAATGATCGCTTTCACTTGGGCGCTTGATAATTTTTCGATTACCGGATAACCCTTTAAAATATAAGTTCCGTTAATATTTATTAATTTTATTTGTTGTTCATTGTCATAATTGAGCGATGTGATAAAGTTCGGGTGGCTTTCAATGAAGTTCAGTACATTCAGTGTTATTTCCGAAGGGTATAGCGCTGATGGATTATACGGGAATTTAATTATGGATTTATTACTGATTTCGAAGTCGATTTCATAGTTCCAAACATTGTCAAAAGTGTAATAATTGAAATTGACACGATTCGAGGACAATGGATCCATTTTTATTTTCACCGGTTCTGTTACAAGACGAATCGACTTGTGTATCGAATGTTTCAATTGATTTGAGCCAATAAATTGCAGTAGTATTTCGGTCATTTGAACTGATGAAAATTGAAATTCGCCAAAAAGTCCATTGACTTTGTTTATTGTTATGTCATACACCTCGGTTGAGTCAGACACGAAAAATGTTTGCAATTGAACATCTTTTTTTGTATTTTGTAGATTATGGGCGAACGCTTCGTTCACATTATACAGTTTTTTGTTGAGTTCATTATGTTTATTGATTAATTTTTTGCGAAACATTTTATCAACAAAAAACTCTACGGAAATTTGATTCTTAACTTGCTGCAGGCAATCGGTACTGTAATTGTTTGCACGAATAAATTCTTCCATCATTCGAACAGCAATGAAATTCAAGTCATGTCCAGAATCTCGTGCATCTAGATATACATGAAAGAAAAATTACTGTTTTGTTACAGTCAATGCCCCACATATAAATTCATTATCGATCGAAATAATTTTTGTTACAAGTTACTTCTGAATAAAAAAAAATTGATTTTCTGAGCTAAACAAATATCAATCAAAACGTGAATTCAGAAAAATTGGATTTCAATCTAAGCCCAATTTTCGTGTACTTTATTTACATACCGTTTGATGATATTGATGTGAAAATTGAAAAAATTAAGAATAACAATGTTCTAAATGTTGTCATTTCACTGGAATTTATTTCCAAAACCAAATTAAACAAATAGTATTTATGTTTTTATTTTCGTGTTTTGCTTTTCTTCGAAAAATCAACTGAGCACCTCGATATACGAACATCAACTGAACGCATTAAAATAAATATTTTGGCAAACAAGAATCTGCTCTGTCTTGAATCATTTCCGATAAGCATCAGTTCAGTTGTAGAGACGTATTTCAACCTTTTGACATTTTACTACGCATTTTTCGAAACTTGTTTACTTGTATTAGTTTTGTTTGTTTGTCTGTTTGTTTGTATTTTAAAACTTTAACCAAACTATTTGTGTTATGTATAATTGCACGACTTATCTATTAAATATTGGAACTCCTATGGGCTTTCGAAAAAACGTTCTGGTGTAACATACGTCGTATTTGTTTCGTTTCGATCAGTTACTTCAATTCATGTTGGCACAACTGCATGGGGATTTAACTAGAGCGTAAAAATTTATTCGACAGTTTGACAAGAGATTTACGCTATACTCACCATCAACCATGCATTTCATCGGAATGAAACTGATAGCATACACAAGTTTGACATTTCATTCAATCTTCCCTTAACTTAACCAGTTTCGAGTTATTTTGAAAACTTGAGCGGGTTTTTGATAAAGATATAACGTAATTTAAGTTGATTTTAACTTTAAGTTAGGAAACTAATGAAACAAGGCGAAACAACGATCACACAACGACTGAATAGAATTACGTCAAAGATTTAAAGGAAACATCCTGAGTCAATTGATAAGTAAATACATTTTTTTACATGTTCACTCTGTCAAAAGTTGATAAAGATATCTGTAATTTGGCTGTTGAGAAGATATAGTGTGCATTATAAACCTTTTTTACTAGATGAAATTCGATTCCCTGACAGGAATTGGTCAAAATGAAAAAAACAAAAAAAAAAAAAACAAATTTACAATCGTGAACAGATTTCTGAATTATGTGTTTTAATCACTTTAAATAACGGCGAAATGATGATGATCGAACGATAAAATTCAAAAATTTACGGTCAATATGATTCGTGGACCAGAAAGCAACGATTTAGGTTATAATTTATTGTCACGCCATTTCAAGCTAATTGTGGAATTCTCCATAGTTGTTCATTGAACTAGCATCATACACGCTTAATAGTCGTATCATTTCAGGCGCAATTGACCTTTTAACACATGCTGTACATTTCGTATTTGGTTCTCATTTCGCCGACATTTAATTTATATTGAATCAATCCAAAACACACACCGTTTTTTTGGCAGTTACTATAAAGAAATGAACACACGAAAACACCGTTATTTTGCATTCATTTATTAATGAATTAAATTCGAATGTTTTATTTTTTTACAACTTCTTCGTTTTCATACTTGTAAATTTTTTGTGTATAAGCAATTTCTTCTCCAGTATTGTTTTCATCAAAAGTTGATTCATCCATTATGGATTCTGGGTATTCGTTCTCGGGGATACCTTGGTTCACATTTAATGAAGCTGTAGAAGAAATGAAAAAAAAATGTCATTTCATATTTTAACGTAAAAGACATTTACTAACCTTGACTCAGCTTTACAATTGATAATAACGCAATTAGCAATGACAATTTACCAAACTTTGCCATTTTTTTAGTTATCAACTGCATTAGTAATTAGAAGAAAATCAATATTTCCTCTTATCAGCAGAGCAAAATCAGAAAAAAATATTACAAAGGCTATTACTCGTTCAATTCCACAAGCTTCTGTAATTATTTACTTGGTCGGATGCAAACAAACTTTAACTGAAATACAACAAATATAGAGAAACACTGACTAACGAAACGCAATTTTCATCACTTAATCTTACAACTTCTGGAGATTTCAGTAAAAAAAATATATTATCAGAAATTAACGCCAAAATATTCCGCACACAGTATTGATTAAGTTATTTACAAGTTCAGTTTAAAAAAAAATTGCAAACTGTTGCATTTTGATCAACAAATTTTCGTGGAATACAATTTTTTCTCCACCTACAATTTTTTATTATAAATATTCCACTGTTGTTTTGTTTGTATTTCGTCCGGGAAGGTTCATCTTAATCTACAACACATTATATAATTTGTAATCTAATACACGTAGAAGTATAGACAAAGTAATGAAAAATTTTTGACTTCTCACCCCAAATTGATTATTATCGACTAAATCTATACATATAAATTACATTTTATGTACTTGTACATCAACAACGTGCAAAGTTGCTTTGATCATCGTTTTCACAAAAGTTTTGTCACATTAAAAATCAATAATTTTTGTCATTCGGTAAAACAAAACAAATAGTATAACATATTTTTGACTAACAGTTGGCACGTGTAGGTATTAAATTATTATCTGAACAACTGTTTACTTGCATTTGTTTTTCATAACTTGTGCGATAAAACACGTACGAAATATATATATATATTTGTCGTCTAAACGACTATTGCAAAAGTTTGCAAACACACGCCAGTTAAAATGAAGATCACACGAACCATGTGCGTCAATGGTGTAATGGTTAGCATAGTTGCCTTCCAAGCAGTTGATCCGAGTTCGATTCTCGGTTGACGCATCAATTTTTTTAGATTTTTTTTTTCTTCAAATTATCTGTCACATCTTTTTTGTTTATATCGACACTTACCATTAGAATTGAAACAAAAGAATTGTCAAGTTTTTTGCGAGATTTGTATTTGATTAAGGCAGATAAATACTTAAAAGAGAAGCTCAGGCGGTTCAGTTTTTGTAATTGTATTTTTATTGTTTTAACTTACTTATTAGCTTTAAACGCTCAAACTCACTGCTTTTTTAAAAATCAACACCAACAACGTCGTTTGTGAGATATTCGCTTGTGGAAAGTTTCGGAGAATGAATATTCAATGTTTTCCGAAGAAATTGGGATTGGAAATGCAATCGATGTGTTGAAGAAAATAGTTATTAGTATCGCCATATTGAAAGAAATTAAAAGTGACATTCATTATCACACTGTCATTAATTAACAAACAAATTGTCTTCTTCAAATTGGTTTTTATGTGAGTTTTCAAAAAGACATGGGTTTTGTGAACTTATTAAATAAACAACAAAACAAATATCTTGAAATCATTTGAAATGTACGAATAAACTTCTGAACCTACCATTGGCAAATGCTTGACCGATTTTAAAACTTGCAAAATAATAATAATTACTTAAAACCAAAACAACCGATTCCAAATGAAAAAAAGCAGACAATATATTGAATTAACTGGTCAGTTGAACTGACAGTACGCTAGCCAGCTAAATGGGCTAAAAGAAAAGACGTTATTGTTTTAATGATGAATCACTTTTCTTGTTTTAATAGAAGTGATTGTTCATTATAACAATAACTTCTATTGTTTTAGTTCATTTAGCTGGCTAACGGACTGTCAGCTCAACTGACCAGTTAGTTCAATATATTGTATGAAAAAAAGTAATATCCTTTCAGAATAAATGTCGTCTTTTTCAGTATCACAAAAAACTGGCTTCAAACCAGAATGAATGCTTAATTAAATGCGTAACGAATTCATACTGAAACTGATCGATATATATTTTATTTTATTTTTTTCAATTTATTTTCTCGAGAAATTTATCAAATGTAAGACTTTTTTCAAACCTCGATCGAATAATTATGGCAATTGTTGTCATCACTTCAGCTGTAGGCAGACTCCAGTTAAAATCGCTCTCTGAACATGTGCGTCAATGGTGTAATGGTTAGCATAGTTGCCTTCCAAGCAGTTGATCCGAGTTCGATTCTCGGTTGACGCATTTGTTTTTTTTTTTTACAATGCAAAACGGAAGTGACTGCTAAGTTCTCATCAATTTCTGGATGAATTTGCATTAAATTGATCGTTTGAACTGCAGTCCACCAATTTTATAGTATTTTTTAAACGTTCTTGATCATCTTTAATAAAATATAAATTTCCTATTCGATGTCGATGTGATCGTTGTATTCCAAAGTCGGCTCTGGCTCTTGACGATCTTATGACACGACATCACATCTACCAGCATTCTCGAAACTTTGCACATCGATTCCAGTCACGAATTTTTCAAAATCATGATATACGTCTTCATTCGTTTTACACAATCGAACTGGAAATCAGAGAAATAAAATAAATTGCCTTAATTCACTATATAACATATAGATTTTGTCCGAAAATGTATCTATATTTTGTTGCTCACCATCGCTGGATGCAACTACGATTATTGTAAAAGATTAAAAATAACTGATAATAACGCACAGATACCAAAGTGTTCACTTTTCTTTTTTTCATCAATTTCTATTTTTTTCTTAGGTCACAATATGCATTTGCAATTTGAATGATCAATACAGATAAACACTACATATTACTGTAATTTAATGTGCACGCTTTTTCCCTTGAATTTTATTGCGAAGTAAAAAAAGTTGTAATTATAATGATCCATTGCACTACAATTTTTTTATTTTCAATATTATTTATCAACTAACAGTCCTCTGTAAATATTTACATTCGTACACTTGCGGCTCATAATTAATTGGGCATGAATGTCAATGAGAACAAATTAATTACTTTTTGCGAATATAATCTTTAATTACATGTTTCTAAATATAAAGATTTGCTCGCTTCATCGTTAATGAACTCAACAATTTCATTCAATATGAATTCTCCGGAAATGAAGTCTCATTCAATTCGAATGAAAATATCAGATTTTGAGATAGACAAGAAATAATCGTCAATGAACCCCAAGAAAATTAATGAACAAAATTGCTCTTTAGATTCAGTATTTATTTATTACTTTAGAAGTCGTTCATTGCCTTTACTCAAAGTTCAATTGGTTCAGGTTCTTCGAATACAACATCAACTTCAAAGTTCGTAATTCGTTCAGTTGATGGCAGATTTTTCAGTAGATAATTTCCATCTCTTGCAATTAGGTTCCTTTTTGTATCAATTCCGTATTTTATCGTAGCTAGATTTTAACGTTTTTATCTAAAAATGATTCTTTAGAATTAGCATCTACATCCGATGATTAGAAAATCTATGGAATTACTGTTAATATCTTCGTAACAATAGAAACTGAGTGTGACATACATTTTGTTCAATGGACCACGGTTTTCTGAGATATTGCATCCAGACTTGTTTCGTTGAAAGATTTTGTTTTTGAAAATTGAAATCTAGCACCGAATTTTGGGAATTTCAGCATTTAATTTATTGGTTCTTTTGTGACTTTGATCTTTGAATATCCAGATGTTGTAACTTCTTGTATTGATGGACTTTTGTTGTCAGAATTGAACAGAAGTCAAATCGTACAATGAAATGAACAGGGTTTATATAAAATATTCTTGTCTTCATAGATGTCTTATCGATTTTTTATAATCGTTTACAAATTGTTAGGAACAGATAGTATCTTATCACAAAACCTTTTTTTTTGTCAAAGTCAAACTTGAAAACCAAATTGCTAAAAAGCATTAATCATATGGTTTCAGTTCGAGTTCAGTAAATTCTTAAACAAGTTCATTTCTTCAAACGAAATTTTCGGAAAAATCAGTGAAAATTCCTTGCATTTTCTTTCGCCATAAACGAATTAAATAAAAGTATTTCCATGGATTTTTTGGTTTGCTGAAAAATTTCTCCAAAGAAAATTGTGCTCATTAGATACAGTTGAGTTTCTATATTTAAGACTTTAAACAAATGCAATTTCAAACAAACGCATATTAAAATGTGGTCAAGGAACTTTTTACAACAACCACATACATTTTAAGCAGTACATTAATTAGTGACACAGTTAAAATCAAACGAGCAGCAATTAAGTTTTTCATCTTGACGAAAGTTTTACTTTCTGTGAAACGCACATATTGAAGTACAGTATTTACTACAAACTAACTTTATGCTAATGACACAATTTGATTTTACGTAAAATCGCAAGTACCATACATCTCTCATTTAACAAATGTTCATTTGGAAATATGTGTGACAATTAGATGCGGAAGTGTAAATTCTAGTGCCTTCATTTGAAATAGAAGCGTTTATTGAAAAAACCACGTGGTTTTTACTCTAATCAATGTAATATTTTATATATGGCAGATGTTCTGCTGTTATAATCTACGTTACAACGACATTCTTCAACGATTTGATATCCAAGTAAAACCTCTTTTAGTAAAACCGACGAAAAATTTCCATTTGATTTGTTATGTTGACGAATACTTCTCCCATATTGATACAAAATCTTAACATTTTCGTAGTAAATTTTCGTAGCATTTGTACAATGGAAAATAATTCGAAGCCATAATGTCTCAGATATTGTTCACAATCAATAAGTTGCTAAGTAACAGAAATCAATCCCATATGAATGAACGTTTCGATTGCTGTTGTAATCGTTCAACAGGCAATTGAGAATTTTTGATAACATTTCTTATCAAATTCATTTAAAATAAATTATATAACCGTGATGTCAAGTCAATATAGTCCAACGATAGTAATAACAAGTATAACATTATAATGAGTCTTGTTTAAATTTTTAATAAGAGAAAACTGCTTCATTATATGCTGTTACCTGTTAAAACTCTCCAGAACACACAAAATTTAAATTTAAGCTCATATTTATGAAGGTATCTTGTTACTGTTATTTCTACTTCTGTTACAGTAAAATCGTTTTTTCTCTTAACAATGTAATTTAAAACCATATATATTTTGCTTCATTACACCTGAATTTGCTTTCATTTGGGCCAAACCACAAACTGATATTGTCCTTCAGTGGAAAATTGTTATGTGTTTTCTCTCATTTAATTTGGTGGTTGGTGTTCCAACACAGATGCTTACGGCAAGTTTGCAAAATCCAAATATCCAATAAGTAAATACTTTTCACCAATCAGTACGTTAAAATTTTGCTCAGCCAACGCTTTTAATATTTAATCGTATTTAAAAACACTTAATAATGTCACTTCAGTGCATTTCATAAAAAAACGATTTTTCACATTATTTAAAGTCGGCATGAAAGTTCATATTTTGTCCCTGAATATTGCTTCTTCAAAAAGATAGAAATAGAAGAGTCAATTTAATCTAGTGTGAAAGAGGTTCGGATGATGCTCTCTTTTCATTTCTTTTTTTTGATATCACTTTTTGCGTCGAAAAATCCTAGGAAATTAAAAGAATTTTTCTAGTGGAAAATCCCTAGCAAATCGAAAGAATTCCACGACTGTGTTGAGGGTTCCGAAAAATATTTTAGAGGGGGTAACTTGTCAACACCTATGAAAATAAGTCATTTGATTTAATTCACAAATTTATTACATGAAATAATTTAAAATTTTGTGTAATTTTTCATTTAATTATTTTTCGAATTCCTATCAAATGTCGTGTTTTCTAGAATATGATAATTTTCACTAATATTTTCATCTAATAGTCTAAAATAACACAATGGAACAATCCTTCAAAAAAATTTGATGTAGTTCCCTCAATTACGATAAGTTCTACGATTTGTTTTTCTAATAAATCGAACCTTTCTTTGAACAAAATTTTCATACAGTTCTGCACATGTTGATCTTGCTACAAATGAAACTTTATAAAAAAATTTCTTCTTTCGTTGAAGCTATTACACTGCTGCGTTACGTTTCACTGCACTTTGTAAACAATTTCGATTGCAGCATCATATTACAGAAATGTTTGTCAGAGAGAATTTTCTGAAAATTGACTCCAACCACTGAACCAAATGAACAACGAATGTACCGAGTGCTTCCATAAAATATTTTGTAATTCTTTTAGACATCTGTTTAAAAGCGTAATAAAAAAACTTCTCGCGCTATACTTTTTCGCGAGAGTGACACAACACGAAAAACATTGTGCTATTACAGTTATGCCTTTTAATTCGTTTATAAGAAAGGTTTCATTGTGAGAAGTTAAATCATGAAATAAAGTAGTAAAACTCTGCTCAAAAGTAATGCTTTATCAGTTGTTCAGACTTTTGATTGCCCACTGATTACCAGCAAAAAATAGATTCGTATATACTTTATAATCTGATTTGATCTATACAAATTTATATTGAGCTCTTACAATATGTATATCGATTTGCATGTGTCTCATTTCAATGCGACGCAAAAACATCATTCAATTTAATATTTATAATGCCATTTGAAACGACCGTTTCCGTTGAAACTTTCCAGGGCATGTGGAGTTGATGTTAACAATGACTCGAGAGAGAGAGAGAGAGAGAGAGAGAGAGAGCAAAAAATAGATTATATTTTATTTTAAAACTCCAGAATGTATTTGAAATCCCTGTGAAACCCAAAAACATTACACGAAATCAACCGCATATCGTTGTTGTCATTATCTGATGCCAAATAATGCCAAAATCCATTTGTTGACAACGTTGCAAAGCAGAAACCCATTTGTATAAATATTCAGGTCTGTGCAACAACAGACTCTGTAGAATTGCCATGTCATCTGTTTTTGCATTGAAATGATGTGAACGATGGTTTGTGTAGGTGGTGGAAAATATGTTTTGCATCTAAAGCTATTTACCGAGTTGAAAATCAATTTTCCCTTTTTCCAGGAAAATCATTTCATATTTTCGGAATAACGTTATGTGAAGCATTTTTATCATATCAATTATAACTATGTGTGTGCACGTATGTTTGATCGCAATCTGAAAGTTGTTTTGATAACATAATAACAACAGTAATGGATGATTGAAACTAACGTAACATTACCATCGTATTTTATGCGAATCACTAAACTTACACATCTAGTTTTAACTTTGTACATTCAATTGAATATCATCTACTTTAAGGAACGGAAATGTTCATTAAATAAATCTGGAGGAATTTCGCATTTAAAATAGTGTTTTACATTTGAAATGGCAAAAGTGAAAAATACACTTTAACTTTGTTAAAACACTATAATTGGATTTGAAGTCGAGCGAATGTGTTCTTTTTGAAGCACTGATGCGTATAGAACAGTATGATAAAGAAAGAATCATTGTTAATTCTGAATGAGCTGCATGTTAAAGTGACGATCCTATGATATGAATAGAGAGAGAGGAGAGAGAGAGAGAAAAAGAGAAGGAAAGAACAATGAGCTATATTGAGTTCAAAAAGTTGTCGATTTTCACTTAACCTCTTTTTTGTTTTCGCAATGATGATTTTTCTATTGAAAGAATAAGTTGTTATTTCCAGCAACCACGACAATATACCCGTAAAACAGCAATATCCTCAGATGAAAGCCAGAATGACAGTTCAATTTAAATCGATTTTTTTCGATTTTTCTTACTTTATTATTGCCTGCACAAGCTCATAATTCATGTTTTGTGGTTTTAAGCACGAGATGGCAAAGGAGTGAATACTTATGCAGCACTCATTGTATGAGTATGCATTACATTTATAATATTGTGCTACTGCTGATTTCTGTCTGGCGCCGTTACTTCCTTGCTTTATTTATTCATTGTGAAAATCCGCCAAATAGTATTCAATATGATCTAGCTCACATCGAATTCACCATGATTTCTGTGCTGTATTGTCATGGTTTATCGAATCATAAAACTTTGAATTTACATTTTATCCCTCCTGACACACAAACATCATCAACGCACTGGAAAAAAACAAGTCATCACAACGGAATGAGTGTTGATGAGCACCTGAATCTACTTTCTGTAAATATTTTAACTATCAAAACCAGCAATTTTACTTTGACGATATGAAATTGTTTGTTTTATGCCGTTACAAAGGAAGTTCATAAATTAAAATTCACAGTACACCAAAAACCATGACAGATTAAAATGGAACACCATTTATGGCAGTGATAAGTTGACGTTGTCGGAAAAAGCATAAACTATTCTGATAAAATATGTAAATCTCAAACGTTGGCATGCGTACCAATGACACTCGATTTGAAACTAAATTACCAGTGAAACATAAAGTAAATGAAACCTCTCGACTTGGTATTTTTAAACACAAAATCAGAACTCGAGAAACACTTTTTTTTTCACGATAGCAATGCTTTCAAACATAATCTGTAATTACCGTTCCTTTTTCCTATTGTGCGCCAAACACCATTTGAATCAAGTATAACGTATCGCTTAATTTTATTTCATATCGTTTTTCATATTGATGTCGACAACGGTTGTATCACACGCGTGCGGAATATTTATTTGTTTCGATTTTTTAAACCTCTATGTCGTCTATTCGGTAATATCCGCATTTGTCTGATGTTCAAACAAGAATACTTCGACACTTAACAATCTCATCGCATGCCGCAAAAAAGCAAAGAAAAGACGAGATTGTGTAAAGTTTTCCAAAAGATTTACTCTCAGCATCGCCATAAGAATTACGTTCGCATTGAGAAAATTCACTCGCATTGAACAAGTTTTTGCTCACAAAAACACTTTTGAATAAGATGGCAACAATTCTACATTTTTTTCTCTTTCCCTTTTCATGATAAATTATACACCGGAGAAAAATGTGAAACGCATTCTGTTTGAAACGCGGCATTTTGCCAATGTAATTCAGTTGTTGATTACAACGAGTTTCCCGTTGTGCATTTGATTACACCATTGACTAAAACAATGCGATTCAAAAAAAAGATTCTTTCCTCGTTCACACTCGTGCACCACAACAAATTGTGCATGTATATTCAAGGTTGTTGCGTTACTTTTCTTTATTCAACAGAACAATGATCATGTTTATATAGCAAGGGAGTAAATTGGAAAAAAAAATTCTTGTGCCATTTTGAATTACGACCCATCGAAATCGCACTTGCGAATAGCAACGGCATTCATAGTACTCAAATGAATTTTATGAGTTCACATTGTACAATTCCGAACAATATTTTGTGGTGACTTTTATTCAATTAAAATGGGAACAACTATTGTAAATTGGCTGCCATCGGAAAACCGGGACTTACCAAGCACGTTTTAATTTGGGTATATTGTCATATTGTTGTTTTAGATATGTATATGTGTGGCACTTAATGTAAAATAAATGCAATTTTTAAATTCTTGCAACTCAAACGGTTCTGAATTGGATGTGAGTTCCTTTTCATTCCAAAATTACACATTGAAAATGGTCTATTTTGCACTCGTAATTACATTTTACTTTATAGGCATTTGCATGAATGGAAAAAAACACCCTCTTCCTAATGACATTCTGCAATAAAACAATTTTTCGCTTTAATAACGTTTCGTATTTTCTCGCTTCGGCCAACCTTTTCAGCAGCATGCAAAGTCCCCGTCTGTTGCTACTTCTGCAGTATGAAATGCAAGTGTGAATGAAAAGCAAATTGCATAATATGTATTAAGTTTAATGGGCTGAAAATTGCTAGAAATCGTGCAAGTAGCATTTACATGAATAAAACGTCGTCGTCGTTGCCGTCGCCGCCAATGATGATGGTGGAATACAAGTGTATATAACTTATTGCATGTTAGAAAAATGAATCAACCAAAGGAGTGCACAATGTGAAGGCAGAAAATACTCGTTTTGCTTACTATCCCATTTCCTCACTGGACTGCATTCCATTTCCTTTATTTATTTTACCACCACTCTCTCCGTTTTAACTTGTCGATAAAAATGTTATGTATTCGTGAATATATGAATTCATGTAGTCATCACGTTTGATGCATGCGATTTCGTGCTTCCCATATCAAGCTGCATGCTGTGAGAAGACGCGATTGAGTTTCCGAAACAAATTTCCACTTTTTAATTTTCCATTGCATCGAAAATGAAACGAGAACAAATAATAATTATTCAAAATAAAAATGATTAAATCAATAAATCGCAGCAGCAACAGAATGCGTACGCCAATCGCATGTTTTCAGCAGCAATGGCATACTCACTCACATGTACATAGAAAAAGACGTGAATAAATTGAAAATTCCATCTCAAGAGAAACGAGCACGGAATGAAAAAAGAGTAAAAAAACCGCACACTCCAACAAGCTTACTGCGTTCCATCTTACATTAAACGGCCATAAGAACACTTTTGACTGGAAAAGTTCAACGCGTAGGTTGTGGTCGACGTCATAACCGGCCATAATTCAATGAATCTGTGAATGAAGTTCAAACTATTGATGAACCAATGCATTGCAGCAACGAACAACAAACATATATCAATTACGTTCATTCCAACTCAATTCATCGAAAGTTCACGACGGATGCGATTGGAATTTCTATTATTAGGAGCTAATTTATTATCAATATTTCTTATTTATTCTATTTTCAATTTCAAAAAAATAACAAAACATTATTTACTTTTCTATTTTCAGAAAGCTGACAAGTTACTCGAATATCACTATCACAAATGAATTATTATCTATGAGAAATCTATGTTCATATGCATGCCAATGGAAATTAACAAATACCTTATAAAAATCTCATCGAATAGCAAGACATTCTAGTTAAAGAGCAAAGGTCACTCATATTCACGCGTTCCCAATCGAAATATTGCTTGAAGTAAACAAACGACGAAGAAAATCGATGAATCGTCAGCAAATCCATAACAACTGCAGAGTACCACTCAAATCGAACTGCCAATAGCTTTAGAAGCTTATACAAATCTCTATTCATTTTTCTTATTAAATGAAATTCTATATCGAAAATGTGATACAAAAAAAAAAGTTCAAGCAAACAATTCACTGATATTTTATTCACATTGTATTAGTAAGTAGAAATGACAAATTGATCGATTTAAATTACGATTATTCAAAACGGGCACATTATTATTCTTCTTTTTTCCAGAGCACAATTTTTTATTTTAAATTCGAACCGGACGGTGTTCATATTGGCCACGTTTTTGTAGTGATCTATTGAAGAAAAGGGGTGTCAAAATGGTTGACTGCAATGTAAATCAACCGATGATAAGTGATAAAATTGAGAAGGAGAATACGGGGACTGATTTAATACTGCCAATCGCATCGATATCATCAACAAATCCACAGATATCAGTATTGCAACAATCGCCCCGATCACCGCCGCCAGTTTTAGTGGACAATTTTAAAAATGGAAACACAACGTAAGTGCATGTGTATTAAATAGTTAGCTGCAACTCTTTATTTTTTTTATTCATTTTGTACAAAAGAATTCTTTTCAGTTAACTGAATAATATTTGTTGATTTTATGTGTTCAATATGGTATGAGTGGCGAACGAAAACAAAAAATTAGGTTAAATTTGTTATGAATGTCAAAAGTTCAATTTTATTAATACTAAATTTAATTAGTGTGTGTATATTCAACAAGCATCGTTTCAATGGTCTTTGATCTCGTACATGAAATGGGCAAACGTCCCAATTGCTTTTCTACGATATCAAATAATTGGAATCATTAATTGCTGTTAATATTTGTATTTGATCAACACATTGTATAATTCTAGGTATAATTGGCACGATAAAATGGCGATTCGACCATCGTTGCATGATGTTCCAATTAATTGGAACATTTAACTAATCGAATGAATTACGATACGATTATAGGAAAACAAGCACTTGTCTTGATTGTAAGAATAAACTGGTGCCACTCGCTCACTCACACAGATAGTCGCAATGCGTATGTAACATCAATTCATTGATTGTGAGGTGGCTTCCATTCACATATCGTTGAATTCTCTCACTTTTTTTTATTTATAAAATCGCATCAAACTCAATGTCAACCCCTCGACTAAAAATAGAAGCGAAACGAACTTAATGAAAATTTATCGTGCAGACAACAAAATTATGTTCATTTATCTACTCGTCGTGCAATTGTTTGTTTTTTTCTATATTGCAACACAGGTTCTGTCAGCTCGGTTTTCACACTGCCATTTCTGTATTTGCGTCGGTAGTGTGTGTGTGTGTGTGTTGGTGTATGAGTTGTATGTTTTCTGCATAGATTCACGATAAAAAGCAATTATAGTGTGTTCTTCAACATCAAAACGATTTGCGATGTTTAGCCTTGACAATGAAATGGGCACTAACACGCTTTATCACAACAACCGCGTCATTCTCGTCAGTCATGGTTGATTATGCGTCGCCAACACACTCAGACAATAAAAATGACTTTGATCCTTTTACTTTGATAATGGTCGCAGTTTTTTTTTACTTCGCATTATCGTGTAAATTCTTCTTCTTTACATTGGCATTAAAATAAAACCATTAGAATAATCAAAGGGAATGAAAAATCTCGGTGAAATTACTTGTTGGGCGTAGTTTAATCCGAAATTGTCATGGTGACATTGAAATCAAAAAGTGAAAGTCACAAATTGCACCTAGTAACATTTTGAAAATGAAATAAATCCTCTTTTTAGAAAATCGTTAGCGAATCGTCTTGAAGTTTTTCATTTCTGAAGGTTGTGAACTAGGGGATAACCACCAAACTAGTGTTTCTACTCAGAGAAATTGAACAGTGTAAACACAAATGTTTGTTGTGTATTTCGCCCATTTACACAGACGTTTCACACACAGTGAAACGTCGAATTACCCACACTACAACAAAAATGATGTGAATTCGACATTTTACACTGTGTGTGTATAACGTCAGTGCAAACCGTCATTTTACACTTTGATTTTGCAAGTTCAGTGTAAAATGATTTTTCGTAAAAAAACTATTTTTTTCAAATCTAGGGGATATCCATGCGAATTAGAATTAGCACATTAGCAAAAAAATAGGGAAATTTACATGAAGAAAATAGCAAAATTAGCAAAATTAGCAATAAATAGCAGAATTAGCACTGTACACGTATATACTTTAGTAAGCATTTATTCTTGAATATATTGAAATAATTAATTAAAATAAAATTCACAAAACAAATGAATTGAATAGTGTTGAACTAAAATGTATCAAAATATGTAGTTAAATACGCTTTTTCTCATTTTTAAATAAAAATATATTCAATGGCACGTAACCAAGCACGTTTCATCTGTATTAACTACAATTTACGAATTGCAATCGGAAATGTAGATTTGATGACAGATTTCTTACTGAAAACGTATACGCTAGTGCCTGCTTCAAATATACACGTTGAAAGTGTCAACTTGAAACATTTACGTAAACACATTTCAGTTATTCGATCATGCTGTCAATCTGACGAATGCGATATTTTTGACGTACTAGAAAAATTAGCAAAAAATAGCAGTATTAGAACAAACTAGTAGAAATACTAGCAGAATTAGTGAAAACTAGAGAGAAATAGCGTTTATTATTATAAATTATTCGATCTGCAATTCACGGTTATCCCCTAGTTTCAAATGATAATTTTTTTTTCATGTTTTTATTTTATTGTTAAATATTCAATGAAAGATTTAAAATATAATTTGATTTGAAATTGATGTGATTTATAGTGATATTTTGCTCTAAAAAAAGTTTACCGGTGTGTTGTAAAAACATAAAAAAATTCGTATCTCACGCTCATATTTGCGATAATTTTTATTTGTTTTTCATCATTTAATCTATTTTGCATATTGAAAGAGCCAATAGAAGTGATATAATTAAGTTTCAAGAGCAAAATATCACTATAATTCACATCAATTTCAAATCAAATTATATTTCAAATCTTTCATTGAATATTTAACAATAAAATAAAAACATGAAAAAAAATTATCATTTGAAAAAAATAGTTTTTTTTACGAAAAATCATTTTATACTGAACTTGCAAAATCAAAGTGTAAAATGACGGTTTGCACTGACGTTATACACACACAGTGTAAAATGTCGAATTCACATCATTGTTATTGTAGTGTGGGTAATTCGACGTTTCACACTGTGTGTGAAATGTCAGTGTAAATGGGCGAAATACACAACAAACATTTGTGTTTACACTGTTCAATTTCTCTGAGTAGTTTTTCTAGTGCGTGAAGTTGGTTCTCTTGGTAGTTTAAGTACAGGTTATAGGTAGGTTATGCTAGTTTTTACTACTGTTTTTCTAGTTTTCTAGTTTGGTGGATAACCCCTTGGTTGTGAACCAACCCATGATGAGTACATAATCAATCACACCTAAAGAATGACAAGTAAATGTTGCACCACAGTAAAAATATTAATAATAAAACAATGTTTATATAAAAGATATCGGAATGTAGACAGTATTTCATTTTTGAAACAAAAAAAATACCATGTTGATTTTCTACCTGAACAATTAAAAATTGTATGCCATAAAACAATGCAAAAGTTTTCCCAGCAAATTGTGATTGAAAGCATTTTTCGTCCTTTTATGTCAGTCAGCGTTTTATTCGTGTTCCATACTGTATAAATATCCTTTATGAGCTGCAAATGCGAATATTTCTTTTTATTACATATCTTGATCAACATTGCGTTTCGGCTGTTTGATTTTCATTACACGTCGTTTGGATTTTTTTGTTCGTTCAATTTCAGAAACATATTCTGAAAACAGTACATTTTCGGTCGTTTTTTTATCAAGGATAAACCATTTTTTTTGCTGTTTCGACAAAAAATCTCGTTAGATTGCTACTTGCAAACATTTCAGCCAATTGGCCAAATCGAACGTTGAATTCGCGCAGATTTTGCCCAAGTTGTGTGAAAAGAGAAAATCTCTTCCGAGAGGTAAATACACATTAAAACAGAACGATCATCATTTATGTAAACAACATTGCCCCAAATCCAATTTCGATGTTATGTTTCTCGCGCAACAAAAATCAATATGGTGGAAATATAATCAAGACGAATTTTACGCGTACTTTTTTATGGTAACAGCTTTTAGCATTGAAAAAGGTGGCGCTCCTCTCGTTACTGTTAACAAAACATGTGAATAAAAAGAAATGTTTTCCGAATTTTCACGTGTAAAAATGTTATGTTTTCACATGCAAATGTGTGTTCCATGTCTAACCTAATTATGGTAGTGTTTTTTTCTTCATGTTTTCGCTTGAATGTGAAGTATGCTTTTTTGGTTCAGTTGCTGATTTTCCAGAGGTGCTACTGATCAGATACATACTATGCGAATACGCGTTAATCATACACAAGTATAAATTTATTGTTTGTAATTTATCTGATGTTGGCGATAGAGAAAATAGAGAACGAGAGAGAAATGGATTGTGCTAGGACAATGAAGCCGGTCATAAAAACGTTCATATTATTTAATCATGCAAAAGTCAGAAAAATTATTACCTGACAGTGACATACTCGGTATTGGGAATAATCTATGATATGTATAAACTAGAGCAAAAGCAATGTGAGAATAATATTAAATGCCATTGCAGAGAATTTCTGATTCATGGTTTATTTCATATGCGCATCGGAAAAACAATCGCTCAACCGAAAACACTATATGAGCGAATGAAATTGTTGGTAAGGAAGTGAAATTCAGATCTTGTTTTTCCAATCGTCAAAATCGCGTTTTTTCTTCATTTGATGACAAAAAAAATCCCATGAAAAACTACATACATTTCAACGTCAAAATAGCTTTTATTTTGTATTATTAACAATTTCAGTGCGTCAAAATTGATGTGTACACATTTTATGTTGACAAAGTGGTATTGGATAGTAAGTAGTTCACTCTTATTTCCCTGGCCATTTTCGAACGGTATCATTTTACTCTAAATAAATGGTTATCGCCAAAAAAAACACATCGACTACTTTGCGAAATACATTTTCGGGCAACAGCAACATCAACAAGATTTATGTTTGTTCACACCCACGCTCTTTCGCTGATGCATCTTCGACTATACTTAACGCGAGCAAATAACCTTTGAAACAGATGATATTAGTCAGGTATACAATGTGTGCTGGTGGGTCACAGATAACAAACCAACGAAGATGGATATTTATCAAAAAAAATATCGAAAAATATTTACGAGGCAAATAAATTTCACTTTACGCGGTATATGCTATGATATATGTTTAACAGTCGTATTGTTGCTTATCATATTCATAAAAATGGCATTTCTTATTCCATGAAAATCGATTCGAATTGACAAGAAGATCGGATGTACGTTCCTTTCAAGTGAAATCTATGTATTGAATAAAACATACAATTTTCCAAGCGCAATTGATGCATACTAAACAACGTATGCATTTATGTATATTTAACTCGATTAGATTTTTTTTTATAGACTTGTGTGAATAATGAAAATTCTGACGTAAGCCAATTTATTTAAAAAGCGGAAGAATTCTAGTTGGAATGAACTTTATACCTAGTTGTCGTCAAATGAATTCACTTTAAATCGCATGGTTTAATCAAATATTTGCTATTCACAGTGGTTCGCAACATAATCTTCATGTGGAAAATTTTAACGGACATGGTTATGCGAAGAAAATTCACAACAACAGCCCGACCACATTGAAAAAGAACATGGTGAGAAATTGATTCAATGAAATTATACCACAATGATTTACAGTTATAAACGATTTGCCTAGCTTTGTTGCCATAAATTTTAAATGCAAAGTGACGCAACCAAAATATTTATATAAAACACACGCAAAATGCAATTCATGAGCTTTATCACAATTTGGAGATAAAATCTTTCTTTATATTGAAATTTCGTTAAATGTCGACTCTGAATTATAAACAATTCACAAATCGTTATTTTATCCACATTTGCGATAATCTTTAGGATATTGTATTTTGTGTGTCAATGAAATATATATGTAAAGGAAAATGTTTGCATACTTGAAGAAATCAAGAAAAATATGTTGATTCCAGCAATAATCACATGCAAAAGAATTGTACTATAAAATGATATTCGATTGATTTGCACGTAACAGGCGACATTGACAAATCTTCCCAAATGGCCGCCAGTGGATGTGAGATTCGATGATATCAAGTTTTCAGTGTCAGAAGGTCGACGAAAAGGATATAAAACTATATTGAAAGGAGTTAGCGGATTATTTCGTTCCGGCGAATTGACTGCCATTATGGGACCGAGTGAGCAATTTTTTCCTTCATAACCTTTTGAATTTATGCGAAAAATATACATTTCAAAGGCAATTTACTTTCTTCTTTTAAGGTGGAGCCGGAAAAAGTACATTAATGAACATCTTGGCTGGATATAGGTAACTACTTAATTTGCATTTATTAAACAATTTTCCATTGTTTTTCTCGAAATTCATGCAACAGAGGATTTTTTTTATTTTCGCTGTGGTCTGTTTCCTCCAAATAACGTCTCAAACAATCCAGAGGCCGCATATTATTTGTCCTGGATTATTATTATAATCAATGAAATCACATCTGATTTCCTGCACTCCCGTGCTAATGGTCAAAATGATAGCTATACTATATATTCACTGATAACAAAACACCCTCTTTATACCTTTTGATTGTCGCAAAACATCACACACGTGCGTACATGATAGAAAATTCCTTTTTGCTTTTACATTTTTAATTTGATCAAATGTAAAAAAACAAAATGAATTTAGTATTTTTCAATGTGAAGACCTTCATTTTGATCTTGATGGAACTTTACATACACTTGTGTGAACATTACAAGAAAATCAACGGTTATTTTTTTAACAATCCAGAAAATGACACGCATTTCCATATTTATCATTTCTACATAATCTTCCTAGAAGGTTTTTCCATTTTTATAGGTTTTGAAATGAGGAAAAAAAAAACTAATTCATTCCTTTTTTTATTATTTCATCCAATAAAGAACATCAAATGTAAATGGAACCGTTTACATTAATGGAAAAGAGCGTAATTTGCGTCGATTTCGTAAGCTGTCGAGTTATATCATGCAAGATGATTGTTTAATGCCACATCTAAGTGTCAAAGAAGCTATGCTAATATCAGCCAATTTGAAATTGGGCAAAGAAATATCGACCGAATCGAAAAAGTTGGTGATTGCTGAAATTTTGGAGGCATTAGGTTTAAGTGAATCGATAAGTACGAGAACTATTGATTTGAGCGGTGGCCAACGGAAGCGTCTTTCGATTGCCTTGGAATTGGTTAACAATCCTCCGGTGATGTTTTTTGATGAGGTTAGTAACTTTGCTCCAAGTAGTAAATAATTTTAGTTTTGGCGTGCGCGTAATTCATTCTCTTCATTGTTTAAATTTTACATGATAATAAAAATATTATCGTTGGAATGATTATAATCGCAATATTCTTGTTTTACGGCTAATGCGTTTGATGCGAATGATTCAGTGTCAAAGACACGAATTATTCAGTTCGATGCCGCGTACTTTACATCTTAAATTGACGTGTCCAGAAGAGAGTTTTTACATCAAACAAACGCTGCTTTTCGTTGAAAGCCAAAGATCACTGTGTTCTTTATTTAATTTTCATCGTTCTACCTGTTATCTTGATATCATTAATTTGTTTTTTTTTTTTGGTTATGAGTGCATCGAAATGCTCAATTCTATATTAACTAAATAACTTTTTGTTTCAATTTTAATTGAATTACCATCAATTTATCAATTGGAATATTGTTTTCATTTGTGATTTCTTTAGCCTACTTCCGGTTTGGATTCTTCATCGTGCTTTCAATTACTATCATTGCTGCAAACATTGGCTCAAGGGGGTCGCACCATTGTATGTACCAATTTCTAGTATACTTAGTTTTATTTAATTTGTATTTAGTTTCTTCTAGTTTTTTTTGTATATCTAAAATATTGAGCTGAATAAATTGCATTGCCAATGTATTCTTCATCCATACGGAAGACAATAGAATCCGCATTGTTCTTACTGAACACAAGTATTTTGTACCGTCATAAAAAAGGTGTTGGCAATGTATTTTGTATGGCACTGCTAAAAAATATGAAATATTCTTCTAGTAGCTTCTAGTATGCATTGATTTCGTATAGTAAAAATCCATGTTTTTCCCCCAGGTATGTACGATACATCAGCCATCAGCTCGTTTGTTCGAGAAGTTCGATAATCTATATATGCTGGCAGAGGGTCATTGTATATATCAAGGTCGCGTTCATGGTCTGGTTCCATTCCTTGCATCATTTGGTTATGTCTGTCCAAGTTATCACAATCCAGCCGATTATGGTGAGTCCAATTAAGCAGAAGAAATTGAATCTCCCAACTAAAGTATTTTTCTCTCTCTATGTGATACCCAGTTATGGAAGTTGCAAGCGGTGAATTCGGTGAAGGTAATTCGGCATTTTTTTTGTCTAGAGACTATTTTCATTTGAATTTGACTGACATCAATTTTTTTTTCTTCAAGCTGTGCCAACGTTAGTGATGGCTGTTAACACTTACAAAAGTGGGAATGCTGTGTTGCTAACCGAAAATGAGATCGGTATCCAATTACAAGGGATATCAAGCGTATCAAAGACTATTGCCAACGATATCAGCAAGTCAAAGAATAATAAATCGGCACTAAAAAGTGACGAGCTGACTTATACAAAAAACAGCAATGTGGATCATACATTGATTAATTTAACGAACAACGATGATTTATCGTCACAGACTAAGGTGACATCAGAAGTGTGCACTACATCACTGTTGGATTCACATGATAGTGTCGTCACATTGCCGAATAAACACACGTTTCCAACATCGGGAACGAGGCAATTTTGGATTCTGTTGAAACGTGCTTTCAAGACAATTTTGAGAGACAAACAGTTGATGCATATGCGTTTGGCTGCACATGTTATCGTAGGCACTATCATTGGCATGATTTATTATGATATCGGCCGTGAAGCGTCCAAAGTTTATGATAATCTTGGTTGCACCTTTTTCACAATGCTATTTACCATGTTCACAGGGATGATGCCAACTATATTAACTTGTACGTTTTTGATCCTCTCAATCCAATATTCTCAATTCTCACATTTCACTAAGACTTCACTTGTTTTCTGCCGTATCAATTTTCAGTTCCACAAGAAATGAACGTTTTCGTGAAAGAACATCTCAATTATTGGTATTCATTGAAAGCATTTTATTTTGCAAAGACCGTGGCCGATATGCCCTTCCAAGTGAGTACAACGATTGATTCTATTGTATCATCAATCAAGTGTTACCGATCAAATTTCAATGTAATTAATGAGCATTATCTTTCGTCAGCTTTTGTTCTCCGGAGTGTACGTCGTAACGGTTTACTATTTGACATCGCAACCCATGGAGCTTCAACGAATTGCAATGTTTGTGTGTATTTGCGTGTTAACGAGTTTGGTATCGCAGAGTTTGGGTTTGCTTATTGGAGCGGGCCTTTCTGTGGAGAGCGGTGTTTTTATCGGTCCAGTCGCATCGATTCCTACCGTTCTGTTTTCTGGCTTCTTTGTTACATTTGACACCATTCCTGGATATTTGAAGTGGTTGACATACGTATCATACGTCCGCTATGGATTTGAAGGTATTAATTATACATGACACCCTTTAATGTTTCTCATTTAACTGAAACTGATCTTAAAATTGTCGTTTTTAATTTTAGGTGCGGTGCTTGCAATTTACAAAGATCGAGAACGATTAAAATGTTCACAAATGTTTTGTTTGTATCGAGACCCCGTAAAAATTGTCGATATGCTATTCATGTCAGAGTCGGAGTATTGGGTGGATGTGGTGGCATTAATATCCATATTTCTCGGATTACGAGTAATCGCTTACTTTGTACTGCGATGGAAAATCTACTCGATCCGATAAATAAATAGGTCCCATCATTGTGTTTCCATCTGATATTTAATTTAAAAACACAAACGCAATGCAATCAGGCGCTGTGCAATTCTTTTTTTTAATTCTATCTACAATAAATACGATAACACTTAAATATTGTAGCTTTTTCGTTTCCTCACATTTCTTACAATGGGCAGAGGATGTGACATTTAGGGTGTAGATTTATTTTTTACTGCTTCAATTATCCGATGTATGATGTATATTCGATTAAGTGAACGAGAGATTTTTTTCTTCTTGGAAATGGAATTCTAGTTTTTGTAATACATAAAACGATTATTTAAGACAGACTTATGTCAAAATTCAATTGCATTTTTGATTGAAAAAATAAACATTGGAAATTGTATGGTTTTTTTTTTTTGGTTGTTGTTTATTGTATTTCTTTCGTTTGAACGACGATTTTTATGGACAATATTAAATATGGATGAATAAATGCAATGTTTTAATATTTCATTTTTTGTTTAGAATCTCAACACTCATTATTACATGATTATTACTGGTTAAAACAGAGATTTCAACATTAAATGGAATAAATGTGTATCCATTAAATATTTTCACTTGATGTATCCATTTCTGCTAAGTTTTAAACGGTTAAAAATCAATGAACGCTGCCTGGAATGTCGACAATTCTAAATTGTATGTGGTCAAACTAAAGAATAAAATAGCCTAAAACTCTATAACATTTATCAATTTGAACTCAATATTGTAAACCCCCATTTTCTGCACATGAATCGATCCATTTTTGTTCAATGATTGCCCATTTTTGGTTCTAAAGACACGCTGCATATTTTATTATATGTTTTTTGGAATAAAAGCAACTTATTTTATCAAAATATCCTTGAATCTTATGAAATCTTTCGAAAAAGAAAAAAAGGAAATTCAAGTTCACGATCTGAAAGATTGTTATTCTAAATAGTCCAATTTCATAAAACAAAATATTCAATGAAATTCAGACCAAATTATAATTTTAATCAAACGAACCAAGAAATGATTAATTAACAAAATGGACGAGACGTATGTGTAGAAGTTTTTATTGTAACATTTAGCGATAATAAGATTGTATTAATGCAACAAAAAAAAAAAGAATCATGAAAACGGTGTTACTGACCACCAAATGCTCAAGAGATATTAAAAATAGCTACGTAAGTTCATTCATTGTAGTGTTAGTTATCTCATAAAATTAATCTCGTAAGATTAATCATTTCCACCATTTTCAAGACGAACAAAAGAAAACCATCTTAAGAAAATAGTGCATTAAATCCTTGCCTTGGAGAAGTACGAACCAAAATAGCTTCAAAAAATTTGAAGAAACAGCTCAACCCATATTTTCCAACAAATTTTTTTCTCAAACTCAAACAATGCAAGCAACCTGACCAATCACAAAAACTAAATCAATCAAATACTCAACAAAAGATTGATTTCTAAATGAAATTATCTCATAAACCATCAAAATATTCAATCATATGGCATGCAATGTGATTTTTATTTTCAAAATTACACAAAAAAAAACATTACAAATTCGAATATTTAGTAATAAAACATAAACATTTATATGTAAAATTTTAGTATTAAAATTGAAATAAAATAAATCGACATATTTACAGAAAGAAAAATTAAATTAGAAAATCACGTGTAATTTGTGTTTTTATGCATAACAGTGTGTTTCAGGTGTGAAATAATAAGCTTGTCATTCAGCCAATTAAAAAAAATATTATTACAGATGAAACTTGATCATTAAAAAAATTCAGAATTATGTTGAAACGTTTGAGATTATAATCTACGGTGGTTTTTGTTCGCTCGCTCATCATTTGCGTCGCATCATGGTATAGCGGATGCGTTCGCGAATCGAACACTGAATATATCAAGACAGCGCAACATTCAGCGCAACCGTTCATTGCGAGTAGATCGTAAGGCAATGCGACAATCTTATACGCGCGCCGATAAGCACTTTGTCTTTCTTACGCCGATAGAAAAATGTGGATAGAGTACACGTTAAAGTAAACGGATACCATCGGTTCGATTCTATTTTTGTCGCATTCATTCAACACCCGCTTTATATGTCTGTTTCACTTTGAATATGTGGTTGTGTATCGGTTTGGCGCTACTCTATCACATTTACGCTACCGTCCTATTATACCATACTATATGATGTATATGTATGTTGTTCGATCGTTTTGCGTGCTACTTCTTTTTTCTTTCTTTTTTTTCGTATAGATTGTCGTATCTATGAGTTTTTAATATATTTTAGTGTCTTGTCGAGTTGGGGCAGTCCGACATTAACTGAATCTAAACATTAAGACGGTTAGTTGTCGTCGAACTTTTGCTCAATGTAGACTGTTTCATTAAAATTGGATGGTGATGTAGAAAAATGACAAACACATAGTAGTACCTGCGAAAAGTTAGAAATACAAACATCAACTATTCAAAATATTCCACTAATCTAAAGCAACATTTTTCACACGAATTCTTTTGAAAATAAACAATTGGCATTTTTTTTCTCTAAAAATTGGTTCAGTGTAAATGAAGAAAATCGACGTTTTTTTGTAATAACATACGTATTGATTTCAGTGCATTAAGTGTCAATAATACGACGATATACATCGACAGAATATTCAAATATTGTGGCGTGTGCGTCGTTGATTTTGTCCTCTAATAAATAAACCATTCACATACGTAGATTTCGATCGAAGAAGTTAACGAAAAAAAATTAATAAATAAAGATTTTGTTGTGTTTAAAGTGCCTTCAAATTTTACGCGCATGTTTTTGTGCTATTAATGTGATATTTACTCGTCATTGATGAATTAAGTGTAAATTTCTGAAGGAAATTAATTTTTGTTTTATACAAATTTCAAATCGAATCAATCGAATATATTCGATTCGCGCACATACACGATATCGAATTCAATGTTCAAAAATATGGATTTAGACAGTGACTACATTCTGAATAATAACAAGTAAGTATAATAACTTTGAGCCATTACTGGTTTTTGATAGATTGATTTTGATTCTACGTCAATGCAATCAAAATTCTGGTTCTTTGAGCACTTTTTTTTCATTATGAGGAAGAAACCACACATAGATCACACGTGTCAACGAAATAAAAATTTAAATATTAAATTTATTCAAATCAAATGGTTTTATTGTTTTGTTTATTCGTGTTGTCCGTTGATGATGGATCAAAAAAAAAAAACAACATTCAAAGGCATAGATGGAATACGAAATGAAGCTGTTCTGACAAACGTCTGTGCATACACGCAAACTTCCCATTGAGGTCATACATAAAAAAATCACTATTAATGTGCCGGTTTTTTTCCTTTTCACACCGCGCGTACACCATTCGGATTTATTTTTATCGCTGGTTAATCGTTACTTTTTTGAGGCGCAACACATTGATGTGAAACCAATGTGCTTTCAAGACTGTCACCAAACAACTTTTTATACGCTCGCTCGCACATACGCCAAGTATTTGTTCGCAATGCAACTGCAAATGTTGATTACTTGTTACTTGAACAAAAATCCAAAACGACCGTAATTGAAAAGAAAAAAAAACTGGTTGAGATATTTATTTCAACACTGACGAAGTGTAAAAAAACGACAAACAAAGTGCAACACTCAACATAACAGCACTTCTCATAGCCGATCAGTGTACATATATCAAAATGTGATTGGGAAAATTCATTTTGACAGATTTCTGATTCAATTTGGGTCAAATTATTGAATTTCTGAACTTCATACTTTTCTGATTCACCGATAATACCTTTATTCCCAAATAATCATCGATAAAACGCATTTTGAAACAGTTTTACATGTTGAGCCATTCGTTTTATTTCTAACGTTGTTTAAGCACCGTAAATGGCCATACCACATGCTTTAAGCAATAACTTCACATACGTTATAAAAAAGTAGTTTTGTTCAAATTAGATAAGGCAAAAGCAACTTCGACGATAGAAAAAAAAAACTTGTTAATTTGCTGAGGTAAATAGTTGGTTGTGACGAGGAAAGAAAATCAAATTTGTCAACAATATAGTCAATGCAAAATGCAAACCGTCATTTGTCGTTAAAACTAGTCGTTGATATTTTTCAAGCTGCTCGAGCCCATAGATTCTTTGCTAGAATTATTGAAATCGGTTCGTAATTATTATCAAATAGCTTATACACTTGTTTTGTGTTTGTTGCTCGCTGCAACGACACAGAAAACGACAAAACTAAGCCTTTGACACACATTTTTTTAACGTAATAAGAGATATTCTCGTATATGAGTACATGCTCGTATGCACACAGATACATACGCATCAAGTCAGCGATAATCTTTGACTCGTTTACTCTAAATAATAAAATTCGCATTGCTATCAACGTTACAGATACACTGAATTTCCATACTGCAAAAAAAAACCTATCATTCTGATACACAATTGGTTGCTCAACGAAAAAAAAAAAAAAAAAAAAAAAAAAAACAAACAAATAATGAACAGAAGAGAAAAAAATAAAGAAAGTCATTTTATGAACTCGTGCCAATTTCAATGACTTTTCAAATTCACACACAAACCGTGAAAACCATTCAAGCAAAAAGCTTACTTCATGTTTCGAAAGCAACATAGCGCGATCGATCGATCGATTGTATTCATACAATCGATTCGCAATTACAGTAAATCACAGCGATTTCAATATTTCAACATTTCAATTGCGAATTAACGAGAGAACCAAATGACGCTATAATGATCTACAGACACTAACGACGTGATCACCATATTTTGAGTTAGTTGCGCATCTGTACATACATATATGAACACTATCTTTTTCCCTACATTCTCTACACTATCGATGTGATATTTGAAATGTGATCGATATGGAATGTTGTAAATTGTCAGTGAGAGAGAATGTCAAAGAAGATTGAAAATGTGATTAAATTTTGCTGTTTGTGAAAAGTAAACGAATTTTACAGTTTTCGCATTTTCTAAATGATTAATATACAACTTGATCGATTAGATTACATATAACTTGATCAGACTATTGAATGTGTGCTTCCTTGATCTCTACTGGGTAGTTTGTTCGGTCTATTGCTGTTTTGTCACACATTTTGTTGCAAAATTAATTTTTAATTCGTATTTTCCTACTTTAAGCTATGCCTTGAATATAATAGAAAATGCTTGAAACAAAAACATACACCCAGGTCGCATCACGTTCAAACACACAACAAAAAAATCAACAAAAGGTTTCTCCCAAGTACAATGATAAGTTTTACACGCCGATGCTTTCGAAGCAGCAACAATCACATCGTTTCATTGAAATATTTCAGTCAAAATACAATAATTACGCGAATAAATGTACACTAAATGAAACGCATCATAAACATTAAATTATGTATAGTTGAAAATCAATACGAAAAAAATCGTTAGCGAATAAAAAAATGATTGGTAAATATAAAGTATTGAAGGTCATTCGTTCGAATAGCACGATATAGGTGTATTTGATGTGCAATATGCTCGTGCTCATGAGACCAGGAGTATTTTCTGCGTAATAAATTACATTACAACACAAAACCGGGGAACAAAAGAAGAATAGCATTTACAAAAGAACACATGAACATAATTGAACAATGCTCATAAATACGGTATTCGGAAGCGCACACGACCAATCAATTCATTGTATGCTTTTCTCAATTGGTGTTTAATGCGCCACACACTTGTAAATAGAATCGGGGTGATTTAAGGAGTGATATTGCACATCTTGGCCGTTAGTTGTTTCCGCAACTCAATAATCAAATCTTCCAGCCATTTTTTTTATTAACGATGACCAGGATGACCAGGCATTTATTGAGCACAATGTTCCTTCCACCTTTTAAACCAATAGAGAATTCCGATGATTTCAAAATATTTGTTTAATTCGAAATTCAGAATAGTTTGACGATTTTTTTATGCGATATAATTTCACTACGCAAAAAATTATAATCTGCATGACGGACACATCGTTTTAAAGAGAAAAAAGCAAAAAATCTCGTTGCTTAAACAAGAAAATAAACAACATCACGATAAAATAGCATTGACTATAAAATTAGAAAGCGTTTGTCTGATGCATGCGCTTCATTCGATTTCGAATCAAGTGCTTGAAGAGTAAAATAATGATAAATTCAACTCGAAAATAAATATGATTCGGTCACAAAAGCTAGCCTCCGTATACAATACATTTTACTTATGCAATACAGGTTAGGCCACATTTTGGGAGCGTTAATCAGTGAAAATACGAGAAAAATCTATCTTTTTTTCGAAACCAAAGTAATTTAAGTTTTATATTTCCTTTTGTATGAAGCAGTACGTTTCAGTGTCTTGTAATCGTTTCTGTTGAAAGCGAGTGCTTTGCAGATTTTAAACACATTTGGCTTTGTGTGGTTTTTGATGGCATGCATATACACATCTGGCAAATGATTCATTCAAAACTTTTGACGTGATGCTAAGACGTACATCGTACACTATATGATTGAGCAAGTCTAATAAAGCAACAAATAATTCAATGGGCTCAAACTGAAAAACCACCGTGCAAAAGCGCCGGAGTGGGGCTGACTAATGTGCAAAAAAATACAATTAAAAGCAAATCGAAAATGTATAAATGTGTACGATGTGCCTAACCTTGACTCAAAAAACGGCGCACATTAACCGCAGCCCACCGCTCCGAAATGGAAATTCTATGGAAAAACGCGTGGTCATTTATTAACATTCAACAACGACAATAAATCAATAAAAAAAAGAATTAGAAACAAATTATTTAAAAATAGAATTGATAAATAAATTATTATCATTCCAAAAACTTGATGAAAAAAACGCCAAAACTTCCTATCAATTTGTAAATGCACGTTTTTCACTCTTTTTTATATTGACTTCAACCTCGACTGTACACCAAAAAAAAAAAAAAAACGTCAAAGATTATTCTAAATTTAATATTTCCAAATAAAAATTCTTTTTTTAAAGTAATATGGGTCAAATTGGCCACAGCTAGTTTGTTGCGATGATAATGAAAGTCAAATATTTAATGGAGGAAAACAAGAACAAAGCAAATTATTTATTATAGTGGCTCAAGTGCAAACACTTTGTTCGATATGCGTTATGACAAAAACAACACATAAAGTGACGTGGTCAAGTGATATTGAGCAACTGAACATCATAACAGAATATTTTTTTCTGGCCAAAGTCCATTCAAAATGCGATTAATATTTCTTCTATTCCACATGCACAATCGAAACAATGTTATTTCTATAATTTCATTTGGGGCATTTTATTATGGAAAAAAAAATCAAAACAATGGAAAAAATGTGTAACTCGAAATTCGTGTCAATAAATCAATGTGCGATTATTAATGTGCTCAAAGTTCATTTTTCTAAACGTCAAAATATTGATAAAACCACAATTCAATTGTGGTATCACAATTCAAACGAACTTGGGTTCAGTTGTACAGCATTGCATCAAAAGAAATTTTCTTGAAATTTCTATTAAATGTGCATGTATCAACAGTTTCAGTTATAGCTAATTGAATTGAATTTGATAAGCGAGTAAACATGTTGTTGACTCTCTTGATGCTCTATGATTACATCAGTGCGAATGATGAGAGAAGAACTTTGAACTAAACCGGAAAGAAATTGGACAGGAAAGTGATTTTAATTTGGAGTACGTTTGCATGAACGAAACATATAGATGATTGGTCATTAATTAGTTATTTAATCAAATAAATCGAATGACACTCGTTACCTCGAACCGAATGCATACAAAAACAAAATCAGCTCTGGACTTTGATTATACGTGCAACGAATATAATTACAATATAATTTACAGCGTATACTAAGCCTATTTATTCGGTTATCAACACTAACTTAGCTTGGTTGAATGTAACTTTTTTTTGTAAAACAATCATAACCACTGTTACTAAATGAAAACAGAAAAAAAAACCCACAGAAATCGAAACAATCAATCAAATAGTGGCGGTGTAAAAAAAGAGAAAACTACGCTTTGTTTCTATGCTTGTATTCAAAAAAACACTACAGTGATAAAAGAACACATTGGCCAATTGTCATCATATCACAAAACAAACCGATTAAGAAACAATTGAGATAGCAAAGAGATAAAGAAGGAGTGGCAGAGAAACGAATTCATCATGCAAAATAATCGTAGCTCTAAAGTGTTGAGAATGGCCTGAAAAAAATTCAATTATAAATAATATATTGTGTACTAAAAACCGACACAGCTTATATGGCTAATATCGTTGTAAATTATCGTTCTCTCTATGTTACGATTAGAAACATACATTCACAATATATTACTCTATTTATCGTTGTTGAAATAGTAGAGTTTCGCTAGTGTGACCACATGTTTGTGCACGAGTTTCCGAATAAATATCGAAACGACGACGACGACGACGACGACGACGACAACAACAACTATAAATGTAGTGATACAAAAGCCGTATATTGCGTAAATAAACTCATATAAAAATCTCATTACATTCCGTTGCCAAAACAAATCCAATAACAAAGAAAACGAACGGAGCATTGTAAACGCACCATACCATTGCACACACAGCAGCAGCGTTCTGACTTGTGGCTGTTGAAAATTGTGCAGATTCGTTTTGCTTGCACGACTGTGTATCAACAAACACAACATTGTGTGTATTGGTATGTGTCTCGCATCATAGCCGTTCCATTTCTATGTGTGTAGATCATGCATTCTCTCACACTAAGTTGTGTTTCAATGTAATTCATTCAATACACAACATCAATGAGAATGTTATGCTCGCTCATCGTATAGTTTCGCGTGAGTTTGTGTGTTGATATTCATTGTGCTATTGCTCAATTGGCATTGGTATTTGTTTGGTACGCGATGTGTATTGTTACTCATAGTCGATCTACGTGAAACTTTACACAGTACTTGGCGTTTGTTGTATGGTTTAGTATGACTTTAGACGGACAGCAGTTAACAAAGGCTGTCTTCGATCCTCTGTATCTGTCTCAAGAATTTGAGTTTTCTTCATTTTTTTTTCTTTCGCGTCCAAACTCTATTTTTTCTTCATTCGCATTTTTTTTATCGAAGAAAAACAAATAGAAAAAGTGTAAATCCTTTGTTGTTGTGCTTCGTTTATTGTCGATTTTGTTGATTTTTCTCTTGTACAAAATTGCTGGTGTGAAACTCGAATTACGCCGTTTTGTCTCTACAATCCGATGAATTTTCACATTTTTTTTTGCAAATAGAAGGAATAAGCATACAGCGTTTCTTTGTTCGATTTGGACAGTGAGTGCGCTCGAGTTATACTGGAAACACAAAGAATCAAAGGTTACTGCAACAGAGACCGATATTTATTCGATATCGAAAAGAGAACACACGATTTTATCGCACTGCAATTTGATCGCTTTGAGAAGATCAAAAACATTCAAATGTGCCTTTAGTTAGAAGTGCGCGTGATACAAACACACATAGACAGTTTTATAATCTATGTTACAAAAAGTGGTTTCGCGTGTGGATCTATGCGCAAATTCTAATCAAATCGAAATAATAATTTCAAGAACACTTGTGGATTTGAAGAACATTTAAATACAAAGCAATTAAAACCATTTGAATTGAAACGAAATTCAATTGAAATTAGAACGAAAAAAAAGAACAAAACAAATTACATATTCGCAAAAATGGTTGAAGGCGACTGTGCTAATGATAATTTAATTGATGATAGGAAAAGCGGAGCAATCAAATTACAAATTGTTCCAGCTCAACCGAAGACATTATCACATTTACCAACCCGACCGGCCGTTGATTTGGCATTCCATGACTTGGTGTACAGCGTACGTGAGGGCCGCCGAAATCGTAAGTTCATCATCTTTTATTTTTCTATCTTATTTATTTATTTTTTTGTTTAGATTTAAAATTCAAATGTCAATGACCGATTGCATACACACGTTGAAGCTGCAGTTTCGCTTGTGTTTGATGACGCTAGCAAATATGCCTACGATTTCAATTCATCTCAAATCAATACTGAATTGGATGTCAGCTATTTTTGAAATCAATATACGCTTATCAATGATCGATTTCATTAATCAACCATTTCGAAATTGAAACAATAGCGATAAACGGTCATTTCGAGTTGATAAGCGATTATGATTATGATTTCCGTTGAAGGAAATTCACGTAGTTTCAATTCATCTAATTAGATTCATAGTAATCCATGCGTAACTATCATTGATGATTCGAAACTTTTTTAAATTCCAAAAGAGGAGGAAAAACAACACGCAAACAATCAAATATTTTATGTCTTTGCCGCAAAAATGCCTTGTATTTAAGCAAGAATAATAAAAAAACAATTGCCATAGAAACCTGGAAATCCAACGAGACAGCAAAAAAAAAAGACTATAATGAGCAGTTTAGTTTTCAGCGGTTTTATTTCTTTCCCATTTTTTTTGGACGCATAAAATAAAACTTGCTTAGGTCATCTGGAAAAAACCCATCGCACATTCGTGTACAATTCATTAAATAAAAATCTGCTCATTTTCCTCTCGCTTCGAGAATCAACACGAAACATTGTTCACTTCTCGATCGCATTCGATTATTTAAATGCACATATTTTCCTGTTTGCTATTATTTGTTTGCCTTTTAGCCGAGGTGTAATTGCGATTGGTGTGGTGAGTCTCACCAAATTGAAATCAGTCAGGCAAATACACGACGAACGATGATGATTTTTGAAACGATAAAATACAGTATTTATAAATAATTGCATCGAGAGAAAAAAAAATGAGCGAATTGAGGTGCTTGCGGGTGAGGTGAACGCGATATCGGAATGGATATAGTAATTATTTTATTCATTTTCATCGGGGCCGATGTCTGAAACAAGTGCTCCGATACGGAGGAAAAAAAATCGGTTGTCTGTGTATTTTATCGACCATTAAAAAAGCTGTACACAATAACAAAGGTCATATAATTATAAATGCTGACCAAACTGCTTAAAAGAGACTTTTTATTTTGCCCACAAAATGCATATTTGTGAGATTTATCGTATTCAAAAATTCCATTAAGACTAACACAGATTCTAGTGATTTAAACAAGTTTTCCCCTTTCCCTGCTCTGCTCGTTCCGAATGACCAAAAAAACTGAGAGGAAAAAAAAATTTACCAGTCCAAAAGTTGAATGCGAAGAACTTTGAAGAGACACAATTTTTGTTTTCATAAAAATAAAAAAATAAATTGATGTTGTTGGCAAAAATGTAATAGTATGCAAACATATGTATTAAAATGATATAGACCTTGATCTGTACCTTCGTGTCAGTGTGATATGTGCGTGTGTAAGAGCATGAGTTTTGAAACAAGTTTTTCGCTTCATTATCAGTCGTATTATTCCGCACAAATAAAATGAAACATGTTCATTGTTGGAGAAGCAGTACGGTGCACGAGCGAGGAAAAGAATTTAAAAAAAGCTACGCGAAAGAAACATAAAAACACCACAAAACCATCGTCATTAAACAAAGAGCGCTTACGTATGCAACTAATCATCGACACCGACAAAATTTATACGACAGTTTCCGCCTTTTCACCACATATTGCGGTTTTATCATTTTAATATAATTTAATATCTGTATAAATTGTGTTAATTCCATTTTCTGACCGATGCAAATTCCATTTTGTCTCTCTTATCAAATGCGATTTGTTTTTCGCACTGAGAATGTCCGCTTGAAAAAGAGAAAACAAAATTAATTAAAACATAGAGTCTACGTCTAACAGACGAATAGAAAAAACTACAAAAGATACGTCATAACTAGTATCAATTTTAAAAATTTCATGAAGATGTCGATACCAAAGCAGCGTGCAAAATAAAAATTTGAAAGTCAAAATTTATTTGTTCAATTTGTTATTGTTAGCATCGAGACGACAATGAATTCAGACGCCAAACGATTAAAGTAATTTTGTTGACATTCGTCATCTGTTGAGTTTTTTTTTTGGTTGCCATAAACTTGATTTAAATTTTGCAAAAGTTCATGAATGTTTTGGACTTTCGTTGAATATATTTTTAGATTTTGGTAAAATAATCAAAACATAAATTCCGGCCAAGAGTCAGCACTATCTCGTTATGCGTAAATTAAAAGCCACTTTTTCTCTTCTCGTTTCAATCGTAAATGGATTTTATTTCTAGAACATATAGAAAAGGAAGCAGGTTGACGCACTTTGTTTACTCGTAACAGTGCAATCAGTGAACTGGATCAGAAACAATAAATGACACACAAAACATAAATAAATACCTATATCAGTTTATTAACATATAAGCGTATCACAATGCTACAAAATGTCAACTGTCATTGCCAGTTGTATTGGCTCGGTGTAAAAATGAAATGCATGCAATTAAACTGAATGAATTTTGTGCTTTAATTACATCGATTTGTTGTTTCCACGAAATCTATTCATTTTTTTTGGTTCATACTTCCACGATCAATTGTAGCATTTAGAACCAGACTATTGTTTCTTCCACCTGAGGGTGAATTGTTTAATTTGTGTGAATAGCATATCCAAAAGAGCAGATGTCGATTCGTTTTACCACAAGTGACCTATGAAGAATTCACACAAATCAAAAGCGACTGAATTAGTAATGACTCAACAAAATTGCATGCTCCTTCATAGTACGTAAATGAATGTTTTATATACACAAAAAAGATAATGCGAAGTAAACGATAACCAATACAAAATACATGGAACAGTCACAACGATTCTCAATATCAAAGTTCAATTGACGTAGTCATTTAGTCAATCACGTTTTTTTTTTTGATAATGCACCAAAATACGTATGAAAATATTGAAAAATAATTATTAGAGAGTTTTATGTGGACGTTGGACATAATCAATGTGTAATTGCATACAAATTCAACAACAGATTTTTTGACATATGACGATTGATAAGGCTTTTTGATTAATTCATGACTTTCACGAACTATTCGTATATTCAACGAACTCAATTAGCTTATAAACTATATTTTTCCCCTTTATTTAATTGTCAATTTACAAATAGAGTCAATTTGGCACAAATCAATTAACGAAAATTGATTAAAAATGCATCTGTTCATGATGTAGAATTCTCATATGAGTTGATACGTGGAGATTAGAGCTTCAATTTAACGTAGTTAGTTCACTTGACTTCTACATTTTGCAAATTCACATCTGATAAGTTTTCATAACATAGTCTAACTTAAAATTTCCTTTATTTTGTCTATCGTTTGCCATAAATCATTTTTTTTTTTTTCATATTTGCAGATGAGAAAGAAATCTTGAAAAATATTAGCGGTCGATTCCGCTCGAAGGAATTGACAGCTATTATGGGACCAAGTAAGTAAAATCTCAATTCACCAATAAATTTGTGAAATGCTAAAAAAAATGTTATCTACTTTTCTTTCTTATGACAGGTGGAGCTGGCAAAAGTACATTGTTGAATATTTTGTCTGGTTACAAGTGAGTATACATTTCACTGATAAATCGTCTATTTGTTCGTAGCTTTAGCGCATTTAAGTGAACATTGTTTTTCTTTCTTTCTTTCTTGAAATGAATTTCAAAAAGTCAAAGTGTCGCCGAAAAATTGTCCATTTATGGCGCAATAAATCACAAGAGTAAAAATAAAATGTACAACAACTTTCTCAATTTGCTCCGTGCTTGAGAAAGAAAAATATATAATCACTGGAAAAAAATACAAAGTGCTTATAAACATAAAGCATTTTTACGCGCGTGTACCGTAGTGACAATACGTCATGTTGGCCACAATAACATTCACGCACACATGCCGTTTCTATTGAAATCATCAGAAAAAAAAAACTTATATTTGCTTTGAAAAACAAGGTCTTATACACACAATTTTCTGTATGATATGAATTTAATTTTATTTGTTGCTAAACGCGTGCCTATACGAATAATCTAATAACTAAAAATATGTAATAATTCAACGTAAATTATGTTGTGATGAGCTTCAAAAACTGCCGTCGATTAAGAAAAGCACATGCCATTTTAACACCTTGTAGATATCGTCATACGTTGTTGTTTTTTTTTTTTGCTACAATGTGCACATATAAAATGTTGAATAACCCTGAAATTGAAATCTGCCAACACATTATATTTGGCATTTCAAATCTGACGATGAATAGCAACATTTATGATATTTTTGAAAAAAGACGTTGAATGGATTAAAATCTCAATATCACGGAAGACTGAATCCGGCGCTTCTACTTCCACTTTTCCATTCTTCCACTCTCTTGAAATGCCGCTGACCTTTCAACAAACACATTTCGCATTATGAATCGCCAATTTTAAACGAACAATACAATGGAATTTACTTTATTTTATTTTTATTTTTGTATAAAATGTTATTGATTGGGTTTTTTTTCGTCCGTACAGAACATCGAACATTAAAGATGGCACCATCAAAATGAACGGTCGCGATCGAAATATCAGCCAATTCCGCAAGCTTAGCGCTTACATTATGCAAGATAATCAGCTGCATGGAAATCTTACCGTTGAAGAAGCAATGACAGTTGCCGCAAATCTAAAATTGAGCGCAAAAGTTTCGAAAAGTGATAAAAGTGTTGTGGTTAGTATTCAAAACAGACAAACATAAATATTAATAAAACTGGTTTTTGTGATTTATCGCTCACATTGAATTCGATTTCAATGAAATGCACTCGAATCAATGGTTTTTGTGTTATGACGTGAAAATCATTGAAACAAAAATAAACATATGAATTGCGTTTTTTTCCCTTCGATCAATACCGGTCTAAACAATTGATTCGAATGGAAAACATTAATTTTTTGTATTAATCTCCATTTCCATTATTGGATTTTCAAGTTTTCCTTTCTGAACAGTTATCAGATTTTTAATAACTTGCTTTTTTTATTCTTATAGATTGGTGAAATTTTGAATACATTGGGTTTGCAAGAGCACCGTCGCACATTGACACGCAATTTATCCGGTGGTCAGAAGAAGCGTCTTTCGATTGCCTTGGAATTGGTTAACAATCCTCCGGTCATGTTTTTTGATGAGCCCACGTCCGGATTGGACAGTTCAACATGTTTCCAATGTATTAGCCTGTTGAAGTTTTTAGCACGTGGTGGTCGAACCATCATATGCACCATCCATCAGCCATCGGCCCGTTTATTCGAAATGTTCGATCAATTGTACACATTATCAGATGGCCAATGTGTTTATCAAGGAAGTACAAAACAATTGGTACCATTCTTGAGCACATTGAATTTGGAATGCCCGAGCTATCACAATCCGGCTAGTTATATCATTGAAGTTGCATGCGGCGAACATGGAGATCACACCAAAAAATTGATGAATGCCATCGAAAATGGACGCAAAGATATTCGCACCGAAACTGATTTTGCCAATTTAAAGAGCCGTTTTGATATCGCCAAAGTACCCAATTTGAAAGCCAATTTGGATAAAAATGTTGTCGGTAATGTGACCGAAAAATTCACCGACAATCTCAACTCAAACGGTTCAAATATATTACAATCGACTATCAACGATATTGCCAAAGATGATAAAAGTAAGAGACAAAACATGCATTTGACACATTTTTTAAGGTGCTAATTTTGCGTTGGTTTTTTCTTTCGCAGATACTGTTGCCATTCCAGTGGAAAATGAAAAAGATATCGATGAAGTCAATTCGGCTTTGCTCGGCGGAGATGAAATCAACTCACCCGAACGATACCCAACGTCACAATTTAGACAATTCTGGACAGTGCTCAAACGTACACTTTTATTCAGCCGACGTGATTGGGTAAGCAAAATAAGAGAGAAAAAACAACACTGTCCCAAATATAAATGCTGACCGCCATTTTACTAATCAATGAATTCCATTTCAGACCCTTATGTACCTTCGTTTATTTGCACACATTTTGGTTGGTTTTCTAATCGGAGCTCTCTATTATGATATCGGAAACGATGGTGGCAAAGTCTTAAGTAACTTGGGTTTCCTTTTCTTCAACATGTTGTTCTTGATGTACACCTCCATGACTATTACCATTCTTTCATGTATGTATTTTATTTATTCAAGCATTCAAATGGAACAAAAAGACCAAATAAATAATTGATGTTATCTCAAAACATTTCAGTCCCACTTGAGATGCCTGTACTGCTGAAAGAGAATTTCAATCGTTGGTATTCATTGAAATCATACTATTTGGCAATCACAGTCTCGGACATCCCATTCCAATCGATATTCTGTGTGGTTTACGTGTCAATCGTATATTATTTCACATCGCAACCGCTGGAATGGTTCCGATACTTTATGTTTTTGTCTGCCTGTTTGTTGATTTCGTTTGTTGCACAAAGTGTTGGTTTGGTGGTGGGCGCTGCAATGAATGTACAAAATGGTGTCTTCTTGGCGCCAGTGATGTCAGTTCCGTTCCTGTTGTTCTCCGGATTCTTCGTATCATTCGATGCAATTCCAATTTATTTGCGATGGATTACATACTTGTCATACATTAGGTATAACAAAAGAGTTTTTTTTTTTCAAAATGTAATTTGTCTTTAATTGTGCATTTTTTTTGTTAAATAGATATGGTTTTGAAGGGACAGCATTGGCTACATACTCGTTTGGTCGTGACAAATTGAAGTGCCGCCAAACCTACTGTCACTTCAGATCACCCGAAACCACCCTACAAGAATTGGATATGGTTGATGCTAGCTTTACACTTGACATTGTTGCCTTAGTCGTAATATTTTTGGTTTTGCGTGTTTGTGCATACATTTTCTTGAGCTGGAAATTACGTTCGTCACGATAAAAAACAGAACGTACATGTATGTGCCAGCTTATACGTAAAATTAAGTGCGATGTTACAAAAATAGAAAAAACATCGGCCATAAAAAGGCTGAGACTTTTATCTATTCGTGTTTTTTTTTTTTCTTTATGTAAAATGTAATTATTTTATTCTAAATTAATAGGTTAAGTAAATGAAAAAAACAAACATACATAATTCCTGGTGATTTTTTTTGTTGAATTTGTAAAATGGCACTAAATATTTTGCATTGCGCCAAACAATTAGAATGTAAATGATTATGCTCAACTGAGTGTTGAATGGAACCAAATTTGAATGCAGAATATTCATATAGTTACCGTGAAATAAAAAAAAAAACAGAACGAATTTAGCGCAAAAACAAAGGAAAGGATATATTTCGATTTTCAGCAAGCTACCACAAACAAATGGTCCAACTCTTGCCAAAAATTCTTTTATACACTCTACCCCTTCATCAAACGAACATTTATTTATATTTATACAATAAAGTAAAATAAAACCATTTCTAGAGCATTTTTGCTGAAAGAAAAAACGAATTAGAACAAACTTTTTGATATTCACACCGAACTAAAAAAGGGGATGAACAAATTAAAAATAAAACTACATAAACGATTATTTTGGCCCAGTCTCATAAATATTTACGCAAACAAGAAAAAAATAAAACAAAATTCTGTCCATTTTCCTTAATCAAAACTTATGATATTGCCAACATTGACTTTATGAATATATACAGAGAAAGAAAAACGAACAAAAACTACCAACAATCAAACGCTTTATTTGTGTCGGGACACATGATTGTTAGAATGAATATTGCTTTTTTTGCTGTTGTTGTAGTAACTAGTGCAATGGCGCAATGGTTCAAGACCAAAAAATGTGTTTTTTTTTCAGTTTTCGTTTCTTTCCAATTGAGCAAATGCAATGGAATGATATTTACACAATACACATAAACAAAATTAACGGTTCTAGGATATTTATAACAATTTAATCTATTTACAAAAAAAATGCATATATTTCATATACACACACATAAAATGTAGTTACTCTTTTTGTACGATTTAAAATGGTGGCTTATTTGTTGTTCTTTCTTTTTTGTAAGAAACATTTTTGAAATGTTGAAAATTTGTCATTTTGGATCATTTGATCCGAAAGTGGAAAAATTCATCAAAATAAATTGAAAAATTATTTAAATGTATTTGAAATGTTTGTTTCTATTTTTTTATTATTATTTTCGTCTCTCCAAGATGAAGGATCACAATTAAAATAAGGTTAATAATTCCTGTAGCCTCGACCAAAATCATGAACTGTAAGTGATATTTGCGGGTCAAAACCATGTAAACATTGTAATCGACACCTTAAGTTCGCGAAGATAATTGTATTATTATTGTATCTGTGTCGTCTGTTTATGTACGTACAATAGTAATGACGCTTGAATATTTTCAAATCATTTTGACTTGAATGAATCACCAATTCGGCCACACAAAATTGGCTCTTTCTATTAAATCGTAGTGAAGGTAATATATTCCATCCGAACAAAAAAAAAATGATGTTTACCAAAGCAAAATTAAAAAAAGGAAATTCCTATTAGATACACTTTGAACTGATTTCTTATATGAAAGCGCGTGATGTCGCGAAAAAGAAACAAAACAAAAATGAAAGAACAAAAAAACCGATGGCAACCATTGTTCACATTCATGTCAATATCAGTAATTGCCATATACGCTGTGCATATCAATTGAAAATATTATGACGAAAAGCTGCAAAGTCCTCAATTTGAAAAAAAAAAGTGCTCGAAACGACGTGATTTTCTCTATTTAATGTGCGCACATCGCACACTAAAAGTCAAGCACAAGTTCAAATCGATTTGAAATGTAAATTGTGATTTAATCATTTGCAAACCAAAGATAAAAAAGCGCCGTGTGTGTGTGCGTATATTTGCTTAAGAATGCCTGTTAATTAAGAAGTATTTTGATTGTTCAAGTTTACGGAAAGTTTGATAAAAAGCCGACGAATGTGATCGGCATGTAATTGAAATTCATATTAATTGATTTTAATTAATGTAGAAGAAATGTTTGAACGTTTATTGCCTAACTTGGAGCAATTTTGTTGTTGAAATGTAAACAAAGGAGACTTTTTAGTGACCGTCAAATGGCTTCTCAATCAATAAAACGAAATTTTTGCCTGTGCATTTTCATGATTTACCACGTATAGAGAATGGTTTTTACTTTAGTTGATTTTCTTAATTGTTTCAATTCAAACCACACGTTTCATTAAAAAAAATTAATTCAAAGATTATTCCTGATACTCGCAGGTAAATCCTTTGGGATGTTTGAAGTATGCCTTTCAAAATCCGGTACACACAAAATCCACATATTTGCATTTATATCAGTGAATAGATTGGGATACAGCTATAGCAGTGCCATTTTCACAGCTCCTATTCATAGGTGCTATTTGTGAACAACGCATACGGACAGCGATTTTATGATACAATTCCGGACAATAGACTTATTGATTTGTTTAGTCAAAAAAAAATACTAAAATCAATAAGTCTATTGTTCTATTTACATTTTGAACATTTCGTTCGGAATTGTATCATAAAGTCGCAAATAGCGCCTATGAATATAGGAGCTGTGAAAATAGCATTGATATAGCTGTGGCTCAATCTATTCACTGATTTATACCGCAGCTGTAAAGGTCAAACCACATTAGGCTATAATAGTCTGCGGTACTCGATAATTCAACGATGACTACCAATCATTGAAATTTCTTGTGCCAATCATCAATCGTGTTTTTACATCATGTTTTTTAGTATGGCGTCGCGCACACGTTCCATACATGAAATGCATTCATAATTGTCTCGGTTGCGGTTCGTGTGTTGATAATAAATGTTCCTGTATACGATTTTATTCATTTTGGCACGTGAGAATAAAAAGAAATAAACGTTTAGAACATGTTATGTATGATTTCTGATAAAGCGTCCATTAAGTTGATTTGTCGAGGGTAGATTTGAGTGTTAGAGGTGAGATTTGCTCAACTGAAAATTTTCTAAACATCCATTGATGTGCATTAGGCCTTAAATGTGCTTGTGTACTGAAATAATTCATTCCTTGTCATCTATATATTTTTCGAACGACTTCAAACCGGCTGTGTCGAAACTCAACCACTACCATTGGATAGATTCAATTATTAAATTTACACTGTCAATTTGAGCCATAAAACTTAACTGAATCAAACCTATCATCCAATTTGACAATAATCAAATTTAAAGAGGAAGTTTCAAATAAACCAGCAACAAAATGTAAACGAAATACAAAAAAAAAATGTTCTGTGTTCTCTTTTGCTATAAATTAGTATCGCGAAAATTTCATTCGGATATTTGATCTGTTGATTTGATATACATTGTTTATTTTCCGTGATTTTAACATACACAAAGCGATTTGATATCCGCATAGCCAACATTCTCCGATTGAGATAAAAAACCAATCACGCGAATTACTGCCGCCCAATAAACGTGATGAAACATAATCTTAATTAAACACCACAGATCAGAAATCGACACAGAAGCACTGTACATCTGAACTTTTTGCATTCCACCGAATAACAAAATGATTATATAGCGATAATGATGGTGTTAATTCTGATTATTATAGTAGATCATTCAAAGCATCAATTTCAGTGGATTAAAATGTGAAAAATTGATCTGTTCCTGATTCTAAGCGTGCGCAGTGTGCACACATGACGTATATTTTAAATCGATCTGTCTGGTGTGGGAATCAGTGACTTTGTCATGTTAACAATGCAACATTCTTGATCAAACCGCTTATTTTGCTTTATAATGAAATACTATATTGCTTACAAATAGCTGATAAAAGATGATGAAAGTGTCGATTGCATATGTCGATCACATTTGCATTATATATAGATAAATTCACAACGATTAGCACTCAGCAGCGCTCGGCATGGAGCCAAATGGACCGATCGCAAAGCAAAAAAAAAAAATGAATGATTAATTTATGCATGGTAACAAGTACGCTTGCAATATTATTTAATTATGTTTTTGCAAAGCCAATACTAAGCACAATCCCTGGAATCTCATTTGTGCGCGCTATAATTTCAATGTAATTTCCACTTGGCTAATTGAATAAATCGTACGATAAATTGATCTGTGGTCATTTTCTATAGAGAAGTGCTCGCGTGTGCCAAGCAAACAATGACGAATAAATATTTATTCTACGTCAATTTACATTTAATTGTGAAAATAATAACCAATTTTCCCGGCAAGAGATGAAAAAAAAGAGCAACATACTTGACTCCCTTTTTCTTTAAATCACTAACCAATACAGTATTGATGCAGGTCCGAGGAAAAATCACTATTTAGTTTATTAAACCGCATATAGTGCGATGAATCGTACCGAATGGCACACTTAAAAAGAGGCGGTTACTCAAAAAAAAAGATATATATCAACTGTAAACACATAGATGGGAGAAAATATTTACATCGCGATTTATATGACAAACAGATAGTAAACATCTCCCTCGTGTGGTTGTTGTTTTGATTTTTTCTTCGCACTTTTATCATTAAAAAAATGTTATTACTATTATTACTAAGTCATTAGCATGTGTCGGACCCTCAATCATTTTATTCCCTAATAAACAAACAGAAAAAAAAATCTCATTAAATTCTAAACATCGGCAATCAACGTAGCAATGAATTGTGTGCCATTCACAAATATATCTCTGTTCAGCTATTGTTTGTTTCCAAAACTATTTTATCAATTACTATTATTCTCGACTATTGTAAAATTGATTTACATTTCTTCCGCAATTGGCGGAATTTCAGCACTTATCCATTTCAATCTCTATGCATTTCGCGTTTTAATTTTTGAATTTTCTATTTGATTCATTACATGATCGTTTCGAATTGAGTGATTCTTTTAATTGATTAGAATCGTTATTCTAGTCGTAAGTCATATTGATATAAATACAATTCGAAAATTATTCGAGTTGGAAGTTTGTTTGGAGAATTGTGTATAAAAAAATGTCGAACTTAAAAAAAGCCATAATTATCATCGATTTGGCATTTACGTCGCAATTAAAAACATCAGCATTCTTCAATCTCGAACGATTATCCAGAGAATTTTTTGAAAACTGATTAATGGTCCAAATTATACACTCTTAATTAGCCCCCACTCAGACAAATAATAGTGTGCATGCGCTCGAAATAAAAACAGCATTGACTTTGAACATTAAAATCAAACCACAACCGATTTTACAAAATGCCATTCACAAGAACTTGATAATAATAGAGTTCATGTGTACTAGAATCCAATGAAATTAATCAAATCTAACTAGTGGTCGCGATAAATTTGCAAAAAAAAAAACCTACAAAAAATGTCACAAATAGACGAAATTTAAGTTTTTAGCATTTTATTTATTTGAAAACGAAATAACAAAAAACAATGTCGAAAAGAGCTGAATAGCTCGAGAGCTATGAGAGCTGTTGCACACCCAACCTCATGACATTTATTCAATCGATCAATAAATCACATTTTTTCATGAAACTTTGCTCGGTGACAAAAACCAACTTAGATCATTTTATTCCAACAAAAAAGCAGTAAAACAAGCCGCTCTACTTCAAAGTTCATGACGACGTATACTTTATGTATGTGATGATATGCAGAACACCGACATAATTTTAGACGATACACCAAATCATCGAAACTCTTTTTACGTTCTATTTCAATAAAAAAAATGCAACGTATTCCACATCATAATTTCCGTTTGCATGTGGTTTCGTTCTTTTCTTCGTTCGTTTTGGTGTACGCGACGTCATTACATATTGATGGATCGATGTATGTGTGCCTTTCTCTGTACAAAGAACAATGTACTTTTCTTATTATTGGCTTCCCTTTCTTTCTTTCTCTCTTTTCTTCTTTTCTTTTTCTCTTATTTTTTTTTAATACAAGCGACGTAATAAATAAGATACGGACGAAACGAAAACATTCTGAATTCATAAAAAACGCAATTTAAAACCAATGTTTTGATGAACGATCATCTACTTATATGCTTCTCGAGCCAATCGGATGTTTTCGTTGAGCGTGAGTGTATATGCAGTCGTCAATTACGAAAGAGCGTTGGTGCGTCAATTTTCACTCTCAAATTCTGCTTGATATATATATTTTTTTTACTTTGAACCATTAGTCATAAACAGTTGAAAATTTATTTTATTGTGAAATCTGAAACTACTGTGATATATAGTGTGTTGTTCAAACGGAAATGGTTTGCACTGAAAAGAGAAATTAAATACGTAAGGTAAATTTAATAGATTGCCGGTATTTGTATTGTCGATTGCAACATTGTCGAAGCATATTGATATGTGCAAAAAGGATCAAATTAATTGTTTAAACTCCATTGGCATTAAAAATCAGCACTCGAAAGAATTTTAAAAGTGTGAAAAATAAATAAGAATAATAAATTGTCGTCGATAATCGTGACAGGGTCGCATATGATGGATTTCTTTCTTTCGTTTCGATTTTAGACTCGCTCCAAATACGCTGCACCTCATTGACACCCTGTGCTCCACAAATAGAACTCTTTCTTCATTCATTCAAATAACCGTTTATTGTTGTTTTCTTTTGTCGGTCGTTCATGTACACTATGTGAAATGCACATCGCCTGAGTTCGGCTCTTTTTGGCTCTTTGTTGTTTGTATACAAACTCGGTCTATATTTTGTTTTTATACTTTATGAACGACACCGCGGCGTCGTTGTATGTGTTCGATGATATAGAGTAGTGAGAGACTCGTGTATGTATGTATCATAAGCGAGCTACTGTACTTATGTTTTTTATTCGCTTTCGCCCGTAGTCTATATAGCCGTTCAGAATGTATAAAAGCACACACAAACTGTGTACATATGTTCTGTATGTATGCTACTCAGTGAGACGTACGAATGAAGCGGGTCGGTTGTAGCGCGTTCAAATTTCGTAGCGTACATAAAATTCTATTTATTTTAAAATGCTCATTGTTGATCAGTTGATGCAGTCGATAGGACATTGCTAGTGTTTCGTCTTCAAGAAAAGCAAAAAAAAAAAAGTTATTTCTCTTACGGCTAAAGTGTTCAATGGGAAGGATTGTGTGTCGCCGTTTCAATTAGTGATTCGAGTTAATAGGTTTTAAAACGATTTTTCTCCTCTCGAATTCAAAGAAAATTTAATTAAATGAATCAAAGTTGCGTGAGTGATACTTTGAAATTTATAAATTGGCCAAAACATTTGTGAACTATTTTTTTTTGTGCTCCGCTCATTTTGTGGGGAATCGCTGTTTTGCTAATTGCTGTTAATTATTTTGAACTATTTATCTCGATTTGTGCGAGTGAACGGACAATTTTGAACAAGTCATTGACACTCCGGCTTACGCATCAATTTCAATTCATTGCCAGACCCTAGTTTTTTTCCACAGCGAGTAAGTTTAAGTTTTTTTTTTTAAATGGAACTTTATTTAATTGGAAAAGAGTAGATTTTTAAGACGAAAGGTGTGTGAAAAAGGGGGAGAGAAATAAATATTGATGAAAAACTTGTCATTACAAATAAACGAAGGAAAACGAGAAGAGCGATAAATTTTTATCGTGAAATAGATTATAAAAACGTTTATGTGAAATTGTTTATGTGATTTAAATTGGCTTGAATCACATTTCCTGAACAATCGCTGTGACTTATGACTAATGTCGTGCATTGTGTGTGTGTGTGTGTGTGTGTGTGTGTGTGTGTGTGTGTGTTTTGTCGTTTGGATAGAAAAAGCAAACATTTTTCAAACATTTTTGCACTTTGTCACACACATACTAGAAGTTCTCTTATCGTCCTCTTGTGAATGTGTATGAAGTTAAAATGCTGCATTTGTACACAAATCATTGGTGAATGCATACACCTGTGCTGTTATCAAGTCAAGAATCATGTCAATTGATTGTGGTGACTGGTGAAGACTTGAGTGGTACTTGAACAACGCAATTGTGTAAAAAGTACTTAACACACAGCGCCAATTTTGTTAATGTTGGAAGAATAATTTTATCGAGTAAATTCTATAATCAGACGAAAAAAAAAACACGCTTGACATATTGTGTTTTGTAACAAATTGCTGATTAGCATTCGCTCAAACAATATATACATAACATTTCATTTTGTTTACCGTCACAGTATGGAATCATCACCCATTAATGCTTTGGTTGGATGATCCAATTGTCTGCGCTTCAAAAACTCGATTATCCAGCGGAGAATGTCAGGCAAAGTTTATTTTTAGCATTGTTTTTTTTTTCGTTGGATTATATAAAGTTTCTAGAACTTGTTTGAATAGCACTGTCACTCAACGAAATTCAAATAGACTTGTGTAGTTTTTTCTTCTTCTTCGGGGTGAAAATGTATATTATAATCGTCATTCGAATATCCGGCGTGATGATAATGAGCCGTATCGTTAATCACAATATTTGTGACGAGTACATTCAAAAAATTACACACATTTTTGACAGATTTAATCATTGAACAAACAATATATCACCGTTGATATATCTATAGGGTCATATCACACGACCAACTGTCTTTTTCGATGTCAGTACAATCATGACAATCGCCGTATTCTGCCGGAATGATAAATGTAAGCATCGTTGAATTTACATTGACTTGTCGAACATTCTGCATATTTAATGAAATTGAACAGTGACCGGTTCGCGCATATTTCTATGCTTGCCTAAATACGCTAGGTAGCAGAGATATCCCAAGCATAGCCGCAAACGCAACCGACGCATCGCCGTTCACTCTATATGAACAATACACATATTCGTTTATGCAGACGACCGTGCGCATACAATATAGCTCGAGTCGAATGGCGACGGGTGCGTTGCGGCTTGCGTCTCCGCTATGCTTAGCATAGCTATCAGGCATAGAAATATGCGCGAACCGGTCACTGAAATTGAAGAGTTAAAATGCATAAACTACTATATTTTACCCTAATAATATGTACATAGAGAGATGTAGGTTAACGTTACTGCCGATCGGTGAAAAAATTATGAGCAAATGTTATCGATTCCCAGAAGGCAAAAGGATTCGAAACATTGTTTGTTTATCAATGATGTAAAATTAATGCTTTTAGATTGTTTGTTGCATTTTGAGTAACGAACGTTATTATTTCCCAAATGGAAATCGACTTTCCGTTTAAAGAAATTTCTATGCCACTACGCATATAATTTTTTTCTTTGTTGTATAATTCTATGAAATGTTTATGACCAGAAAAATAGATATGCTATAAAGATATAAAGCGTCATTTGATACGTCATTTTATGTTGTTTTTTTATATTATATACACATTTTCGTCATTATATTTCTCAGGCATCGGGTAAATAAACTTATTTGTTGAGACCATTCTCTATCGGCAATCGAATGATGCAAAATGTGATTTCAACAGATAGTGCAGCAGATATATTTTTATTACATTGACAGGCATCTATCATTCATAGCACACTCTCTCTCTCTCTCTCATGCTCTCACTGTTTCAACTTCTCTCCAAAACGGTAAACTTTGCTACATTAGAAACGCTAATTTGCATTGATTGCAAATGTAAGTGCTAGTCATTGTGACGACAGAGATCTCGTTTTCACTATAAATTGCAGCATTGGTTGCATTGCGGTCAGTGGTGTTGCTATTTCTACTATAGCATACATTTGAATTACATTATTGTGACTTATTTTTTTCAATACGTAACAAATTCAACGCTAACAATCATCGTATAAACCAAATAAACTTAAATTCCGGCACAGAATTCATAATAAAAAAATATAACGTACACTGCCACACACTATATTTACACAATATTTTTTCTTCGTATAATTTCGTTAATTGTTTAGTGCAATTGAAGTTGCTTGACCCGTACACGATTGCAGTAATCATTCGAATGTGTTTCTAGCTGAGAATCATGTGTCACCTCTATTGGCCATATGCCAAGACACAACACGAAGTTGAAACATTTAATTGGTCTTTATGTTTACCGTCCTTGGTTAAAGCATACGCACATAATACGCATTCAGTATTTAGAAATTTTGAAACAAAAATGTTCGAACCAAAGACCGGTGGCCCGAATGAAATAAGCAGTTTTATTGTCATCACAAGAACGTGACCGAATCTCTTAAAACCGGCGTAGTAACCCGATGCAAATATTCAATAAATCTGGTTAGGTGAGTTCTGTTCGAAATCGTTCAGAAGTTAATTAAAATCTAGACCCATATATCGGAAGAAGTAAAAAAAAATTACAAGCAAAAAATCTGCGTATTTTTTTTTCGCATCATCTCGTTTTTATTTGATTTCCTGCTGTTCTCCCACATTTCATCAATTTGCGATTTCGATTAATAACTACATGAGATCATCAGGTCGTCGAATATTTCACGTGTGTATAATTTTTCAAGTGCAGGCCGTTTTAATATTCACGTTATTGATGCTATCTTTTGTCATTCAAAAAGGTTAAAGTCAATAATGTCATAAAGAATTCTAGTATAAGAAACAAAAAAGCAAATCTTTACTGAATTTCAATTAATTCACAGCTTTTCAAGTTATAAAAAAGATTGCTTGTACGAATTTTTTTTGGTCGGTCAGAATTGAAAACTATATGCATATAGATTGTGTCTGTGTTGTATCAAGTTGTGGTGAGATTTTAGCACCTATTAGAGTGGCTCGCGCCGGGACTTGTTGTATCAGTGCCTCTGCACTTGATGGATGATTCACAAAATCAAACTGAGAAAAAATACGCCCATTGAACCATAGAAAAGTACAAAATTAGTATTATAATATTAAAGTATTGTAATTATTCTTTTGAAGCCGAGTTCAAAATGCATGTCACTTATATATATTCCAGCGGCGCAACGCGACCAAACCGTACTTTATTTGTATATATTTCATCCGTTTGTTTACATAACATTCCCCGATTGGAGTATATATGTGAAATTGCGTGCTTTTAAACGATTCCCCAGAAATATTCTTGTAATTTCTTTATTTAATAAAATACAGGAAACATCGACCGAATGAAACAATAAGAACGAAACGAATAAAAATCAATATGATAAACGAATTTCGTTTTGTACATACCGTTTCATTGTTTGCATTTTCACATCAAATACACATTGCAACTATAAAGCTCTATAGTTCACTGTATCTTCGGTATTTATATGAAAATGCATTTGCATTTGTGAAAAATCAACGATGAATTAATGCAAAATCTTTCTGAGAAATAAAACGATGACGCAGTGTTCGCGAGACGCGATTGCTGATATGAAAACCGATTAAGTGAATGTTTGTTATTGCTGCCTTTTACTTCGAACGCGTCAAAACTAATTATGCGGAATGAGCTCGATTTCACAGCACGTTGCAGATAAAATGTTGCGGAATGAAAGAAGATAAATAAAAACGCACACACACACATTCATAAATGACCAATAACTGCAATAGTACAAGATGTCGATAGATTTTCAATTTTCTATCATAAAACACGGTCATTACAATTTTATTTGCCATATATATTGGCGCGCATTTTCCACAGCAATTGATTGAGCCATCGCAAATTATCTATTGAGAAAGAGAGAGAAATGCAACATTATGATCTGAACGAGATGATCGATAGATACAACATGAGACAGAAATTTTTCATTTCTCGTATGAAATAAAATGATTTTTATTGTAGTCGAGGGTCAATTTGAATACAATGTTTGTTACACACTCATGTTTGAAAAAGAATTAACAAATGTTATTTATACAAATTGCTTCGTATGATTTTAATTTCAGATTTTTATTCTTATTTTCTCTTATTCCTATTTGTAGCTTGAAAGCAAATTACCAATATCACCGAATGACGAAAATTTATTGAAGAGAATCAAAGGAAGAGAAAAAAAATACCGTGAAGAACGCTCTAATGACCAGAGAGTGACTTTTCAAAAAAATTGATTTTTATTAGCACCTCTAAGGTTCTATTTATCAATTTTTTTTGAGACATAACGATCAAAAATGCAATATTCTTCGGATGAAATTAGCGTCGATAGCGACCATCTAAGAAGCGATGGTGCGCGCGGTTTGAAATATTTACCACATTGGCCAGCTGTAAATATTGATTTTCAAGATTTGGTATACACCGTTCCGGATATTAGCGGTAAGTTAACATTGATTGAATTAAATTGTTGGGGAAATGAATACATGCATTTCAAAGTAAATCTAATGATTACTAATCGAATCAAATTATAAGCGAGATAGATAGACTAACTGATGAATTTATACCGTGCGCTAGCACTGACATTGAAAACCTACTGAAACTATTAAATCAATTAGTTTGAATCGCACGTAGTGAATGAAATGAATGTATGATGCAAAATGAATTGAATGTGCGAATCAATTGACAACGACAACGACTGACTTTTTTTTAAAGGAGAAACCTATGCTTATGAACTTTAAAATGTGACGCAAATAAAATGTCTTATTCTAATTTATATAACTGATTTTATAAACAGTCTCAGAACTTATGTTTAATAACAAGTTGGTATTAGTAACCAAGATGCAAATGATACCGTAAACATGTGCTCCTTCAAGCACACGTCTCGAGATTGGGATTTGCCTCAAATTGAATCACAAAGTGGTTTTACTACAATTATGCACTTTTTCGATTTAAAATTGCGCGCTCAGCTGCGCAATGTCTCTCACTCACCTTGACTCTGTCTATTGAACATGTGGTTTGCGTGTGTTTTTTTTTTCTTTTTGGCTAATAATTTTCTTTGAAAGGTGTGATCGTCGTCTATACATTGGAAAAAAGAGGTGTCAATTGAAAAATAAATAAAATAATGACGGTTGCAATGAGCATGTCGTGCACAAAATCGACAGACAATACAGAAATCCAACGTCTGGAAGAAGACGCACAAATAAAATCGAATACAAAATGCCAAATGATATGTGTCAATGACATATGCACTCACAAATGCCGCACGATGCAATTGAAGTCTCGTTCGATACAACCGAAGTTCAGTATTTATTATTCATCGATTTGTTTATCACTTTACAATTCATATTTGAATCGATAAATGAAATATATAAAGACGCTAAAAAGTATAGAATGTCATATGCGTCTGTGTAACGCTTGGCAAGCACGTGTCAAAGTGTAAACTCATATACTTATGATATCAACGAGGCGAGACGCGACTTTATTGAACATTGAACCTTTCATTCCTCGATATATATATGAGAAAATAACAAGATGCAAATTGGCCGCCATTGTAGGCGCTCATTGTTTGCAAGCTAGTTCATTAAACTGAAAATGGATCAATTTGCGATGAAGAGTAGATTGCATATGAATGCAGTATAGTGTTTTGTTTCGTCATTTTTTATTGTATTCGTTGCTTTGACATACTATGATTTTTGCCTCAAACAATTCAACAAAATGTATTGTGAACGAAGGTGCATTGATTGCGTCATCGATGGATATTATGTGTTCTCTGAATCGGAAACGGGAATTTAGTTCTGAAAGTACAGAGCTTATTGATTTATGAAACAAAATCCAGTTTTACGTGTTTAGAAGTGGAAATCACTACTTCGATTAGTTTCATAATAAAAACACCCCGTTGATAATGGATAAACCGCAGTTTACTGAGAGAAAAAAAACTGTGAACAAGGCTACCGTTTGTTACATCAATTTTATGATTTTGTGGCTTGTTGATTTCATCGTCTAATTACCACTAGAAAATCTTGCCCTATTACAGTGAAATTAAATTCCATTTTAACTGATGAACCAAAAAGTCAAAATGATGATGTGATGATAACCAAATGGCTCGAAAATAATTCTGTACAAAGTGCACTAAATTCTTGATTTTGTAATTACGAAATATAACGCACGCACGCAATTCGAATAAAATCAGACCTGAACTCGATGTTGTGTGACTCAAGTTCAACGTCATTAGAAAAATAAAAGCAACAATTCTAATTAAAATAATTTCAGAAAAAAAATAAACGTAAGCACAATAAAATTCTGAATAATAAATTGCATATAGTATTATTCGACATTGTGCCAAATACACGTTGATTTTGAATGACAGTTAAATTCATAATTTTTCGTTCTTCTTCTCTCTCTCACGGTGTGCTTTATCTATATGCTATACCGACGTTTTGCGCTGTCTTTGATTGTTGTTAATTTGATTTTTTTAATCGTTGTGTTGACGTTTTTGGATTTCTATGAAAACAACATAAAATCGCAGAAAGTAGAAGCAAACTGACGATGAACGGCAAGGTTAAAGAAAAAGAAGAAAACTTGAAATTATCTAAAACTCTTTTCTTTCCATCTCAAAATCATCTTCATTGACGTCAAATGTTTCAACTTTGTATTTAATGTTCCACAACGTCTTCGTTTTTTTCTTCACAACATTGTTGAATTGTTATTGTCTCGTGAAAAATTGTTGCATAAACCAAAGTAACCTGAAGCATTCTAAGCAATTAAGTATGTGCGTCGGCTGGAGCCAACTAAAACTTTTATCTTTTACGAGAACCGTGTCCGATTTAAATCATACAGTCATCTCATTTTACGACTCATTCGTTAATTTTGCTTATGACCGCGTTGACTTTTTGTTCGAATTTCCGTCACTTTATGAATCTCACAATTTGATATATAGTACAAAAACAAAACACCGTTTTAAAAACATAAGTTTACATTTGCAAAAGGCCATTGCCATTATGTTCACAAATATTCTTTGTGTATGCTTTGTGCAATTTGTCATCTTAAAATCTGTGCACAACAAATTATTGCTGTTGTTGAACAATGTACAAATAAGTGGTGTTTACAGTATAATGTAATAATCAAAAATGACATTCAAAATGAGAAAAGCACAGTAATCAATTTGATGATATGACCAAATTCGGCAGGGCGTCAATTAATCGATCGATCAATACTTCCATTTTTTCGATTTCAAAAAAAAAATTGCAACATTAAAAATCTGAACGTAATTCGCCTTGTAACAATCGTTTTTATTTACCCTTGTTTCCATTTTCGATTTTCAATTTACATTTCAACGTAAAATACCCGTCCCAAAATGGTGACAACCTGGAATTATATTCACATTACAGTTTCATTTGGGCGGACTATTACACGTCGCGTCAACTTAATGCTCTACAGCGGCAGTTTATTTTTTTTTTTGTGTCTCTCTCACTTCAATGAATTTCGTTTAGTCACTGTCATGCACATCGTTTTGTTGTTGTTAGGTCAGGTTCATTGACTTTCCACACATAGTACTATGGCGTTCGCGCATAGAAATCACTCTCATTGTGTTCCTCTATTTATGATATATTGCAGTTCGTTTGCAATACATGGGCTTTATGCTAATTTTTACTAGTCATTCTTGTATACAATAGCGCAATCTACAAATATTTGTGCGAAGAGAAAATTTAGTTAGTAAATTTGCATGATTTTAATGAATTCTTATGCGATTAAATCGGTTTTTGTTGCTGTCATCAACTGAATAGTAGAAAAAACATCATGCTTATCGTAGTGTCAACATTTTTATGTACGTCAGTGATTTTAAAAACCAGATTTTGTGCTCACCAAATGTATGGCATGTTGAGCTCATAATAATTGCCATCGTCGATCATATAAATGACACAATTATTTCATGTTTCAATCTAATCAAAACACGAAACCAGGCTACAAAAAACGATAGAATTTCAATTTGCATTCACACGTGCCAAATTCGCATTTCACATGCATGCGAAAATTGGGATAATTAACAGATCGAGAGAGAGAGAAAAAGTTGGCAATTAATAAAGAAAAGATGAAGAAAAAACATTTAAAAGGAAGCACTAATCATTATTAAACAATAATATATGAATCCTTTAAGTCATTATCGCGAATTTCAGTGAGCTTCAACATTTGTTAATAATGATAATGAAATGTAATTTCGATTTCAGGAAACAAAGTAATTTTGCGAGGTGTTAGCGGTAAATTCAAATCAAATCAACTAACAGCGATTCTTGGACCGTCGGGTGCAGGAAAATCGACGCTACTCAACGTTTTGGCTGGATATAAGTAAGCCCTAATTTGTTTGTGATTTATGATTATGACTTCAACTGTGTACTTAATTGCATATGCCATTTCATTTGATTTATCAGAGTTTCAGATGCAACTGGTTCAGTTTTCGTAAATGGGCTACCACGCGATATGCGAGTATTCCGGAAAATGTCAAGATATATTATGCAACAAGATTTATTTCAACCAATGCTAACCATACGAGAGGCCATGAAGGTTGCAGCCGATCTAAAACTTGGACACGATTTGACTAATGCTGAAAAATTTGAATTGGTGAGTAATAATACAAAGCAATTAGCATTGATTAACGTGTTTGACATTTTTTTTGTGTGAGGAAATTTATAACGGAATTTTACATCGATGAGACATTGCTTTGTTTAAACATATTCGATCATTATAATGACCAAGTAATTTAAAACGATGATAAATAAAAAGAAATATTCATTTGCTATTTCTGAGAACAAAAGAATTAATCGACTTAAAACACTTGTTATTTTAACTGTTTATTATTGATATAACGGGTTCTGATTGATTTCAATGAGATGTACTTTACGATTGAAAACAGAGAGAATACAAGGTTTAATGAAGTGATCAAAGGGCAGTTTCATTTTAACATTTGAATTCTCAATTGAATTCTGATAGATTGACGAAATTCTTGACTTGCTAAGGTTAACCAAAGCAGCAAATACCATGGGTCACTTATTATCGGGCGGTGAATTAAAACGTTTGTCAATTGCTTTGGAGCTAGTAAACAACCCTCCGGTACTTTTCCTGGATGAGCCTACAACGTATGTTATTTTCCATTGAAGACAAATATTTACATATATTTACAAAATAAAGAGCAAATAATGTTGTTTATTTTTATAACAGTGGATTGGATGATTTATCATGCTCACAATGTGTGTCATTATTACGACGTATAGCGCACGGCGGCCGCACCGTCATTTGTTCGGTGCATACGCCATCAGCGAAAATTTTCGAAATGTTTGATCATGTTTACATATTGGCGAATGGACAATGTGTATACCAGGGTCAAGGTGCATCTTTAATTCCATACACACAAAGTATCGGTCTTAATTGTCCGGTGACGTACAATCCAGCCGATTTCAGTAAGAAACACTTGAGATACCCCCTTATCACATGTTTCACAATGGCAATTTATTTTTAGTGATTGATGTTGCAACTGGTGAATATGGTCATGAGTACATTGACAAAATGATCTCCGCAGTTGATAATGGTAGATGTTTAAATTGGACACCATATGATGCCATCACAGAGAATAGTCAGAGAAATGAAAAGATTTCGGAACCATGCTTCGATGAACTTATAGAAGAAATCGATCCAAAGCATTTACGGGCAAGATCATCAAATTGGGAACAATTTTGCACACTGTACAAACGAAGGACTGTACAAATGTGGAGAGATTCCGTAAGTTCAACTATTCTAGTCTCATGAATTTCAAAAAATGTTCGAAAGCAAAAATAATAAAGTTAATTTGAATCCATTTCATTTTGCAGAGTTACATCAAGCTTCGAATTTACATGATTTTCTTCCTCGGTCTTATCGTCGGCGGAATTTATCAGGGAGTTGGCAATGATGCAACAAAAGCATTGTTTAATTTTGGCTTTTGTTTTACCGTAACTATTGCATTCATGTACATTCCTTTGATGCCGGTTTTGCTACAGCTGCCCATGGAAATACAGCTGCTGAAGCGAGAACATTTCAATCGATGGTTTAGAATCGGACCGTATTATTTGGCGATGACAGCCGCAAAATTGCCAATGCAGATCGGTTTAGCATTTGCATATATCACCATGATTTACCTCATGTCCGACCAGCCTTTGGAATACAATCGCATGGCAATGTTTTACTCAATTGCTATACTAATCGCACTCACATCAGAAAGCTTGGGTGTTTTGATTTCATCGAGATTGAGTTTGATTGTGAGTCCATTTCTCATCGAATATTTCCTTCGATTTAATTGAATTATGTTTTTTTTCTTCTTTAGAATGGAATGTTCGTGGGGCCAATTGTAACGGTGCCTTTAATGTTATTGGCTGTTTACGGTATTGGATATGGGCGTGAGATTGAAATATCACCGTACATTCGAGTTATGATGTCATTCAGCTACTTGAGATACGGACTGGAGGGTTTAATTGACGCAATGTATGGCTATGATCGCGGTGACACAATCTGTCCCGATGGTGAAGTCTATTGCATGTTTGCCAAAGCGAAATTCTTAAAAATGGTGCTTGGTTTCGAAGATGTTAACTTTTATTTGTCAATGGTCGCACTTGTCTTGTACTACTTTTTGTTTACAGTTACAGCATTTTATATGATCAAAATTCGTATATCTACAACTCACAAAAATAATATCGCTGTTCAGTATTTGGGACGATTTGTTAAAACACATTTAAATTTTGCCGCATACAAATATTAAGTTAAGTTGTTGCATTCGAAGGATATACAAAAACAAAAATGTGAAATAGATTTAGAAGAAGATTACTAATTTAAGATTTAGATTATTAAAATCATTTTATATTAACCGATTGGACTGCTCGAATTCTGTGACGAATGTTAACTTCACATTGTTAAGTTTACTTCTTATAAGAAGTTTTAAGATATTGTATTTTTACAAAGAGTTTTGTTAACAATAAATTTGTGTATATGAGAAAAAAATGCTGACAACATCAAAGATTCATTTCTTTTATCTTTTTAAGTAAAATATAGTCTTTTTGATAATTCTGTTCGTTTTACTTGGGATCGATGCAGATTTAAAATCACGAATCCGTGTCTTTATATCAACATTTTAAACTTTTGGTAAGGAAAAAATTATTCTTGTATTGATTGTAGCTTGATGATGTGCATAATATGTTGTGGCAAATAGCTGCTTTTTTCATACCAATCCAATTTCATTTTTCATTTAACAACATCAACCGAATGCAGCTCCATCTATTCAATCAGAGCGAAACCACCTTTTAACAAATTCAGATGTGCTAGCGCCTCTCATAGAAAATATTTAGTGTCTCAATACTTGCAATGAAATTAATTCGTTATTGATTAAAAGTTGAGTGGCGAGCACAGCGGTATATTTGTGTCAAATTATTTATAAATATTTTTTTATGTAAACGACTTTTTTTTTAATTCGATAAACTTTTCCTTTTCTGTGCAAATAAGTTTTCCATCACAAAACAACATCAATCGAATGCAACTCCATCTGTTCAATCATAGCAAAACCCTCCTTAAACACATTCACTTGGGTTGAATATAATACGCTATAGTATTCAGTTCGGAACATGTGTGTGAACCGCTTGAAATATATAAAACAAAAATCAGCTGTTACTGTGTTTACCGACACAAAATGGATATGTATCGCAGTTTCGCGTGTGTGTCCATTTTATACAATGCGTTCAATGAGTGATATTTGAGTGGATTTTTCCTATGTGCACGGTAAGTATTGATTATTTTTTTTATTTCAGAAATAGACATGCGCGTTTAAAATAAGATGACATATAAATTCTTCTAAAAAATATGATGGCTATTAACAGCATGTCATGTGATAATATCGAATTACAATAAAGACTTTCGAAAACGTAACATCATCAATAGTAAAATGAGTAATCTTATCAAAAATGTTAAGTGCGTCAGTCTGTCTCAACATTTACAGTACACATTATTCGTTATTGTAAAATTGATTTTGCTAATGTATTTTCATTGTAATGAGCGTATGTTTATAGCTGCCGGCAATTTATTTACCCGGCTTTTATGTACATGTTTTGCTACTGTTTCTATTCGGTCTTTGGTTCTCTTTTAATATGATAATTGCGAGAGCGTTGATTGAATTAATTTAAAATGATTGTAGCATATATTATTGTGCTATTGTTGCGCTCGTGAATGACAATGTTTTGGCATTTATGTTGTTTACGTTTTGCAAGCACACTGCTAATCCGCTTAATGTATTCTGAAACACAAATTCTTTAGATATCAAAAAGTGCAAAAGTTTTTTTCACTGATTCTTCATTCACAAATCAAAAACAATCTATTTTAAAATGTTTCGATCATCACGTAAAATTTACCGAAATTCGCGCTCGAAAAATATTTCTAAGATCAAGCAGGTTATCTGCATGATTTGGCGCAGCTCGTCTAGAAAAACAAACATGAACTTTCATCTTGTTAAATTGAATGGCCATGAAAAAGTTGTTTCTTTGCAGCAAAATTAATCAATAATTAGGTATAAAGAATTGATGTTCAAGTGAAAGTCAGAAATAAGCAACGATCGTGATTTTCAATATCTACTATAACAATAATTTAGATACCATTTCGTCTGTGTTTATTAAGATTTATCTTAAACACGCTACACAATTTAACTTCCAATGGGTGACGTTCGATGCATGTTAACACTGCACACATATCTGTATGTTCGCATTCACTATGATTCACTTGAAACGTCACACTACTGCGTATGCGTCGTGTGTAAGCACTCAAAAAACCATTTTAACATATAAATACATGGTGGAGGAGCGATTTGAGTTCGTTTGGACGATAGAGCAGATTTGACAATGGGATCGGATGTATTAAAGTGATTTCATGCAATTCCATTAAATGTATTCACTCGCGATTGACTAGTGTGGGCCAGCATTGCGCAAGTGTGTTTTTTTTTCTTCGTGTATTTGTGCCTATTGAGCGATTTCCTCATTATACGTTCATTTGTACGTGTTATTGTTATGATGACTGCATCATCGCGCGTTCTGTATGCTCTGTTTTTTCCTTCTTCTTCTTTTTTTTGTATTCTTTCGGCTTGTTTTTAGGCTGAGTGTGAATTTGTGGCAGCAGTTTGTCGGTGCCTTTTTACCCACTCAGACGAGTAAAAGCAATTTTGCGATGTAAGAACTGTATTTCGGACCCTTCTTTCGGCGTGTCTGAACCGATTATTTTCAGTTTTCTTTTTATTATATTATTATCTTTCGTTAAACTGCGTTCCATTTTTATCGAAGAACCATTTCTACTGCAGTAGTTTTATTTTTCATTTATGTTTCGGTCATCGGTGGTGAACTGACGAAAGAAAGTGATTGAATAGAACCCGTTTTTGTTTTGTTTGTGAGATAAAATAGAGAAACCGAATCAACAAAAAGTCAAGAATGTGACAGTTTTGTGAATTATATGAGTTCGTGAAAAATAGAATTTTGAATAAAAGAGAAATGACGTGAATAACATGAAGGTTGGACACCACAAGACTGAATTTGACATGGATACTATTTGGCATGTGGTGTGTGTATAAATACAACAAAAAGTCTATGTTGAGTGAAAGTGTACTTATATATGATATTGGTGCGCGTGTATTGTAATACAAATATTTGCAAAACTCGAAAAAGGGAAAAAAAGAGAGCACGAGAGAGCGAGACTATCCAAATGAATTTCCCTGTCATCGCTGTTTGGAGATGGATTTGACGTTTGAATGGTGTCAATATTTAGATTGAGGAAGAAAAAACAGACTTCGAATTGAATACACAGATTAAATGGTAACTAAAAATTTTTCCCTTTATTTGGCGTTTCCATTTCAAAGACGAATTCGCAAAAAAGCCGCGTCGAATTGAATGCAGACATTGAGTCAAGGGCGTGTAAAAATGTCAAAATGTTATGTAAATGGCCATCGTTCAAGTCACAAGATGCCACCGATTCGATAATAATCATGGGTTTTCGTCTGAAACGTATTAAAATTATGCAAATCTTAACAATGGCATTTTATTTTATGAGCGCATATATATATTCAGTTGGCCAGCTGCATTATCTTTTCCTTTCTCTGAATATGAATCACCTTGTGAATTGGAGCATTCAAATTATCAGCTTATCTATATCGATTAAAAATTGATGCATTTCACATAAATTCAAAATCAATGTGTATATGTTTGTTTTCAAGTTTAACGACGTAATCATTTCGTGAGCAAGGTCTATCTAATGTAAATTTCAAGTGCATCGAAGAAAAAAGAAACCATAAACATTTACACTCCCTTGTGAAAAAAAAATGACTGACTGACTATAAATTTAGTCAATTTTAATCACTTTTATTCGGTTAAAATTACCAATAGATGATTGAAATCGAATATAGTCGGTTATGTTTCAGACTTAACTAAAATTGATTATAGTCGACATAGTTGATAAAATTCAATTTCATATAGTTATAGTTAACCGTACTTAACTATGATCACAATCGACATTTCTCAACTCAAGTTAAATGAAGACGCATATAGTCACTTATAGTTAACTTTAGCTGGCTAAAAAATCAGCAATTTTTGTCCCAAATTAGTCAATTTATAGTCGACTATGAAGTCGAAATATTTCCACAAGGGCTGGAATTGAAACAAAAAGCCGACGAGCTTCACTCAAATGTAAATAGCACTTGAGTTTATGTGAAATTGAGTACGCACAAATGCGTTTGATGATTTATAAAAATAAATAATTCACTACGTATTGTATGTAAAACTTCCAGTTCCGCAGCTACGCACATACATGCGGCCATGGTTATTCTTTGAATGCACATAATTCATATATGCTAGATAAATTGTTCGATGAAATGAAGCGCATTCAATCAACGTACCATATCATCGGCACTTTCTTGCAATTTTCTCTCTCTCTCTCTCCATCCATCTTTCTCTTTTGCGTTCTGACTTCTTGACTTGGCTTCGCAACTCATATCATCGCTTGTTTAACACATGTATTTACATTTTGTCTGTAATTATATAGCGAACGCTACTGTATGTGTACAGACATTGTTCATTATTATTATCGGCTTTGTATGGTTGTTGTTATCATCATAGAGAAAGAGAGTGCGATTATTACTTTGTAGAAAAATATTTGCGCATATAATATGTTTGAAGAAACAATCATTTTATGCAAAGTGTAAACGATACTTTACACTTCTTCGAATTCTTTTTTTCCAGTTAGCATTTATTTTGAAACAAACAAAATACTTCTTCTCATTTCAATATTTCCAATTATAAAGCGAACGCAATAGAATCGACCAAGCAACGGCAAATTGTTTACTCAATTGTTTAATTGTGCTTGATTCTTTGTGTGTGTGTGGTGTTCATTCGCCCTCGCCCTGCTCAGATTTCTCTCTGACATAGATATTTGTCTAATGTGTATATTTTCATGCACAAACATCGCGTCATACTTGCTTAATTACTAGTTTGAATGATTTATATCGCGTAATTAAATCCTTGTCGCACACATGCTTCAAGCATAAACAAACGGAACTCTTGGCAAAAATCACAACATTAAACACAAACACAAGCTCAAATAGACTTCGACGCATACATATACTGTGGTGTTTGCTTATGCAAACAGCCACCCAAAATATATGCGAATTGGAACAAAAGGCAAACGTGAACGAAAGAGAAAAAGGGATAGCGATAAAGAGTGAATCAGAAAGATGTGCTATTAAAATCCCCGACATTTTCCCTTTGCACAAATATTTTATAAGTTCACTTTTTTTATCATTTTATGAATAGCAAATTGGTGGAAAAATATGCCCACCATCATTAGTGTGTCGGCTAGAGAATGTAGAACGAAGCAAAAAAAAATATTGTACATATAATGAAGCGGTTATGCGTTGTGATTCATTTTAATGATGTATATATACGCAAATGGAATCGCTTAAGCAGCAATCGTCGATTGAATCGTTTCCATGAGCAACTGCTCTCAAACAAACTTTGTAAAATATATCGCGTTTGCATACATCACAATACATAAATCATATCTTATAACATGGAAGAAAAAAAAACCATTATGCTTACAACTTAAAATATACATATTTATTCCTTTTTTGCATTTTTAATAAGAAATTGGACATTAACTTTCCCGAAGCAATGCTTTGAAGTTCAATAAAAATGGGTTTGATTACAATGCCTTTCGATTATTATGTGTTTCGTTTTCCTACTGTTTTTTTTCCTTGGATGATGCCTGATGAAAAACGGAAAATGACGCCATTTTAATATGCAATAAACATTACCATCACAAATGCCTTTCATGTTGTAAATAAAAGCAAAAAGCCAATAAAAAATAAAACATCAATTTGTTTCGCAACCAAGTAAAAGTTGTCAACCTTAAGCTTTCTTAAGGGAAATACTCTTTTGCACAAAAACACATCGTTAATGAACGCTCTTATTTAAAATGTCAAAAGTGACATTTAATTATGATAACACAGTTAACAAACGAAAACAAATTATTCAACAGAAATCCAATTTGATGAAAACTCACAGTTTAACTTTTATGAAGTGACTTCATCATCATTGTGCGCGAATTCATTGTATTGCCATTGATTAAAACAAGCGATTGTAGACCGTGCACATGCAATATTCTATGAAAATTGGGTCTCTGGAATGGGAACGTCCGGCAACAGAAAAACTTTTACCATATGCATTATTGAAATGAGACATTTTAAAGCGGGTACTAAATAAATTATTATCCATTAGGCCGTGATTTATATGGATGAGAATGCGTTCTGCGAAAAAAGTTTTTTTTTTATTTGATGTAAAATCGTGCTTTTGTTAAATGAACACAAAACTCTTTCGGTTGGTTTGTTTGGATTGTTCCATATTCATTTGAAATGGATAGCACAGTTCAGTTCATTTCAAGTGCATTAAATATGGCGATTAATTTGCTCGAGTTGAAATGAATCTGTCCAGTCATTTCGACAGAATGATTGTATAGAAAAAAATGAAAACAATAAAAAACGCTTCTAGATAATTAAATTGTTTAGTCACGTTTGTAGCCCCGTGTAGCATGAATAATAACCGTGTCAAAATCGATGATTAAAAATAGTTTGTTGGTTTATTACCGTTACGCTATCAAAGTGATTTGCTCGTGCAAATAATATTTGGATAAATGCGCCGAAACGATGTTTATATTTTTTGAACCAGCAAAACAACAGCCAAAACATATATTGAATGACTTTAATTGTGGTTAATAAGTGGTTGTAATTCAGTTTCGGCTTAATGTTGCACATATTACAATCGAACAATACCCGCTATTCACTAGATTTCAATGATCTATATAGGAACAAAAACATGGTATATATGCACTTGTTTATGTAGAAAATAGAGACGATTACACGGAGAAGGGTACACACACATAACATTGCAATACACTACAGACTACAGTCATTGTCTGTAATTTTGCACGCTTCGATTGTCGAATGCCATGTATGCGCTTTTTGCCAACGCCAATGCCGTTGATATCAACAGCAAACAAATTGTTTCTCATAATGAATGCAGACACGAACACCGATATAGCAACATAATCATAGCTACCGCTATTTGATTGCCAGATTTAATAATCGTTTTAGGGTACATTTTTTTGCTTCTTCCTCTGATTCCTTATGAATTTTTAGTGCATGAACTTTTGTGGCTTTCTCTGCCATTAATTTATATTTTCGTTCGATGTTTTTTCTGTGTTTGGATCCCCCGATTTTTTTTTTGTTGAACAAACGCCTTCTATTTTAAGTGGCTTTATGTTGTTACACAATAGCTGGATATCCCATTGTGTACTTTCTATTTCGTCGCCAAATTAATCGATCTATACAATGCACCCGGTTGATTGCTATATCGATTAATGAAGCAGTAATTAATCATGTTCGAGACGAAGCGACTACCTTCACCGTGTCGTTTGAATGAACCATTTTCAAGCGAAAACTTCAAACAATTTCACTTGCTTATTTGTGTCAATTTTATCGTTTCCCACCCTCTTAAAAGTAAACTCCAAATTGAATGACAGTAAATAGAAAATATTTGATTTGCCAACGGCATTTTGCTGCATTGGTAAATTATTTGTCGCACAGATATAAAAAAAATATTCCATTTATCGTCACCCATTGATTGATTACATTTTCTAGTGACAAAAAGTTTTGTTTGAATTTGAAATTGATTTGCAACGCCCTTTGTTCCATTTTTTTTTGTTCGAAAAAACCTCTTTTGTCGTGCTGCATAGACTGCTACGAATGTTTAATAAAAAAAAGCAGCGGCATAACGAACGACTTTTCAACGGTTCAATAATTCCATCAAAGAGATACTGACTGTTGAATGAAACGTTCTGCTATTTGTCGCGTGCACAAGTCCGTTTTATTTTGGCTGAATGTCTCAACTTGTCATGAGCAACGTCGATATTATTCTGATCTGCTTTGTGCTTGTCAAGTCAATTCGCTTTCGGCGCCGTCGAAAATAAAAATCAATGAGAATATTGCAATGAATCGTGATTGTTTTTTCTTCTTCTTGCCAGACTCATACAAAGACTTTTCGTGTATACATTTACCACAGTCCATGCTTTTGACTTTACATTGATGCAGTAGTTTTAATTTCTCTGGAAAAAACAAGAGTCGAAAATACCACAAGCCGAGTTATACATAAGAACACAAAGGAACTGAATTAATAATAAACATGAATTTGTCATATATTCTGATGAAATTGTGTTGTGGCATTTCTCAATATTTGAGCATCTCAACAGGTATGGCCTTTTTGTGCATAAATAAGTTTGCGGATATTTTGAATAAAGCAAAATAAACTATAACAATGCGGAAATTCTATGCACTGTCATGCTTGGGTATAATGATAACAGCAAAGAGAAACTAAAGCCATTTCTTAGAAATATTTCTCCAAAATATTTTCTGTTCTTTCGTTTTCTTTGTTCTTTCATTTTTCGTTTCTCTGATGAAAATATTGAAATGATCTTTTTGAAATTGGCGTAAACCACGAGTTTCTTACATTCCAAGAAGCACTCAAGAGAGGAATTGGCCTCTCCTATTCTCTCTCTTTCTCAGTTGGCGCCGTTTCAAATGAGTGAAAATGTTGAGCGTTTTATTGACGCGTGCACACAAATTTTCACTCACAACAATAGATACGGCGAGTGAAAGCTAACGTCAGATACTGACACATGTGGAAGATTGAGTGGAATATGTCTTCGACCCACTAAATCTTATGCTTCGTTAAAACGTATACACTTGACTCGAACGTCGGCAGCTGATTGTGATTTTATTCGTGTTGCGGCTGCCAAATGAATCGGACGTATCACGCTTTTACCACGTTTTATTCCAATATCCATACGAAAACGAAACCATTTCCAGCATATAAATCAGATATCTCGGATCATTTAGTGTCTGTTACACTAATTTAACAGCAACAAAGAATAAAAAAAATCAAAAAAACAACATTTAGTCAATATTTTACGAGGCGAATAAAAGATTGCAACAAAAATTGGTGATTTTATAGTGTGTTTCAGTCGGTTTTGAGACAGATTGTTTCATTGCGACTACATTAAATTGAATCAATCGCAGGCGATAAATAAGCATAAAGTGCTTTTAGTTTGCATCAGAGACGGAGAGTTTCTATTATACTTGAATGAAAAAAGCTCGTCAAAATTGATATAATCATAGAAAAAAACTGGCGAATAAAAGAAGTACTCGGTGTTAAGTATTTTGTCTGATTGATTTATTCCATCATCGACGACATTTACCGGAGTAGAAATAGTAAAGTTTGTAATTTTAACGATTGAGTTTTTTTCTACGCTTGTTGAACTATAAGTAAAAACGAAACTAATAACAACGAACAATTGCAATAAACCAATTTCGTGTAAGAGAGAAAGAGTTGCGTTCGGTAAAACTTTTGCACTTATGTGAGAATATAATATGAAGTGAATGTTTGTTTGTTTGGTCTTCGTACGGTCATAACTCTCGAACTCATCGCCCATCCATCTTCTGTGCTATAGTTGCAAGCAATTCGCCTCCCATCTTTAGTTATTATTTGTTACCACATACTGTTCCACCGATATATTAAGTAACATTGATAACAGAAACAAATAACAACAATCAACCCGAGCGAATGTAGAGACAGCAGAAAAAAAGAGAGACCCGAACCGAATACAGTGAAGACAAATAAGCAACAACAAAAAGCAATAGCAATAACAAATTGTGCGAACTCAGATCGAATCGTTTTGGTAGTTCATGTACCAGTACATCACATACCAACCACTCGCTTTGCAATAAAAACCAATTGAATCACATTCGAATGAGAGAAAAAAAAACACAGAGAAAGTAATACAGCAAGAACTGAGAGTGAAAAAACATTGTTCAGTGCATCGTAAGCAAACCGTCTGGTTCCATATATAACATTTATACGATTTTACTCTGTCGGCATTGTCGTGGTCGCCGAATCGATATTGTTGGGTAATGTCGACAACATTTCACACAATGTACCCATCGTGAGTAGAGATAGGGTGAATTGAGAAAAACTACAACAACCACTTTTCGAAAAACAACGTAAAATCGTAAAATATAAACAAGAACAACCAAATAACTATAACTTTAACTCATCGAATGGAATTATCGAAGAAATAAAAGGGAAGACCCAAAAAGTCATTTTTGCCGAGTGAAATACAACACAAAAAAAACCAGTTGATTCGAACGGAAACGATTCGCCGACGCTGTACGAATGCGACAAGACATTTTCTGATTTTCGTCAATTTATTTGTGTGCAACAAACTTCAACACAACAAACGACAGAAACAAACAAAGAACATAAATTATGTTGAACCATATGAAATGCCATCGCAACTATCGGTAATTGGAAATTGTTGAGAAATTTATTGGAAAACTTAAATACGATCGAATGTGAAGTAACTGACAGTTAACGAGTGTGAAAAGAAAAATAACAACCATTTCAAAACCGCATGTTTTCTTCACGAGATTTGCGTGAAACTTTTTCTCTCTCTCTCCCCATCGCGGTAAAGAACTTTTAATTAAAGTAAATTGGACTGAAGACGAGTCATTTATTTTCGGACAACTTTATATTCCATGACCATTTTCGAATGCGTGTTTATTAGTTTGTTTTTGTTGTGATTATATTTATCTCAATCAATTCGCATCGCCGCCAATCAAATTGATTTATGTCATTTCGTTGGTCATTCTGAGCTAAATCGATGCATGCGATAAATTAACGCTTTGTTAAACGACGATATTGACACCAAACAACAGACGTATAGAAAAAAAAGTGAAAGGTGCGTTACTGCATTCATTCTCGTGTGCAAAACTATATTCCGTTTTTTTGCAAAAAGATTATCAAGGCAAGTGTATCTTGTGTAGGGTATTTTAGATAGTGTATTTTTTCTGAATGGCTGCAACTTCGAATTGAATCCGCTTTTTTTTCGATTCATACCCAGTTCATGGGTTAAATCAATTTTGGAGCTAAAGTAAATACAAATCACATTCAAATTAATCCGAAATCGGTCGTTTATCTTTCGACAACAGAAAAAAAACTCTCTCAGTTTTATGTGTTATTTGCACAACTTTTTGCTAGTTAAATGTTTGGTGTACGTTTTGAAAACTTTTGCATTTCGGTTCGACACATCGATTACAAAGATAAAACCGAAAATTTATTCGACATAGCTCGAAGTAAACTCTGAAATCTCGAAACCGATGCCAATGGCAAATAGCTAAAAGCATTACAACATCGATAAATGCTATAGATCCGTGACACATTTCAACGTTAGCTAGATTAAATCGACAAGAAGTATTGAAAAAAAAAGAAGAGAGATAGAGAGAAAAAAACAGCTTTGACAATATTTTTTTCGATGTTGTACATTCACACAAATTCTACATCAAACAACAACGACGACGTCGCCATTCAATTCGATACGTGCTTTTCAACTTGGAAATTCACTTGAACAATATATTTTATTTTATTTTTTATTTCGCATACACATAGGTCCAGCATTGGATTGTCGCCGCATTATAAAAGAGCGAACGATCGGGTTGAATAGAGAGAAAAAAACGTTTACGATAAAACTACGCACCGAATACAAATATCGACAATTTAAAAACAGATTAAAGCCAATGGTGGGCTTTCGAATGTGAATTAAACATTTTTATGCGAACCCAATGAAATTAACGTGCGATAACCGCAGCAATTTAAATTTAGAAAAAAAAACATTGTGTATGCGCGAGTGTGTAAGCATCAAAAGTGCTGTACAGTGAAACGTCGAATTCCAAATCAACAAGCGAAAGCGAATTCCCAATCAATTCGATATTGGGTGAACAAAAAAAAAAAAAAAAAACAGTTCGTAGGAGAAACGAGAAGCGCACACAAATTACACTCATGCTTTTTTGGTTCGTGCAAAAAAAAACGGTAGCATTTTTTTTCGGTTAACAGTACAGCCCAAGACAATTTAATAAATACACTTTCAATTAATTACGTCAAAATTGAATTTTCTCTCGCTTGAATACATTTAGTTTGGTCGATCGAAAATTTAAGTGCGGAAAAAAACCACAATAAATATTCACAAAGATATCAAAGAGACAGAAATTGACTGGTTGCAGAGCAATTGTTTTTTTCTTAATCCAACACAAAATGAGAACTGTGTACTTTACCATGCCCATGAAAATGCGACGAAATTTGAAATTATTGTTGTTCCTGTCAATTAGCTGGATGTTTTTGATGTTCTACTACTTTCAATCAGGCAATCCAAAGGTAAGTTATTTTCCATTTTTTTCTCTTTTTTTTAAATTTGATTATGAAACTCATCAAGTAAAAATGATGAATGTGTTTTGGCCAATGCAATTTTAACAGAAAATAAAATTTAGTGTATTTCAAAGAAATGTTCATATTTGCTAAGATGGTTCGTTGACTATGGTATAAGGTACCATTGGCGTAAAGTTTTCAAGCACATAAAACATCGTCTTAAAGATAAGATTACCAAATCTCATTGCAAGTCTTAAAATTAAGTATGAAGACATTTATTGTGAAATTTTTGGCAGAAATCTCACACCATTGTCGACACCACCCCGCACAACTCTGTTGGAAGTTTAAAAGCATTATCATTTTTCATTCGCTCAGCACACACATACTTAGACACATGGATACACAACAACAAGTTTGCAAGAAACTTTTCAACTTCAGCAACAATTACACTTTTGCATGCGACACAAGATGGCAAAAGCAAAAGCATTCCAAGCTTGCACATCCCTTTGCCGAAAAATACCGTGTGCCTCAGTTTGGATGGCAACGACGGACGAAATAATCTGAACATAGTGTGTATGCATGCAAACATTGAGCAGTTGAAACTTTTCCACTTGAGAACAAAGTTGACTCGATGAAAATCGAGAGAGCAAGATAGAATGAAAGAACCCAAAAGAGATATCAAGAGACGGAATAATAATAAAACGAATACCAAAACATTGCATTGACGAAACTGTATGCCGCAATAACTAAAAGCGCCACGTTCATGGAAATCCGGCATTTATTCTCATTGCTTGTTTTGTGTGTACATTTTACCAAATTCTGTCATTGTATTTCACTCCGTGCGTTAAATGTTTGGTATAACGAATCTTTTCACTTTGATTGTGTATTTTTGTTTATTCGCAATCAAAGAATATTGCTCCATTGAGTCGAAGGAAATTCTTAAGGGCAAAAACTCGACTCACTAAAAATCAAAAATTTACTCGTTATTTTGCTCACGCAATCGATACGATTGAGTATTTAGCTGGTTTCTTTTTAACTTCGAAAATATAAAGATAATCTGTAAAAAAAATCCCAGAAGATTTCTACCATACACTCAGTCAACTTAATCCGTTAAATCAGCCAATTTCTCCCCCATTGATCCAAATTCAATGGCTTTTAGGGGCTCAATCAGTGTACGTATCAGAGCGAATGAGTGCGTGCGTGTGAGTGTGTTCGATTTTCTCGAAATAAAATCGTGTACATCTGTACATGCCGAGTGAGTTATGTGAAACGTGAAATTGTTTCGAGGCGCCAGTCAGCGCTCACACACACTCACTTTATCAATAAAAATGTTCATTACATCATCAGCGACGCATGGACTTAATGTACGCCAACCCCGACATGACCGTGGTCATTCCGATCAATTTAAATTCACCTACAAAAAAGTGGCCGTAAATGCTTTTGAAGTGAAACAAACGATATCAGTTGGCCATCGCTTTCCATCTTCTTTTTTTTATAAATTTTCAAAACATATTGAGCTGACTTGATAGACGCGTACACCAAATGAATGGCCCGTTCAAATGAATGCCGATAGGTATTTTCAAATGGAATGTAATCACGTGATTCAGTCTCATAAATTTTTCAGTAAAATTACTTGGCCTTTATGGGAAAATATCCATCGCGTGTATACTTGGAAGGTGAGCGGTTTATGCTTTAAATGCAATTTGAATTGTTTGTGTATTCGTGTGAAACCCATTTACCACCAACCCAGAAAATGTGCGCTCCAATTTATTTTTATCAAACCAAAATGAAAAATTCTTAACAAAACAGAACAAATGAATTGAACAACGTATAGACAGATGAAAATTCAAAAATGTATATATTTTTTTGTCATAGCAACGAAACTCAAGTAGAGCACCTTTCTGCATCATAATGGCAAAACTGCCTACAAAAACACTCGAAAATACTCCGCCAAACACAATAATTTTTTGGTTTGCTTTCAGTTCGTTGTTTTTTCCGTTTACGTTCTTTTCGACGTTCACCGCGCAACATACCCACTCCGAAACCGTAATCATCGCAAAAAATAGCAATAATAATCATAGAGTAAGAGTAATTTGCAAACAAAAGAAGTATGCGCCTACAATATACTGGAGTTGCACGCAAATTTTACTACATTGTATATGCTGGATATAATATGAGTCGTTCGCTTTGACGTTGATGTGTTGAAATATTAATGGCAAACCAAAATGATGCCGGTTTTATCAGTCATTAAAAACACCAACATTAAAAATTGATATTTGTGTTTATGAGTTTATTTTTTTTGCTAGGTTATTTGTTACCGCATGCACAGCATACATGCGAAAATTGCACATTATTTGAAATCCTGTCACTGTTAATCATCATGACTAGTCAACTTGATTTTTTTATTGAATTCATGTTTGGCATACTGACGCTTAGAATGAACTTACATAAGCAGCGTATGATGCGGAAGTTTTCAATGTATCCATCTCATCTCGAAAGTCGCACACCAAAAAAAAAACATGATTGGTTCTCTTATTTATGTTGCAGTTTTTCAAGTTCAGACTTCAAAACTTCCGCGTTAGACTTGTCGAGTTTGAACCACATAAAAATGTGTGAGAAAGTGCCCGAACCCATTTTCACGATGCTAGTCATCAATTATCGCTAAAATTGAGCAGAAAAACTTTCAAGGTCTACGGTTTGATAAAAACTCTTACTTTTCATTACTTTTTTCTTTATCACTTCATTTTATCTACTGAATTAATTTTTGAAATGTCACCATGCTGTATGAACTTACGAAAGGCAAACAAAAAAAACTGTCATTCGGCTACATGATTTGAAATCGGAGAGAAAAATACGAGGACGTCGAGTGACGGACGGATTCAGCGCATTAATTAATCAGTCTGCCATTTGTGCAGAAGCGAGACCATGACAATCTTAAGTTTTAAACCTTTAAACATTCTTTGGGTTCCATGGGTTTTGATTGTGTCAATTTACTTTGAAGTGTGAGCCATAGAAAACAATGAAGTCATGCTAATGTTTGGAGCAAACAAAAGAGGAAAAAAAATGGGGAACTTGACATCGACTGTCAGTGTCGTGAGATGCTTTCTTACATAATCGTGTGACCAATCCATTAAATATTAACCAATTCTATCAAAATGTGTACAAATGGATTCCAACCAATTGCATCGAATGGAATGAACGCATGATTGATTTTATGTGATTCAGACTCACTCTCTCGGTTGTGTATGTGTTTGATTTCGATTTCGTTTCGATAAATTCGATTAAAGCTGCTTTCTCGCTCGTTCGACAAAAAATGAAACAAAAAATAAATAAATTGTGTAAAATTCACTCGACTTTTTCCATCCACACTCGTTCACTTGGCATCAAAATCAATCACCATTACCAGCAAAAATGATTCAGATTTTTTTCTGATTCAATTTCAATGGGGACGAACATAAGAGAAGCAAAAACAACTTTGGAGTTTTTTTCCAAACTGATCATATATAATTTGTTCTCTCTCTCTCTCTCTCTCTCTCTCTCTCTCTCTCTATCCTTTTTTCTATGTGGAATAGTTCCATCTGGACGGTACTGTTCACCTCACGTATGTGATTGCAAATATTTTGCTTCTTCAATAACAGCTTTTACGCGTTTTCTTTCTCATTCTCTCTTTCTCTCTCCCGTTTATATCTCTCCATTCCTGGAGTTTAAAATCGAGTATCCGAATGTGTGAAGGTGAATAAAATCGACCGAGTGAAAATGAATGAAATTTTTACAGTACCACATTCCGGTGTATAGTATGGTGGTATTGAGTTTCTTTTTTCCAAAAGAACACGAAAAAAAGTTAAACCATACACATTCTATGTTCTTTTGGTTGGATTTTAACGAGCTATTTTACATCCGAGGTATGCGACGTGCGCACACATAGACGACGATTCCTTTGCAACTGTGTTACATTTTTACTTTAAATTGAACGTCATTCATGTGAAATGGATGAATAGTTGGTGGAACGTGGTTTCTGTCATTATTTTCTTCCCATGTTCATTTTCAGGTTTTATTTTACCACTATATCCTGGTGCGCTGCCGTTTTTGCTCTCTCAAACTGTCTTTTGGCAAGAGGGAGTTCGTCTTTGTTGCAAGTAACAGCAGCAACACACGATATTACGAGATTGCAAAAACTTTTTGCCCGTTTCTCCATTTTTTGCATGCATGTGTGTAAGCGCGAGCGGAAAAAAAAGTTTCAATTCATGAACTCATTCGCTTTGAAAAATGATTTGAATCTTTAAAATGCACACATACGCTCGTTTGTTTCTTTTTATTTCGCTTTCTGAATTTGACGTTTTTCTCAAATTCACAAAGCGATTCATTTCGAGTCACACAAGTATACGCGTCTCGTATTTCCCACTCGACTAGTGCTCACTTGAAATCATGCAAAAATCTCCTCTTCCACAATGCTTATTTTCTGTTCGAATAGTGGTTGTGTGGTGTGGCTGCTTTTTTATGATTCTCGAATTACAGTTCTATGATTGTCATTTTCTTTCGTTTATTCGTTCGGGTGTTGCAATCGATTTGCATTTGATCTCGGTTGCTGTCAGGCGAATAATTTGATTTGATTCAAATTTGATTGAAAATGATGAAGAACGGAAAAATGATGCGCACACATTTGAATGCACAATTTTCTTTCGAATTAAATGATCTCGTTCAATGTTGTTTCTATATTAAACGAAGTTCCGAATTGGAATCACATTTATTTTTGTCACTTCAATTAGTTATTTGGTTTTTTTATTCTACGATCAACGTAATAACTCTCTCCATTTAACAAAAAAATACGGTGCAAAATGAAAAGGTCATTTCGTTTTATTTACATAGTTCGAAATACAAATAGTATGCTCCAAATTAACTTGTTGATTGGTCGCCAGAGAGAAAGAAACAAAAAAAAAAAAAAAAAAAAAAAAATATTGTCATTTTGGACAAACAAACAAATTTTAATTGCCGTTTGTTCTGTACTCGAA